TCCCGGCTCCTGGCAGCTCTCAGGAATTGCCTCAAAGTAGCAAATTACGGCGTATCGTAAAAACGGCAGCCCGGCAGACGACTACGTACGTACGTGTTTTGTTTCTATTTCTCCGTTTGCTAGCGCCGCATGAGATATGTTCTGCCAGAAAAGTTTCGTGGGTGTCACTGGAGCTGGGAGCTGGAAACTGTTAGCCAAAGTCTCTCAGTTTATGAATTCATGTGAACCAACGGAAGTCTAAAACTCAAATAACAGGCATCCGTTTTGGGGATGGAACTCTTTAAGCAAATGAGTACCTTAAAGTCTTAAATCTTGCTTTAGACTTGCCAGAAGATTTCTTTAAGAGACGTTTAAAGCCCAAACATCTTTGAAGACCATGCATTCTTTCTTATTCTGTTCAAATGTTTTTTACCCTTAACTAGTCTTTTATCCATTTTAAGGTTTCTGTTTAATCGGATAAATCTTTAACATTAACACATTAAAAGTGCGATTGTGCCAGGACTATGTATCCCTAAAAGCGCACCTCGCTTATCTCCGGTATTTTGTAGCTCATTTAGTACACATCCTGCAGTGCTTATCCAACTATGCAAATGGTCGTATTTATCACACATCATTCCCCAGAATCCCTACCCCCCTTTGGGGGCTGCCGGCGCCTGTCAGTCACAGTCATAGAGCCAATGGTTCCAGCAAATAAACCGCCTCTTGAGTAATATTTAAAATTTACATAAAACTGGCACGCTCTATAAAATGCCAGCAAAACGAACGAAAAATGTAATAACACAAAAAAAGGCGAAAGTAGAAAACATCAACGTTTGATAAGCAGCCACCGGCAAGGGGAGGAAACATTGGTCCAGAGGAGGGTTCTATTTGCATTGCGTTAATGGCAGCTCAGTTGCCAGTTTTAAAAGCCAGTCCCAATTGCTCATGTGTTTGGGCTGGAGCTCCCCCTCTCTCCATTCCAGCAGGAGGGGTGTGTGTGTGTGTGCGATGATTTGGTCGAGTGTAAAACACATAGCCCTGAGCTTTCAGGGCGGCCATTTTGTTTTGCGCCGTGGTTCATAAATTTCTGCTCGGCTCTGCAGTTGAAATTTATGGCTGGGCTTTTTCGGGGGCTCTGGCCTAATCACAATGACGGTGCGTATACGTAATGCGGAGTGTAGGCGGCCGGAAGACAAGCCATCTGGCTTGTGGCAGGAAAGTCTGCTGTCGGCTGGCAACAGGACAACTCTCGTTGTCTCCGGTCATCAGTTGAGCCTCCGCCTATTATTGGTAAGCCTGTGTACCACTGCCGCTGCTGTGGCTTTTGTTACCCGCTTTGCTAATGCAATTCTGTGGCTGGAAGAGGGAGTGAAAAACAAGCGTAATTCAATTTCAGGCCGGGCTGCAGCCGGCAGGCTCCTACATCCTTCTGGCTGCTTGGCAGCATCCTTTGGCAGCCACGTAGCCAGCCACCGATTCAATTTTCGGCTTCCGCTGCGAGGCGACGCGCTAACGTGCCCAATTAATACTGTCAACAACAGCAGGCTCTAACGGTCCGTCAGTTTAGGCGAACGGCTGGTGGCCATGGTTGGTTTTTGGTGCCTCGTTTTTCTCGCTTTTCTGCGCCGCACAATTTGCAAATTAAATGGCACACCAACGGCAGAAACACCAGGCCAGAACGGTGACATTTCAACTCTTTCGGGACTGCTGCTGCTCCCCTCTAATCCAATTTTGGCCATTTTCTGGGGACCTTTTTGTGGGGGAGAGAAAAATATAACTTTTAATGAGCATAGTTTGTGATTTGGCGGCGATTGTAATCAAGTTTCCTCGGCACGCCGTATCCTTGCAACTTTCCCTCTCGCGACTTTTCAATAAACAAAATTACTCAACTTTACTGCTAATGACATTATCCAATGTTGTTTGCCTTCGCAGCTTCCGAAAATGTCCCCGATAAGGCAATCCTTTAAGTGAGAATTCACACATTCCCGGGGCTGTACGTGACGGGCGAGAACCTTTTACTTACGCCACGAACCTGTACGATTTTCGTGCCCAGCGACCTTCTTAAAAGGTTTTCCCCGACTTTATCTAGAAATGGCTGTCAAAGTTGTGGCCCAAAGCGAAATTAAAGACATGCCGCCTTCCGCCGTTCCGAGCTTTTACACAAAACTGTATACAGAAAATGAACTAAAACTTTTAAGAGCTTGTTTTCAGGAATTAAAAGTGTTAGTTGAATGCTTAACAGTGTTTATTTTCCTGTTCTTTTATCTCAGACGCAGCACTTCTATTGAATAAACTCCTGTTGATTGCCAAAGTTTCCTTGGAACATTATCGATTCGGTCTTGTGTACTAGGTATTTTTCCACTTGTTGGTTCGAAAAACGAGTTCGCATACCAGAGTCAAAGCATTTCTTAATTAAATGGAGACCTCGGTTCGGTGTGGGTGTCCTTTGCATTAGATCAGGGCCAACACGCCCATTCGTCCATATTGCATCTTTCATTAAATCGGCGCTGTGTTAGTGCCGTTCATTCATTTATAACTATTCATTCCAGCGATTCAATTTCTGGGTGTGAGTGTGTGCTGTGAGTGTGTTTCTGTGTATTGTGCAACTTGTCCGTTAATTGAAAATAGCAAACGGCTTAGTCCTGGCGTATGACTCGCCGGGCTCTTCAAACAGTTTGCTTTGTAATTGAGTAATGAAATATGCCAAGTCACACAGAGCCGGGCCAACAGCGCCAATACCTACCCAGTTTGGCCTGCATACCAATTAAGCTAATGCCCGAGAGTGAGACTGAGAATGAGAGACAGATTGCTGCGGAAAGTGTGCTAAAGGTCAACGCGTTGCTGCATGATGGCGCAGTCCTTGGATGCTCTCCATCGTCGGGGTGCGCCAATTCGGATTACGCGGCGTATGGTTTACATTCGTCACCGTCGCAATCGCCTTGCCAAGTCGGTTATTTTCTATAGAAAACTATTTCCCTCTAATTTGGACTGATTTTTATAGAGAAATTACTATTACCTTTGATTTCTATAAAAAGGTTCTTTGAAAATGTGTCGAATTAAGAGGGGCTTTGCAGATTTATGCCATATTTCTGCCATGATTGTCACTTATTTAGGAGTCTTTATTACTATGGTTAATATCTTGCCACAAACAAAAAAATGAAATTGAAATGTTGAAATTAATGAAATGTTGCCTACTTATTTGGGACTAGCTTACAATACCATTTCATCTGTTTTCTTTCTGATTCATACAAAGAACTCTCCTTTAAGAAACTGAATCATTCTGTAATTAAACTTTTGACCTTGTTTTATATAGTTTATAGATGCTTCATAACGTAGGTACCCTAAGTAACGATCTCGATCAACAATAACAAAGATTATTTATACTTTTTTGAAAGCTATAAACTCCTTAAATTACTTAAAAGCTTTGATAGTTGTATATTTAATATTCTTGTTTGCACACATTTCCCCAGTGCACTTTTTGTACAGTGACGAGAATCCATATGGACGCATCAACGTCAACCTTGTTCCAGTTGAAGGATCTGCCTGTTTGCGCCATATTTATCAAGCGCAATAAACCATATTATTATCGCATCACTCCCAGGCGTAACCTCGTCAAAACTAAAATGTTGCTGCCATATGCTCGTTCGCCACTATTGGCTGTGCCCCGAGAATAACACCAGACAACAACAACAAAACAACATTGCACAAAGTACTGTATCACACAACATGGCGTATACTTAATTAGCCCTGTAATGAATGCGCGTTACGTTATGTAAAAAAGACGCAGCTCGGAAACTGGCAAAGGATGTGCACGCTCGCTCTCCTTGCAACGTTGCTGTGGCTGACAATTTGCCATAAACAAGCACGTTGGTGGCAGCGACGGTGTCGGGGGTAAAATGCAGAGCTTCGCTTAATTGAATAAAATTTGCAGTTGCCGCCGCGGTATCGGTTCGCATAAATTACGCATGGTTGGGTCAGGCACAAGGCGTCAGGGCAATCCCCAGCATTGTCGCTCCATTACCAACGCCGCTGGCCTTGCCGCTAGCATGCATTTCGCTGCATTACGTATACGCGATGTGTGCTCCGCCAGCTTAGACTTTTATCTTGGCTTTGCCCTTTGCAAGTTGTTCGAATGCAACCAGCAATGTTGTTTTACTTCGTTTCAATGCCTGTATCACAGGACACGGGGCGCGATTCGTGTGGCATTTGCACTGGGTCAAGGTCAGGGCGCGCGCGATTTGCATTATATTTCGATTGGAAAGTTCTGTTGTTGTCCTTGTTGTCTGTGTATCCAACCCACCTGCAATTCAATTCAATTCAATACAATTCGATTCGTATTGTTTATCAATGGCTGGCTGGTTGTCCTTGCCGGTAAATCGCTACATAAATATCGGTCAAAACACACACACTCGCACATACACAATTCCCACGTTGAGTTGATTTATGTTAAGAATTGTTTTTCTTCGCTCAGCTTGAGATTTACGAGAATACATATATAAAATAAAGTATACGTGCTTACGAATGGCCCACTGGGTCCGCTTGGCGCATGAACTTTGGTCTTTTATTTCGCTTTCATGTTATATCCCGGCCCCCCACCCCAACCACAGCTGTAATCATATCCCTTGGCTTAATTAGAGGGTCAGGTCAGGAAGCGCTTTGAGTCGGCTGGGCGTTTCTTTTAGAACCAACACGAAATTGTCTAATTAATTTGCCTAACACATTCAAAATCGCTGGCGATATACATCTTCATTAACTTTTGAAAACTTTTCACTCTTTTTCCAGGTAATTATGCGGACGAGATGTGAACAAAACGGATAGGAGAAAGGTGTTTCCAAGGCGAAATTAAATGAATTTATTAGTGTTTGCAATGCCGGCAAAGCGGGTAACAGAAAATCATATGTTTAAGCCCTAAAATATTGTGTGGGATGTGTTCATTATTCAGTTTATGTGTTACGTTTCGATGTATATTTTGTTTTAATTATTTTAATTTCTTCTGTTTATTATTGTTTTTTATTTTGTAGCCTTCCCAAGTCCACATCCATGGTTGATTCATTTGTCACAGAAGCCACGTAAGTTCTTTTTTGTACTTTTATTTTTCCTCTAGTTTTACGTTTATACTTTTGTAATTATACCTAATTAGAGGCCATTATCCCACTCCTTGGGCGCAGCAGCAATCAAAACTATTTTTCCAAAACAGTGAGAGCAAAAGTTTAGCTGCCAGAGAGTCGTAAAATCATTAACACAGAAACTTTTTCTGCCAGCTCAGCCACCAGAGTGGTGTACAAAAATAAGGGGGCAGCAAAAAATAAAACCAAAGGATCCACAGTTAGCGAAGGCCTCGACATAATCGCAAGGGTAAGAGTCTAACTCTGCCATTTTAATTGCGCCCAAAAGTGGTAAACCACCGAGTGGCGAGCCCTCTCACATGCGAGTGACACTCGCGAATCCCCCTGGAGGAGTGCTACCTACCAAATCGCCGTGGGAAACTCGAGCCGCCAGTCTAATGGCTCGCCCACGTGTTGAGCATTAAGCGGAGCATTGTGCTGCCCCTTCCTTTGATATTCATTTCAAGTTAATTCATCTCAATCAGCTTAAATATCAGGCTAAATAATTCATTTGCATTTATGGGGCGTGCTCTCGCTGCGTATAATTAATGCGCATAAAATTCCCAGCACTTTGCACCTTTTTGCACCAGTTTATTTCCGCCGTGCGCCCTTTGAGGCCGCCTCCTGGGCACAGTTCGGCTCCTGATTGAGCGCCGGGGAAACGTGAGCCAAAGCCCCATGGCAACAATTGTCCCGAAACTGTTCACCTCGGGAGGTTTATCATTTCGTCGGGGACCGACCAGTGTTGTGTCGCCGTCACTGGCATAACACATTCAAGGGATGGTCAGCTAAGGGCTATAAATAAATGTGTGTATAAGCCGAAATTGTAGCATGAAGCAGTCAATCAGCCCGAGCGCCAAAAAAGGGATATCCTTTGACAGAGGAAATACAATTGTTTGACAGCCTTCTATTTATACTACATTTTCAATCAGATCGTTTTATTATTGAGCGAATGCCAGCCATTGTGTTTGCTTAGCAGCAAAGTTCTGTTAAAGGATGATTTTTTTCAAAAGGAAATGAAAAAAAATAACCAGGTTTTTAGGGGAAGCTTAAAGGATACAGACAGAATTTGGTTATCAAATTCCATATTTGTTTAAGAGGGTTACTTTGATTTCCGTCCCTCCACACATACCTGTGACTTCTTGTTGCTTGGCAACTTCAAGAGCATTTGTTAGTCATGTGTCTTGGCTTGGAATTTCAAATGTGCAGTCACTATATTTGTCTTATTTTCACCTGTCAATAATAGTGGTCTACAGAGTAAGATTCCCCTTAAAGTCTGCCTTTTCACTTATCAATAACCATAAGGGAATTCCTGCTGGGCTTCCAGCTATTGCCAACCACAGCCCACTTCTCCGTTCAAAATATCCAATACCCTTTGTTTGAGGCATCCAAATGGAAGCCAGAGAGAGAGAAGCCACAATTGGCATACACCGCAGGTGTGCGTGTCCCCAGCAAATGTAAAATGTCTTGCCGACACAGAAACCGATGTGAAATGGTCCTCGGACTGGGCTGTACCTGTCGTTCCACCTGTCACTTGCATGCAGAGCACTATTGTTATTTCCGCTTCCTATTTTTAGACTGTGCCTTCGTCAGCATTTAGCCTAATTAACCTTGTTCATCTTCATTATGTTCGGGAGAAGAGTATCGTATCCTGGTTCATCCTCTAAAATGGTTAAAGTGTTGAATCTCACACCCACTTGAAGTTACCTACTCATAATATTTTTATGGACAAAGCTATCCCAACCAGCTCCCTTTGATGATTACGCTCCTTTGTCGTATTTCGGAGCTTATCGTGTAGTCCCTTTAAATGGATATGGCTTAGGTGCTCGTTTCCTTTAATGTCACAGCCACAATCGTCGCTGCGACAGGGCCGTTAGGCAATCATATTAAGAGGCATAATGGCTTAGACGAGCGTAGACGAGGCGCTTAATTATACAAGTACGATTATGTCCGACGAAAGGCGGCAACTATTCGTGTTTATGGAGGCGTGCAAATACGAGTCCTGTAATTATCCTGCTTAAAACATGAAAGGCGGACAAAGAAGGCAACGTCAAAGTTAAATAATCCAAGGACAAAAAAAAAGCGGGTCAGACTTTATAATCAGTTAAAAGTTGATTTGTTTTCGAAGCTTTGTGGACACAAAGATTGCCAAAGTGGCGACCCGTCGGCTCTCCTTTTCGTTGATTGGACTAATTCACAGGGCCGAGCTTCAATCTCTGCTGGCCAGTTTGTTCATCTATTCTCGTCTTGAATAATTTATGCTCGGCATGTTGCCTGCTCCCCTGTTCTGCGCCCATTTGGCGATTAATATTTGATGGCGCACTTCCCGGAAAATATTTATGTTTGTGCAACTCGCTTTAATTGAAAATAAAATCAAATGAAAAAACGCATAAGGTAAATAAACATGGGCGTGCTCAAAGGCAGCATTTTCAAATGGAAATCTGCTAAGCACGAAAAGTCAAATGTCACATGGCCAAATAATATAAATACGACGGGCGTTTCGATGGATGGATGATTCACATTTATGCAGGCGTTTAATGTTTCGTTCATCTTTTATTAATAGCTAGGTCATGCTTATGTGTAGATGGTCCGCGGCGCGCCAGGCTGCTTAGTCCTCCTCTGCTATCCTGGCTCCTCGTTTGGGTTACCCCCGCCTGTGGCTTTTCCGCAGTCTCGCTTTTCAGGGCAGGGCTTATCCGCCTTCTGTTTACGTTTACCTGCCTGCTGGTAATTTGTCAAATGTGGATTTTTCTTGGCGTTACTTCGCTGGCTGTTGCGCCTCTGACAGAGTGCGGCATTTGCTAAATGGCGAGGGCAGTTCTAACAGTATACCAAAAAGAGCTCGGTTCCTATAGCTGCTAAAAAACGTCCGAAAATTTGCATATATTTTATCTAAAAGATAAAATTAGTTTGTTAGAGTTTTCGTAAGAGATCATACATTTTTCTGTAGAGTTCGAGGTGTTCTGCAAACCTAAATCTTCTTAATCTTTAATACAATATTAAAGATTGTTAAATATCCCTCGAAAATAATACTCACGTAGCTGCCCACATAATAAGCCTGCCTTCTTGTGTGGGGGTTACTGATGAAAATGATGATGGCGGAGATTCTTTGGCAGCTACTGAGCCTGGTGGATGGGGGGGAAATGGAAGCTCAGCAGGTGCCTTTTGCCGGGGTATCATTTATTTTTGCTTTATACACGCATTTAGCTTTATTTCGCTGCTGCTTTTTTCGTCTTCGTTGCGGGGTAAATGTAATAAATTTCCTATAAGCATTATCTTTAAATACAGGGCCATTGTGTGACGAGGGAGCGGAGTGGGGGGAACCGGAAGATGGAAGAGGGCTCAGCATGACAACGAATGGCGTTGCCAGAGCCCTTAGTTATTGGCTGTTAGTTGCGTGTCTCGTTCCGATTTAGACCCTTTGAAACTGGAGAAATCTCTCTCTCGTTCTGGAAAATCTCAATCCAATTACAAGAGGGAACGGGAGTTGCGGCACCAGTGCTACATGGTACTCCAATTATCTGCTGGTGCAACAATTAAAATCGTCGTTGCAACGCCAGGAGAAGCCGTAAAAAAATGTGCGCGGGCACAAAAGGAGCAACTGCAACAGTTGACGCCATTCTAAGCTGACAGTGCAATTTTCGCATCAGCGAACTGGGATCCGATGGGGTGGTGGTGTGGTACCTCCTCCTTCTCCTCCTCCAGAGACGGGGTAGTGGTGTCAAGCCATGTCAAATGCAGCCAAACACCCGAAATCCCTTGTCGCCCTTTTGCCACATTTGCACTTCTCCATTTGGCAGTGGCAATTGTGCATCCCCGTCTCCGTCGGATGCTCCTCCTACTATCCCTGGCGCCGGAATGAAGCCCACTTCTCGTAGCTCGCTTTCCCGGGCAGACTGCAATTTACATAAGTGCCATGTGCGTGGATTGTTGTTTTGTCATTCACTTTTTCGAAGGGTATCCGCACCATGACTCTGCATGACAATGTCGCAATAAAAATGCTGAAGCGAGAAATATTCTGGAAAATTCTGCTTGAAAAATGTCTAACAATTTGTGATTCCATTGTGAAGAATCTTATGGAAACATATTAAAAGAAATGTGCTAAATTTAGCATTTCCATGTAAGATGAAAGAGTAACCATTGTTTACCATTGAACAACTAAATCATTTGAATTCTTTGCTTCCCCGAGGCTTGGTAAATCCCATTTAATCCTTTTGTTTTGACGCGGAATTTATTTGCTAACAGCATTTATCTTGGGAAACCATTCCCATCGATTCCTGCCTGGTGCTCACAGTAAAGGCAATTAATTATTTTTCACTGGCCTTGTTTACCCCCTGAATGAATGTTTATGATGAAGATGTCTGGAGAATTGAGGTCACCCTGCTGCTCCATGGGAAAATCCTTACCTTACACTTTCCTCTCACTCTTTTTCTTGCATTTTTCTGTATTGCTGCGGCATGTTGTATTTCTCGTTCTATGCGTTTGCCGCAGCAGCATTGGCCCAAACTTTTATAATTAAAACTTTTCGCTGGAAAAAATCCAGCGGGAAGACAAAAAAAAATGGATTGTGAGAGCGGCAGAAAGTCGATATGAATTTGTGGGCCGAAAATATGCGTGTCAAATAATGGCAGCAGATGAAAAATGTGTGATCTTTAAAAAGGAATTCCCTAGCAATTTCCAGACAGAGTGAGGGCTTTAAGCATATACCTCATTCCTCAGGAGAGTGATGGCCAACCACTTATCGGCTGGCTCCTGGCTAAGTTATGCAATGCCCAAATGGGAATCCTTGGAGCCATAAATAAGAACGGAAAACTGTTGCCGCTGCGTAAAAGCCAAACCCTCCTGCATCCTGCCCTCGTCGCCAATGACGAGGACATAAATCACAAAGGGCTGGGGCAGCCAGCTTCCCCTTTGGAGCCTGGCCAATTGCTAATGATAAGCTTCACGATAGTCGTCCCACTGATACGTAATAACTTTTCCTTTATGTCCCATCGAGTTTTTGCCCTAATTGGGCCGGCTGGCCAACATGACGTATGCTTCATATTATGTTTTCCCCGACATATGCTTCTTTAATCTGCTGACCCAGTTGGGTAAATTTCATTTGGCGCCACAATTAAGTGCAGTCGTTGGGTAATTTAAAAAAAACCTCCGCAAATTTAATAGGTTTCGCTGCAGTTTTATTCGATTTACGGCAGAGATTTCGTTCCGCATCGTTGGCTCCTCGCGCTCGCAGCACGTGGCGTATGCGCAATACCCAGCCACTACTTGGTTGGCCTTGCCCTGTCATAATGAAGCATAATGCATATGGATCCATAGATATGTACATATAAGTGGAGCAGCAGCATTACCCGAGTCGCATAGCGATTGAAATCCTTTGCCTTTCATTGTGAGTTTTATTTTATTTCGCTCGCTCGCCCTTTTTTTCTGTGGGGGAATGTGTGCGTGCCCTGTATGCACCATAATCAACATCATCGTCATCATCATCATCATCATCTATGTGCCAGGCTCAGAGGGGGCGTGTCCTTCTTTTCATTCCAAGTCAGTTGTCCCTTTTGCCTTGTGCCGCCGCAGGCCGAGCATTCAATATTGCAATATGTGCATGGAATATCTGAGCGAGAAAAGCACACCGAAAGAGGATGAGTCTCCAATCGATTGTTGTTAAGAAGAAGGGGTCTGTTTGGTAGCTGACTAAGGTCCTGAGACGCTCTGCGACTTAAAAGGCTTTGTCAGCAGCGCAGTCTAAGGGCTACCTAAGCCATTTTATCAGTTTTTAAAGCTTTCAAGCTTCTACTGAATCTTATTTTCGCTGAATACTTTACTTTAGCTCGAACACAACACAAACTGAACGATTTATTTAAAAAATAACTTGATATTCCAATTTTGTACTATTAAATAAAACAATAACTCTGCGATAAAAACAAACAAAATTTGTGTGTTCAAAAACGACCACCATCTCCTGTTAGCTAAGATAAGAATACAATCCTTATGCCATTATTTCTCTTGCGCTGCGGAGAAGAAGATTAAAGTTGGACTATGGTTCCTATAGGCAAATGCAGGAGGGACTCACCACGTAGTACTCGAAGGGATCCCGGCACATGGGACAAGTGTTGGAGGAACACATTCGGTAGACATTGCACAGGCAACGCTTGCAGAATTTGTGCTGGCAGGGCGTGCACACCTTGTTTCTCATCCGTCCACGGCACACTGGACAAGGATCTCGGGCCATATCATCTGTATTCAGTTTGTATTCAGTTCTCATTTGATTTTTTTCTTTTTTTTTCGAGCGACTAGGTGTTGACAGTTCCGACAATAGACAATGTTTAAGGCTTGGTAGAAAGGCACAAGGCCGACTTGTCAAAGTCAAACAACTTTTCTGCCGCCGACTAAGCTACCTTGTATTCTTCATTCATGTTTTAAGGCAAAGCCAACTCCATTGGCATCTTTAAAAGCGAATGATTTAGCTGTGTCGCGTGCTTTTGCTAGGAGGTGTCATGGGGACCTTATTTATGACACCGTAAAAATGGTTGACTGAATCGCCCAGGACTATTAACGTAGCGGAAGCCAGATTGCAAACAGGGTGCCTCCCATGGAGGCCTCAATAAGGATATTTACAGTACTAAACACATAATCATAGCAAGCATGACACCCTGTATGCGCCAGATCATGATACAATTATACAAGGTAGTCCCGTCGGCAACTTCTGGTACACTACAACTTAAAACAATGAGTGCGAGTGAGAGCAGTTCAGACTAATGAGTGCGAGTGGGACGACAATAGAGTGTGAGTTTTAACCCTTAGGTTTCGGATGGGGGTTGAAGTCGCCTTCTATAATAAAACGAGTTTGAATATTTTGTAATATTATTTTATATTTAATAATTCTGTAATAAAACCAGTTAAAATAATTTTTATAATTTTATTTTTAATAATTTTGAGTTTGAAATGAGAAACATTTACGGGCCCTTAAAAATTTCACGCCGTGCACATGCCGTCGGCAACAATTGCAAAAAGTCATTTCCAACTAAGGGTTAAAAACTCGGAAAAAAATGCGTCCGCACACAACCTTTCCCTTCAACAAGCGAGCACGCACTGAAAATCCGAACGATTTCAGCAGCCGACGGGACTACCTTGTATAATTGTATCATGCGCCAGATTACATAAGCACAAGCGGCTGACAAGTGGAGGCGCCGCCTGCTTATTGTTTCACATGGTACATTATAGATTTTTATCAGGCCCCCTTATCCAGCGCCAAAGCCAGTCACATGCAAGCATTGAATATTGTCAAATTAGGGCAAAGATTGATTGTCATTTTGTCAGTCAGTCACTCAATCACTCAATCGCCAAGGACCAAAACCCCACTAATGCTCCCTTTCTGCTTTTTCTTTCTTCCATGGTTCCTTCCTCCTGCAGCGGATGGCTGGGCAGCGCCAAGGGTTGGTTGGGCAACGCCTCGATACCGTCGATGCCAGCCATGCCGTCGATGCCATCGATGCCAGCCATGCCAGCGATGCCGTCGATACCATCAATTCCGGGACTTCGCAAAACGGGAGGAGCCGACGGAGCCGAGGGCGCCGAGGGAGCTGCCGCCGGAGAGGGCGGCGCCGCTGCCAGCGGAGCCGTGAGTGGTGGCGAGGATGACGACAAGTCGAGGTATATTAGGTATGGGTGCCAGCTTAACAATGACGGAATTAAATACGAAGCAGCCGCAAAAACAAAACAGAAATAATTTATGAGATGAAGATGAGAAGCGCGTTTGTATTTTAGTTCCTCTTGGTTTCGTCTTCGGTTAACCTCCGTTTAAGCTTAGCCTTTTGTTTAACTTTTTTGTCGGGTGCCTTTTGTTTGAAGTCGAAGTTGCCGGAAAACTTTTTCCTCCCTTTAAACGGAGGAACCGAGGAAACGAAGTTTTCTTTGGTTTTATTTTCCATTAGTTTGCCAAAAACCAACCGTTGAAGCCGCCTCTTCCACACAGTTTACCTAAATACTAACCAATATAATACCACACACGAGTTTCTCCAACTATATATGAACTATTTACTATTTACAATTTGCCTATATACTCCACACCTCAAAGAGACTCTTTCTTACATTTAGTTGAGATATTGTTGCGCATTTTCACTCTTAACCAATATATACAATTATATTTGCCTATTTATTTAACACTATTTCTCTTGTGCTGATTCAAAGTTCCACCTTCTCACATATATATTAATAACTTTTTGTACAAAGCAAAATGCGATACTCTGTCTCTCTATAAACCCCTTTAATCTTGACTCCAATCTATATCTTACCCATCTATAAAACAATACTAACCACATGTGTAAGTCGTTTCAACGTTTTTGTATATAAAACTGAATAATTGCGGCCTGAAATTGGTTAAAGATCAAAATTTTGTCCCTTTACAAGGAAGTTGGAAACTATTTAGATGGGTTACAAATGTACCTTAATTTATATTTAATTTAAATAATAGTTTTTAAGGGACTTTTCTTGTCCTTGATACTTTACATACAATAACCGGTAAGTTTCGCCTGGTTCCAACCTTGAAATGGACACAATTTTGTTGAAAATTCGTACACGAAACAATAACTGAAATTTCCATCAAATCACTTCATTCAGTTCATTTTTATCAAGGAACAATTTCCATATGATTTAGGGCTTCTTTTGAACACAAAACACACACATGAAAACCATACACCATACGTACATTTAGCAGTACCATCTATATCTCGCTTATTTTGAGTCATTTCATTTAAATTTATGTATCGAACGCTTCGATGATCCAAATGAAAAATAAAAAGAGTGTTTAACCTTCACTGATGAGATTGCCCAAAGTATCAGATTCCATCATTATTGAGCGGCCCATCAAACCAGGTCAAGGAACCCATACAAACCCATCTGGAACAATGTCCTGTGGCTACGTACAGAGTAGATAAGAAATAAACCCAAGCTCAAACCTAATTGTTGTTGGTAGATGTTTATCATTGTCATTATTCCGAGATCATTATCACTATCAGTCTCATAATAATCACAGTGCTTTGATTTCCCGGTCTCCCATGCATCACCATCTCGCTGTTCTCTTTTTTTTTGCTGTGTAGCTCTCTCCTTCTGTGTATCATTTCGTTTTTCTGTTCTTCCCCCTGGTCTTGTGTTCGTGTAGCTGCCAAGAGCATCCTTCCGACCACCTTCTCTCTGTCTATGTTGTATCCATCTGTCCTTCCCGGGGACCGACTTAAAAGTCCTGAAAATGGCAAATGAATAGAAGTATTATGAATTCATGATGATGCTAATTTGTGTCCTTGCATGACGTCTTAGTGTGCTCTCTTACCGGTTTACTTTCCCCTTCAGTTGTCTCTCCGCATCAAACATCCGGACATTCATATTAGTTTCCATCACACCATTTTGCATTCACGAATCAAACTGAAAAAAATCACACTTTAAATGAATATCTCTGTATACAAAAACATATGAATACGTGTAAATTAAACATAGGTGTATATATTTATCCAAATTTAAAGATAATAATTCCTGCAGTACTATCAAATCTTAAAGAATGATGTTTTTAACAAGGATTTATTGATGCAGTGCTTGGAAAGAACATGCATATCCTTTGAAAATAATACAAAATTTAAGCGTTTGTTGTTTAAATTAAATTTCTTTAGCTGGATAAGAGAGACAGAACCACCCCACCAATCTGTATTAAGTTTTCTTTGTCAAGTGCATGCTGTATGTATAAATGGTTTGGCATGAGATGTATTCTTTTTGATTTTGTTATAAGAGTAGTTTTTAGCCTGTATGCATACTTTATGTCACAGTGACCAGTGTCATTAAGCCAAAAGCTTTATAATTTTATAAAGTGGGTAAAGAATCAATGAAATTAACGATAAGAAAAGCAAATTGTTCAATATGTTATCTTTCTTCAAAAAATAGTTAAATATTTCAGCTAAAGATATGCAAGTTATTTTTAACGATAATTCGTCGGCATAATGACACTGGGCATTATGGCTTGTACCCTATTTTAAACAATTTTAAGCCTGCTGCCTGCTGCATGAAATAATCCTAGAGCTATAAACACTATGACTATATAATTTCAACCTAAAACTAAGAATCTAATAACATAATCTATCCTTTTTTCCCCTCTCGTTTCTCTTCACTTGTGCAGTGCTACAGAAGGCGCCGACTCGCATCCTGCATCCGGCGGTGGCACGCCCACCGGCGACGAGGGTCAAATCGGACAGGGTAAGGGCGATGAAGTCAAAAGTACGTGTCACACTTTGATTGGTAACAAAACAAAAAAAAATGAAAAGAATTACAAAAGAAACAACTTCAAAAATAATTGAGATAGAAAGCGGTGACAGGTTACTAACCCCAAGTTACTTGTAGTTTACTCTTAAACCCTGTTGAATGTTCAGAAATCCCCCCTCCACTCAGAGTTCCCTAGTGAATGAATCGTTTGCTTTGTAGTCTAGTTTAGTTTAGTTTTGGTTTGCAGCCGCGACTATGCGGTTGTGTTTGATGATGGCAATATAGTTGCTGCTTTCGGCTAACCTTTATCGATCTTGAATCCGTCCCCGACAGTTACCACGAAAGTAACACAGCAGGCCAAACACTTTGGATCCTTCTTGTCATCGGCCATCAGCAAGGCTGGCAGCAAAATCAAGGAAACAGTCAAGGATAATGTGAGTGGACTTCGCTCCGTTACGAAGACTGTATTTAATTGCAAAATATCCTTTTTTCAGACCATTCTCGACTCATTCAACAAGGAGCAGGAGGCCTTTATCAAGGGACAGGGTGGTGTTGGCAATGGGGCAGCCCCCTGGATTGGACACGCCAACGAGGCCAAGATTAAGGAGGAGATCCTGGGCCTGTCGCAGGATCGCCGCAACTTTGTGCGCGCCCCGCCCGCCGGCGTGGACTTTGAGTTTAGCTATGACACCGCCTACCCCACGGCCATAGCCATTATGGCCGAGGACAAGGCGCTCGAGACGATGCGATTCGAGCTGGTGCCCAAGATGTGAGTTTAACGGTTTTTGGCTTTTCGAAATGGAAAAGAGTGTCATTTTCCTGTGTTTCCATAGCATCACTGAGGAGAACTTCTGGCGGAATTACTTCTACCGCGTCTCACTGATCATCCAGGCCGCCGAGCTGGGCACTCTGGGCGCCGATGGCGTGGGCCAGGCCTCCAGCGGTGAAGATGGTAAGTGGTTGTAGCTCCTAGCTACACGCGGGAAAAGAAATATCAGGGAAACAGACTGTCCAAGCTCACGAAAACACTCACACTCGTTACTCGCGCGCTCTATCTCGATCTATCTATCTGTACCCGTATCTCTGTATCTATCTGCCCCACCAACCTCTGTCTATCTTTCTGTACGTCTAAGTCTTTCGTTTTTGGTTCACTTTAGCCACACGCGCCTGTTTAACATATGATTTCCTCTTAGTCCTTTTCACACACGCTAGCTGTATCGATATCGAATCTTTTCCGTTCTCTCGCTCCTCTCTATCTAACTCTCTCTCTAACTCTAATACATACTACTACTATATCCCTCAAGTCTCGAACTAACTTACTTGGCTAGCGTCTGTACTACACCGCCTAAGAGTTTGCTCCAGTTTTGAGTTGTTTTTAACCCTTTGATTTGTACTTGTCCCTCGTCCCTCCTTCCCCTACACTACTGGACCCGAGTGTCCTTGGCTTTCGGTTATTCCTCCTCACTTTCCCCCCCCAAAAATGATCATCTCAATCGCGCCGCCTCGAAGCTCAATTAAAAATCGCTCCACGAACGTCGCCAGCCGCCCAGCGCCTCACCTCAAATCGAATTACTTTTATTATTATTCTTTCTTTCTTTAGTTTGTTGTATTTATTTTCCTTTTATTCTTCCTTTTTTGATTTTTTTATGAATTAAAAAACACAACTGTATCGAACAATCAGCCAAAAAAGCGGTCATTAATGACGAAAGCAAAACCAAGACTGCCGAACCAGCCAAGAGCGATTCTAGCCTGATTAAACCCATTGCCGAGCAGCCAAAGGCCATCGTTGAGTCCCAGGAGGCCCAAGAGCAGCCTCAGCCCAAGGCTCGTGCCGCCGGCAATGAGTTGGATCAGAAAATCTCCGAATCGGAGTTCGTTTCGGATGACTTTCAGACCACCAGCGAATCGGACTTGGCTGAGATCCAAGCCGGCATGCGTAAGCTGGGCATTGACAGTATGACCCAACAGGCCTTGGCCACGACTGACGGTAAGATTTTACTTTTATTTATTTGTTATTATTTCCCATTTGTTGTGTTTTAATTTGGTTTAAAGACTAACATTTATTGTACATACATTGGCCGTCCCATGAAATTGATCAGCTGAATTTCATTGGTGTTCTGGAACACACACGAAACATTCATTCATACATACACATGCCACAAACACACACAAACACACATGACATATAGAACACTGGAAAGCCTAACGTGTAGTATAGTGTGATATTGCTTAGCCAGCGATCTTCATCCGCATCCTAGAGCGTCATGATGGCCAAACAGTATCCGGACACACCTTCATATTAGCCTCTCTCTGAACACGATAATGATGTCTCTTGTCTGAGTCGCGTGTATTTTGTTTTCCAATTCTCATTCTCATTCTATATTTGCAAGCAAAGCCAACACATCGAAATACATATATGATTTTATGTTTTTTTTTGTAACAAAACAAAACCAAACAAACAGAACAAATAATATAAAAAACATGAAAACAAAACAACAAAAATGTGTGTACAAATCAAGTGTAAAAACCGAACAATTCTCTTTTTTCTCCTCTGCTCTGTTTCTTTCTTTTGTGTAAATTACATTTTGTATGAAAATCGTTTTTACTTATATATACTATATATATCTATTATGTGACGACCAACTCAAGCTCTGGCATTTAATTACTAAAGCGAATCTATCAATATCGAAGCGAATATAAAACGAATAAACCGAATCACTTAAATAACTAAATATAGAAGTAAATCAACTAAAGGATAACAGAAGTATTATATAAATTATTTAAACACGTATAAATATATTAAAGATACTATATCCTGGATAAAATCGAACTCGGGTCAAAAGTTTCGTTGCCATTTGCAAATTAATGAATAAATAAAATACAATTTGATTTCAAGTATCGAACGGTCTCAGAATGCGCTAAAAGCCACACAAATCAAATTTCGAACAAGTTGAGTATGACCAAACTGATCAAGAAATTCCTATATACTACATATATATCCTATTGATACAACTTTCGCTCTCTCTCTCTTTGCAATTTCGTGCTCTCTCCTCCTTTTTATTCAATTCCAGTTCATTTACAAAAAATTAGCTAGATGTAATTTTTGTTATTTTCCTCCTCTCTCTTTCTTTCAAACCCATTTTCCCTTTGCCATTTTATTTTTACACATTTTTTTTCACAACAAAAAAAAAAAAAGAAACCCTAACTGGTCGCGACACAAAAATAAAACCTCCTCTCCTAGCAATACACAAAATTTTCCAAAATATAATATTTGATGATGAATTTGTATGGGAAAACATTTTTAACCAAAAAACATTTATTTTTCTTCATGTATTTCTTGATTTATTTACGAATCGAATCATCTTCCAGAAGATTGAATGGATTAAAACCAAAAAACCAAATGCTAAATCTAAATTTCAAACGCAAAAACAGACAAAAAATACAACTAACAAAATTATAAAAAAAAAGAAAATACTACAAAATTGCCCACAAGAAAGAAATGAAATTGTTAAGCGAAACAAAAGAAAAAGTACTACAACAAACAAAATTATATAAATACTTATAAAGATATTCACTTGACAACAAAATGATAATTTGAGTTGAACCCAGAAAACGCATTATTTATACATATAAAACCGAAGAAAGAAAGAACCCCTCAAAAAGTTACTAAAACCGAAACAAAATTTTGTGTGGTAAGTTAGAAATTGTTGGTTGAATTAAAACAAAAACAAAACAAAAAGAAAATATACAAAATGGCAACAAGTTTTAGTTGTGATTCTTATCGTTTCCATGTTGGTTTTCAATTGCATAAAGTTTCTGTTCGGCAATATATATATTGTATGTAAATATTATCCAACAAAGTAGTTGCAATCTCAATCATTTCCCTCTACGCTCCTGTCTGTGTCTATGATAACTACTCGTTGTTGTGTATGTTTAGTATGTGTGTGTCCTTAAATTTCATTAGTTTATTATTTGTTTTAGCTGAACAAGGCCTCAATCTTTAGTTTGGCATATTCAGAGTATAGTATTTAGTGTTTCATTGATGTGCGTGGTGGTCTGCCGGAGGGAAAGAAGAAAGAAAGAAACCTTTGATGGACATTTGGCGCTTCTTTCGGATAATTAAATGCTTTTTTATACTGCACAAAAATGTAATACATATGGAAAGATAATATTTTATGGTCCAACTCACCACACAAAATCTATATGAAAAAGCGTTCCAAAACGACAGAAATTCTACTTGGCAAGAAGAAATACCTGAATAAGCCCTAGACCTCGTTTCTTTCCCTTGACTCTCTCTCTCTCTCTATTTCTACATGGCATTTTAAGTTAATTAATGTTCAAATCATATTCTTTGCCAGCTTAATAGAATATTTCATATTTGGCAAGCTTCGTCGGTTACCAAGTGTGTATACAAGTATTATTATCCTAAGTTTGCTTGCTTTTTATGCGTAAATGCTGTAAATACACACAATATATATTATATATATATTATCTTTGGTTGTGATCATTTTATTAATTGATGGAGTGTGATAAAAGCGTAATAAATAAAGCAAACCAAACCACAAATTGGTGTTTCGGGACTACAAGCAAGTCATGGACTGGGACTGGGCCACTTTTGGGTGCACGCTATCCGTTAATTAGTGCTAGAGCCTGCCCCCGCCCCTGTCCCTGCCGCCCTGGGACTCTAACCCATAAATTGGTGTCTGACCATTCGTTTTGATAATTGACTAAGTGAAAAAATAAACAACAAATTTCCAACTATTTTTGTAGACGGCTATTATTCAGTTACGGTGCGCATACCCAAACGTATTACAGTGTGTGAAAGTCTATGTCTTAGCTATAACCCCAGAGACTAGCTGCAGGTAAACGTAAACGAAAGATGATTGAAAACCGAGAACAACCATGTACTTGCTTGGGATGGTCACCTAACCACAATTCAATTGCTTGCCTATAGACACCTTTGATATACTACTAAAACCTATATAAACTATACGATATATATGTAAACCGTGTATGCTAATCCAATATTATATATCCTTACTACATATGCCGATATATCTGTTGCCGAGCTGCTAAGCCACGCATATTCTAATCGAAACTCTGCTTGTTGCTCCGTCTTTTGAACAGAGGAACAATGGGAAAAGGATCTGGAAGCTGAACTCAAAGACTACGAGGTGGTGGACGAGGGCGGCACTGGCGGCGGCGGCGGCGGAGGACGTAGGAAAGGAAGAAAGGCCACACAGGAGGAGGACACCCAGGCGGAGGAGGAGGATGAACCGACAATATCAAACTTGCGCACACGCTCGACTAACAACGATTGGGAGGAGTACGCCGATTTAATTGAGGATACCGATGATTTAAAGTAATTAAGAGCTTATATCGTAGTTTCTTCTAAGTTGGCTCTAAGTTTATAACTATCTTTACTTTATCTTTCTTTCCATTCCTTTCTACCCTTGTTTCCTCCTTGATTGATTACCCAAAAAAAAATATATTGTTAACCCAAACCAATCTAAAAAAAATACTTTCGAAACCACAGAACTTTGAAGTGCCTAAAGCGCACCATGTTGGGCTATCCATGAGACGAGGCCGTCCCAGCGCTCTTCTAGTGCCGGCGGTGGTCCACAGCCCCAGGGGCCTGCCTTGTGGTGGCCTATTGGAAAAGTTGGTTGAGAATGTACCTAACACCCACTCCATTATTGGCCCCCCCAGAGCAAAGCGTTCTATTCAGTTTCCTTCTGACATGATATAAGACACTAAAACCAAATGAAAACGATTTTATTCACCCTTAACGTTTTAATCCAACAACAAAAGATAACAAAGCAACCAAGCCCAAGCCAATCCGGTATTCAAATACAAAATATCCACTATATATTCTCTTTTATTTGGTTGAAAAACACCGCGTGGCAGCGGAGTGTAGGGAGTCGTCGGAATTACTTGCCAATTGTTCAGCACACGAAATCCGAGAATCTGGCGGTCAGTAACCTATCAATAAGTACTTGCAGGCTAATCGGGAAACTGGCTAATGCTATATAGACGCAGAGATCATATTTGAATATATAGTGACTAACAGTTAAAGAGTAAAGCAAACCAACAGAAAGTCAAAAACAAATAAAAGCTTCAAAGGGAAAATTTTGTTATTTATATTTATAAATAAATTATATATATATAAACTATATATATATACATATATATATATATATACAGATAAATTAATGCATTTGAATTTAATGTGTAAAAATTATTATAATAAAGATATAGATATAAAATATGTAAAGATACGAGAGACACCCAAAATAAATGTTTGCAACGTTTTGAGTTGAGAATCAGTTCTCAAAGTGATCTTTTCTTTACGAATTTGAAATTGAAATCGAGATACAAGCGAAATAAAACCTAGCAATTCATTAGTTTTGAGATCAAGAAAATAAGGACGCATTCGAAAGTATTATTTCTCCCTCGACAAATAGTTGATAGTCAAAGAAAGAAGATATTAAACGTTGAATAAATCATCATTGATTGATATATGCTTAAACGACATGTTGAAGAATAAATAAATAACAATGCATATAAATATAAAATACCTATTGTTTAGCTCAATTTAAGGCGCGCCAACAAGTTTTCTTTTCGACTAAATTTTCTCAAATATTTTTTATTTTTCTCCTAAACAACTCTCACCTTGCTGTTCCACTAACGAGACACGAAACTTCCTTGAACGAAACTAAAAACAAAAAACACAAGTAAACAAAAATGCCAAAACAATAATATTCTGAATTGGACTAAAAACGCAATTAACAATTAACAAATTAAAAATTACAAATTACAAATGACAAATGACAAATGAAAAGTAAACACGCAATTATAAACAATAAGCAGTTCAAAACCTTTTGAAACAAATATATACACATATATATTTATATATATTTCACTAGACAAATTTTTATGCATAAACTAAAAACAAAACAAATTCTATATTATCAATGTTTTTGCTCTAAATGTCTAACTAATTGTTAATAAAACCAAAAACCAAATTATTTTCCGCAGGCAAAACATTAACACGTTAAATGAGAATGCTATATAAATATGTGTCATTATTTGTTACCAGTGGCAAATGAAAATATTTAAAAGAGCAAGCTGACGAAGCGATAATGAAACGGAAAAAGTAAAAGTTATGACATTAAACTGTATATTGTACATTTACTTTTAAAACCAAATGAAATGTATTTACACACGAGAAACGGCATGGCATATGCCATATGGCATATGGCGATGATACGAAACTAAAGAAATTTTAAAATTTATATTTACTTTGTGCGTTTTAAAACATGTTGGCGACACAATGACAAGCAGATTAGTGCATAAACCTAACTAATAATAATAATAACAATAAATATTAATTAAAGGTAAATAATGTAATGACGTTGACAACATACATATGTATTTTACAAGGCAGAAACCAAACCAAACCAACCTTGACCCGATCCACACCGAATCCCAAAAGATATATATCAAATTCCTGGCATATTTCGCATATTTTATTATCTGCAAAAACAGTTTATTACAGAATGCAAACCCAATTAAATTAAAACGTTTACGAAAGTTTGTTGAGCAGCAGCAGCATTCCATTGATATAACATTGCAAAATGAACAAAATATATGTATATGTACTAATTAAAGTATATCACCCCGAAAAAAAAACCCAAGAGAAACTGAAACAAAATGTATAATTTAGTTGTTTAATGATTGATAATATTTAGACAGACCAGAGGATGCCCCCAAGCATCGTCCGGATGCAAATTTAGTCATCCGAGACAGCAGAGAAACACTCCTCGAAATGCCATAGAACATTTTCCACTCCAATGTAGAGCGCAGAAGCAGGTGGAGTTTCTCTGAAGAGATTACAACACGAACACCCTGAAAACCAAGCACAGAAATACTGTAAAGTTCGACGACAGACCGACCGAAGACAACAACACCATGAACACACACGAGTATATACATAATAAAAATATATATGAGAACAATTTAACGAGATTAAAATCAACTAACGTAATAAAGGGAAAGTGTATAACTATTAAAACTAAACGACAACCCACCCAGCTCTTTCATTTCGGTTTTCGCATTTATATTGCATTCAATTTATTCACACAAATTTTTCAATATAACGCTAAATGGGTTAAAAGAACACATAAACAGTTTTTGAACAATGCACAATGAATTAACAGTGGGTGTTAAAAAGCATGTGATTGTCTGCCAGTGGGGCGGCAGGCCAACAAAAATAATTTACAATATTGCATTTGGCTTAGATCAGGAAATCTCATAGGTGTACCTTCTTCTATCTTGGGATATGATGTGAGTGCAGCGGCTTCGCTTATCTTACGGCTAATAACACAATGACATTGACCTAATGATGCCCTTCCACCCAGGACTAATTACAAAGCTATAACACCTGGCTACTGCTGGTCACCAGCGTTCGCTTCGTCGGTGCGGCTCTGAACGCTCGTAGGCGATGCTCTTGAAACGTGTGCTCGCCCCCAGCTGCTGTTGCTGCTGCTTCGGAACAGACTGGCCCCTGTTCACAAGGTCCTTCCATATCATGGTGAGTAGTATGAAGATCGCGCCCACAATCTTGTTCAGAAACTCGAGCACCTTGAACACGATCGGCGTGGCGGTGTGGGTGAAGCGACTCAGCTCGAACATGAAGCGCACAGCAAAAACGCCAAAGAATCGCAACGCCATTGCTGCCCCGCCAATGACCGAGAAGATGAGCAGGGCCAAAAACCGGATGGTGCCCATTATGTTCCGCTTGTTCACATCGTTGGCCATAAAGTCGTAGACAGTCTGCTTGACGCCGTCTCCCCACTGCTGCAGCACGGCCAGGAAGTCGTTTAGACCCAGCTGGAGCTGATCCGCGACTTCATCGGTCGCAGGGGGTTCGTCGCCCGAGGTTATCGCCTTGCTGTTGATGTTGCTGCTCCTGTTAACGGAAATGGATCGTCTCGGGGTGACCAGTGGCTCTGGCTCAACGGCTCGCACCATCTTTAGTTTCAGCTGGACCTCCTGGTCCCGGAAACGTATTGTTTTTATGCTGAACCAGTACTCGCCGAAGGCCAGATCGCTTAGCTCCGCCCAAATACAGGTCTCCAGCTGTCCGGGTTGCGATGTGTGCTTATAATTGCCATAGCTGCCGCTGGTTATGCCCACCCACATGTTGGGCACGAAGCGCTGGTAAAACATCCGCAGTTGGGCTGCGCTGTTGTGCAGCAGCTTCTCCAGCTCCCGCTCGCTGCTTTGCAACACCACTATGTCCCGGTAGCCGCCCACCTGTTCCACCAGGCAGCGCTCCAGATAGTGACCGCGGAAGAGACGCGACTTGTACAGCTGCTTGGTGAGCGACTGCATCGCTAGCTCCTCGGGCGGCATGGGGCGTGCGTTCGCCATCGGTGCAATCATTTCGCTGGTGTCCATCGGAAGCTGTTCGAGAAAAGCACAACTATTAGGAGGGATATGTGTGGCCTGCAATGGTGACCTTACCAATTGATAGTACTTGGACTTTGCTGCAACCACTTTCGCCGCTTAGTCAGCACCGTGTCAGCCGAGTTTTGTTATTGTTTGGAAACCCAAAATGCCAACATCCAATACTAGGCTTCAGAGCAGGTGTAAATAACTAAAAATTGTTTGCTTTCACTCCCTTTCAGCTCCGCACATATTCACAGAGGACTTTGCATTCAAATATGAACAAAGATCCTGAATTTACCAAATTAAACAACAATCAGGTAGCAGCTGGCTAGAGATGGGCTCTGGCTGTCGTGTCACGAGCACAAACGCCTAATTAAAAAACAAATTAAAGTTGTTAAAACAAGCCTGGAAAATCGTGCAAAAACATTTTTTACTTAAAAATCTATTCCAGGATCTCAAAATACTTAGTGTATTTCGAAAAACAAACTATAAAAAACCCGATATATGGCGAGTTCGTGACTCGTGCTTGTTCCATCTCTACGCTCAATAAGCCACAGTTACCCATCGCTAATGTGACGAAAAAAATTATTAAAAACCTTTTTGATACTCATTTTTCCAAGCATTTTCACACCCGGCCACGTTGGTTTCCCTCCCCGTCAAGATTTCCTCCCGACACCGACTGGAAGAGTGCCTAAGGATGACTTTGGTGGGTCTAGCAGCCCGCAAGCTGGCGCAGAAGCAGAGGTGAGACCGCTTGGGTTGTCAGCCGGCATTTATCCGTAATCTGGAATGCTTTTTTACTCGTCCCGCAGGTCGGCCAAACTGGCGGCGGCCTTTCCGAACGGCGTCCGGTGCCAGAAGTGCCTCCAGATGGGCCACTGGAGTTACGAGTGCAAGGAGAAGCGCAAGTACGTGCACCGCAACTCGCGGACTAAGCAGCTGAGCAAGCACCTGGCCGAAAAGGAGGCACAGACAGCCAAGGACGTTGCGGCTGGCAAGGCGGGCGAGAACGCCCAGGACGCCAGTTCCGCGGTCAACAAGAAGGCCAGACGCAAGCGAAAGCCCAGTGGGAGTTCCTCCTCCTCCTCCAGTTCGTCAGACAGTTCGGACAGCAGCAGCGGGTCAGACTCCTCCTCCGCCTCGGACTCGAGCGACTCCAGCTCGGACTCCGATGAGAGCTCGTCAGACTCTAGCGGGAGTGGTTCCAGCGGCTCCGACAGCGACAGCAGTGAAGATCCGGATCAGGGTGCGCCCCAGAAGAAGAAAAAACGTGACGAGAGTTCGGCGGACTCCTCCGACGACCAGGAGTAGGAGTTGAGAGCCCGGTTTTGGTTTCGTAGCGCATAGCTTTAGTAGTTTAGTTCTCCCCCGTTAGCCGTCGCCCCAATAAGTGGACTTTTTACCGAATATAATTGTAATATTACGTACATATTTAATATTTAAGTTCCCCCATGTGCATGTAAATGAGTGGTTCGCCGCCAGAGTGCCACCAATAAATATTTCAGTCAGTCCGAGTCCATCTCCTCGTCGTATTGCTCTAGTTTCTGGAACGCGAGGTCCACCAGCTGCTGATTGTTGATGTGCTCAGACTCGGAGACCAGGACCGGTTGCATTTCCGGCCCGTCCAGGTCTATGTGCAGTGGGTCCCGAGTCGGAATAATGTTGTTCTGTAGCCCCAGAGACTTCAGATGCAGTTCCTCCACCTGCGACACATGAAAATGTTGGATTTGTCTTGGGGATGTAAATGAACAAGGGTACCTTCAGTGAATTTAGAGTCTCCTGGATGACGGGAAGGACTTTCTCAAGCTTCCTTTGGATGGAAAACAGCTCAATCTGCTCCTTTTGCAGGACGTGGTTTGATTGCAACATCTTAAAATAACAATTGATATCGATAGCAGCGGCTATCGGAAATACTTTTACCTGGCAGGGATGCAATCCAATAACAAGCCGGGTAGAAGCTGTTATCGGAATCGTTCGCGCCCTCGCAGAATTTTCATTTTGTACAGTCAAAACATTTATTTAAAATTGAAGAAGAAATCCTTCACAATATAAACAAACAGAAGTCGAGATATCCACAATATGGACGCGTGGGAGGCCAAAGAGATCGGGCCTCTGTTGAAGCGATTCCAGGTCAATTGCGCGCAGCTGGAGCTGGATTCGGGGATCCAACAGAGCGCCTTCGATACATACCAACGATTGGCGGTGGACGGTGGACTGGCTAGAAGTGGAGACGACGCCCAGGGATGGCTCTGCTGCGCCGTATACAGCGAACTGCAGCTAGCGAAGATCCGGGACATTAAGGGCGAGTTCCAAGAAACCGGGAACCGCTGCTGGAATATGTCGCTAACGCGTTTATTGCGCTGCTTCAAGGTGAGCGGGTCGGTGTTCCTTCGCTGCATGGAGCACTGGAACTGGCTGGCCCAGAACACGAAGGTTTTACAGCTGGAGGTGGAGGAGCTGCGCCGAAGGTTCAGCGTCACACTGATCCTGTTGCAGCACTACAAGAGCATTTTCCAGAGCCTGTTCACTCAGCCCTCCGAGGACGAGGATGCACTTGCCTTCTACCATTCGCTCTACGAGTTTGGCTGGCTGCTCTTCCTGGTCGTTCGCAACGAGCTGCCTGGCTTTGCCACCGAGAACCTGGTGAACGGCTGTCAGGTCCTCGTCTGCAGCATGGACTTACTGTATGTAAACATGCTAGAGGTGCCAAATTCCCCGGTTATCCGCCGGGATTTTCCGCGCTTACCTTCGATGTGGGGCACCAAGTACTTTGACTCCGACATCCTGAAAAAATACAGCGCCTTGCAGGCCATCGGAGCCCTGCTGCCCCATCTGCCGGAGAGGGGGGTGCAGCAGATGAAGAACGCCTTTTTCCAGAAGGCCCTTATGGTGCTATTCATGGACCAGACGCTGCTGGGCAACGACACCCACATGCGGGAGATTCTCAAGGAGGGAATGCTGGACGTCAACTTGGCTACCCTTAATCGTAAATACTCGAGCCATGTGGCTGACATAAGCGAGATGGATGAGAGGGTCTTGTTGTGTTGCCAGGATGCGAAAGAGCGGAATAAGAGCAGTCCGGATTCCAAGAGCAGTCCACGGCCGGCCTCTTCACCATATAAGAAACTACTGGACCACAAGCTACCACAGAGCATGCCCCCAATTATTAAAGCGCTTGGTGAAGGAGAGAACTATGATACCATAGTTCACCCCGTGGAGAAGCTGCTGATCAGGCTGGGCCATACGTTTAGCAGTGCCGTTAAGGACCATATGAACGAGGAGGTGGCTGCAGAGCGATTTCATCTGGCTAGAGGCCTCTTCTATAAGTTCCTGCAAAAGATATTGGCCTCTGAGTTGGCCCTGAAGCCCCAATTAAAGTTGGGTAGCTTGCTGAAACAATACACCCTGACCACAGCCCTTATTGCCTGCTGCCTGGAGGTGGCTCTGCACATACATGATGAGCAAGTCGATCAAGTGCGGTTTCCCTTCGTCCTCGACTGCTATTCGCTGAATGTCTACGATTTTCAAAAAATATTAGAGCTGGTGGTTCGCCACGATGAAGGCTTGCTGGGGAGGGTGCTGGTTAGGCACCTGCACACGGTGGAGGACCAGTGTCTGGGAACACTGATCTTTCGCGACAACTCGCAGCTGTGGCAACACTTTGGGAAGAACGATCGGCTTCCCAGCTACCAGGAGGTCCAAACTCAGGCAGAGGACAAGGAGAACCCGTCGACCGGCGCAGGCATCTGTCTGCGAAAGTTCTATGCTCTGGCCCACCGACGTCTACTGGGCCTCTGCAAGAGGCTATCACTAGTGGATGCGTATCCACGTATATGGCATCTGGCTGAGTACTCCTTCACCCTCAAGGGCGGCGAGCTGCTGCGCCAACGCAACCTGGACCTGCTGCTACTCTGCGCCATCCATCTGCACGCCCGATTGGAGGATCTGCGTCTGAGCTTTAGCGAAATCATCCAAGAGTATCGTCGCCAGCCACATGCCCAGAGCAGCGTTTACCGGCAGGTCAGTCTGGGCAATGGCCAGACCGTGGATATCATCCGCTTTTACAACACAACGTTCGTGAGGAGTATGGCCCGTTACGGGCTGCACCTGCGCTGCGAGCAATCCACACCTCCCAAGTCTCTGTCGCCCTTTAGAAAGAACGTGACCGTTCTGATGGAGACAGTGCCCAACGAGCTTCGCATGCGAGGTAACATAAGCGTATCCTCGCCACCACCGCCCAAGATCTGCCTGAGTGGATCCTGCTCCAGCTTAGATCTGACAGAATCCATCAACCGATCTCCGAGGGTGATAATTAAAGAAGAGAATTTAAATCTGAAGCGCAGTGTCTCCAGCAACGAAATCCATGCTGACAAGCAGCCCAACATCCTTCGGCGACGCACCTGCTTCCATTGATTCGAATAAGTTTCACTAGACACATTCAACACCCTGGCTGGCTACATTTTACGAAGCTGCACTACATACAAAATAATTAGTAAGATTTCACTGAAACACGCCTCACTCATTGTAAATGAATATTCTCTACTCAAATGAATTCAATCTCAAATAAATTAAATGAACTTTACAAAAAAAAAAGCTTTCAAAACAATTGTGGTCATTATATTCAATTTTAAACAATTATCCAGGAGGTTCGCATCCCAAACAGTTGTCGGCTCTACGAGCGCTCTCTGCCAACAAAGAGAAGATGGGGCGGTCCGAACTGAAATGTCTTTGATGCCGTTTTCAAATTGACCTTTAGTGAAACGAGTAGCTGCCTGCCAGCTCAAAAATATTTGAAATAAATAACAACTCACGTACTCTGTATATTTAAATAGATTTTAATTTAATGCCATTGTTTTCGGGACTTGGAAACTTGGTACTTAATAGTTGTGCAGTTGCGACCAGACACGAAACGAATCTTACACGTAATACAGGGGACACGGATGTATGTTCGTCAAGCTGGGGTTTAAATGAAGGAGACAGGCTGGGCTTAGAGATTGGAGTATACATATTACATACTGAGAGCGTACGACTTAAAACTAATTACTTTAACGCTTGCTGTTGGCTTATAAGTAGGAGTTAAGAAGGAGGAGCTGTGCCGGCGACTGGAGCCGTGCTTGCAGGAGGAATGCTGGCGGCGGCAACGGGGGGCACTGAGCCTGGTGGGGCGCCGCTGGCCTCTGCAACTGGGACGCTGCTTGGCGGTGTGGTATCTATTGAAAAAGATGATTAATTTTTACATAACATTAATATTTATATTTAAAACTTACCCATTGGTGTGGGTCCCTGAGATTGCGCGGCTGCTGCTGTTACCCCTGCCTCGCTGGGTGTCGCGGCCAGGGCCGAGGGTGCTCCAGGCGGAGGGGGTCCACCGGCGGCCACAGCGGGTGGCGCCTGGAAGGGCGCACCGTTGGGTGGCGGAGCTACGGAGCCTGCTATATGCGGCGGCAGCGGCTGGTGCTGAGCGGTGGGACCCGCCAGGGGCTGCGACTGCGGCGGCAGCTGGTGCGGATGTGGTGGCAGTGGCTGCTGCTGCTGCGGAAGGTGCGGATGCAACGGCAGCGGTTGCTGTTGTTGTAGTTGCTGCTGTGCCTGCTGCTGTTGCGGTTGTGGCAGCTGCTGTTGCTGCTGGAGAATCATCGTCCCGGCTGCCGCCGCTTGACCTTGCAGCTCTTGCTGAAGGCGATGATGCGCCTGCTGGCGAGCCCGGAATTCGGCGGCCTTTAGCTGCTCCAAATGGAACTGCTGGCGCTCCGTAATAAGCTGCTGGCGCTGGTACTCCAGACCTTCGCGCTCCCTCTCCATTGTGGCCTCCAGCTCCTCAAAGTGCCGCAATTTAATCTCCAGCTTCTTCATTTGGGTCTCGACAAGCAGCGCCACCAGGGACTTGATCTTGCGCTCCTCCAAGGCAGCCAAGTGCTTGGCCTTGACTGCTGCGGATGCAAGAGCGGCCGCCGCCGCTGTTTGCATATTGTTTTCGCTAAAGGCTCCCTCCTTTGCAGCCGCAGCCCCCGTACCAGCGCCTGTTCCTGATCCCTCCTTGCCATCGCTGCCGCCATCCTTGGTCTCGCCATCTCCGCTGCTGTCCTCCGTCTTGATGTCCACATCGGCGGCTCCGCCGGCAGAGGCGGTTGGGTCTGTGGGTGAGGATTTGTTTGTTGATTTTTCTGACTTGCTGGCCGACTTGTCGCCCGAGGGCGAGGAGGCGGACGATTCTTTCAGTTTCTTGTCGGTGTTATTCGTGTTGCCTGACGCTGACGAAGATGATGTGGAACCCGAGTCTGTGTTCGTGTTGGTCTTATCCGATTTCGTTTTGTCTTTGGACTTGGCATCGTCTGTTGTGGTTTTGGTTTTTTGGGTTTGGTGATGGTGTTGATGTGGTTTTTTGGTAGCAGATTTTGGTAGATTTGGGCGCAACACAAAAACGAAACAAAATACAAAAGTACAGTGCCAAATGGATAGACATGTTGCAAATTTTGAGTACAATAAAAACGCAAGAGTTTACAAAAACAAAAACGATGCAGAGAGATCACAGAGATGGATTTCCGGGACAAAAATTAAAAGATAAATAACTCAAAAAAGGACTTCGTTGATATCCTATTTGATAAACCTTCAAGAAACCCTCATATGATGTATATTCTAGGATATCTTACCGTCTTTTTTGCTTAGATCCTTCATGTCCTCATCTGATCCGCCGGCAGCTGCTGCCGAAGCTCCCTCCTTGCCTTCCTCGTCCTCCTTATCGTTGCCTGTTCCGGCGATTCCACTGTTGGCCAGGCCAAAGTTGGGATTGAATTTTCCGGCTGCAGAGGCTTTCTCCACATTCTTCATGTGGTTATCCATAATGGTGGCGGGTACCTCGTCCTAAAACAGAGAATTTTCTGTATATATCGCCACATGTCAATATGAGTTAGCTTGTAATTACCTTAATGGCAGCAAACTCCTCCATGGCAGCCTTAGCGGCAGCTGCAGCTACACGAGGATCGACTACAGAGGCCAGGAAAGCCACGGTGGACATAATGGGATTTCCACTCTTGCTAAACGGAATTGGCTGGCAGCCCAATGGACCCAAGAAGCCACCATCATCCTCTAGATACGGATCCTCGATGGGCAGCCGCAAGAAGTGAAGGATACACTCATCCTGCGTTCGCGAGCCGACGTGCTCGCACACCTTGTTCCAGTCGTCTTTGTGCATCTCGAGTCCCTCAAGCAGAAGCAGTGTCTCCTGGTCCGTCCACTCCCGCGCCATGCTGGCCGCCGTGCGATTCCTCATGGCTGCCGGCTTCTTGGCATATTGATCCAACTTCAGGCCAAACTGGCTAACCCCGGAACTCAATCCTCCAGCTCCAGCGCCTCCGTTCTCGAGAGCCTCTGTCTTAATGCCAGCCAGGCCACCCTTGTCGCCCAGCTCCAACCCTCCATCCTTGCCCAGTGGCTTCTTGTCAAGATCGAGCAGAGTCTTGGCCGCCGACGGCTGTTGGGTCTTCTGCGGGTTAATAGCCTGCAGGCCCGACGGTGTATCCGAAAGAATGTGGAAGTGGGAGGTCGGAGGCGGTCCCATTGGTGTCGGACGTAGATCCGCATCGATCTGGTAGTTAATCAGTCCCCATTGCTCGAGGAATGCGTGGACACGCATAATAGCACACACATCTCCGGCCAAATTGCGCCGACAGGCGGTGCTGGTCAAGTACTCCGTGGGATTGAGCCTGAAAGTTAAGCAAGTGCAATCAGGAATAGTTCAGAGAAAAGGTTTAAGCCCAACCCACCTGTAGGTGTCAATCATAAAGTTTCTGTATGCCATGTAGATCTCCGGCGTCTTGGACTTGTTCTTGCTGTTAAAGAACTCTGGCATGGCTCGCTTCTCGATGACGTGAATGGAGTTGTAGTCGAACCAGGCCGAGTACGAGGGCACAATGATGTGGTGCGTCTGCTCGGTGACATTGTCCTCCATGTCCTCCTTGGCCGACGAGGAGAACTCCTGGGTGTTGCTGTTGTCGCTCGTCTTACCCGTCTGCGAATTGTCCCCATCCCCTGTGGACATTGCTTGGGCGGCGCTTCCCCCAGTCATTTCGTCATCCAGGTCGGTCATGGTGCCACCTACATACATGGATAAAGAAGTCAGAACGCGCCAGGGGAAATCTAGAATTAGGTACTTACCCTTAATGGGCATCATATCGTTGTCGCCACGAGATTTGCCACCTGGAGCCGGGCTGGCCGTTGACTGCAGCGCGGCGTTAGCTTTGTGCACCTCCTGAACATTGGGCTCGGCCGGCGGATCATCCAGATCGCGGGTAAGGTCTTCGTCGTCGTCGTCATTGCGGGACTTTTTGTGCACAACGGCCGGGGATCGCTTACGCTTGCCCGGCTTCGAGGACGAGGTAGATGCAGACGTGGCCGGTGATGGCGAGCGACGTCGCTTCTGCTTGCCGCCACCGGAGCTAGTAGCAGGCTTCTTCTTTTCGTCGCCAAAGGACATGATGTCGTCGATAGACATGCGCTGCTTGTGCGTCTTCTTCTTTCCCTGCTCGTCCACCTCGTAGTCCTCCTCAGCCATCCACTCGTTGTACTGCTCCAGGTCCAGGATCCATGAGGCAGAGACGCGCCAGCGTTCCGCCGGCGACTCGGGGTTCTCCGGAATGTGATCCGGCAGGTCAAAGCTGTTTACAGCCCAGGAATCGTAAGATTCCGGGAAATAGTACCAGTGCAGCATTACATGGCCACCGCGCTTAAAGATTGGCCGTGCGTACTCGTCGGGATGGGGATCCACGACGGGGTAGACAATGTGGGTGGATTCCTCTTCGTCGGAAACGATCTCCACCCGCCGGTTGTCAAGGATCTCGCGCAGGCGTCCCTCGAAGCTCTTCTCGATCTCTGGTCGGATGTAAATGTACGGAATGCGGTAGAGGTCTGCCTCCACCAGGGCCTGCTCGATCTCGATCAGAAGTTGGATGTTGGGATCCTTGCGCGTGGGGTTCTTTCCGATGGAAAAGTCAAACTTCTTGCCGCGCTGCTCCGCCCGGAAGCGGAACATGGTCGAGAAGATGATGCACAGCCCACCGCCGCTTTTGAAGTCCAGAAAGCAGCGCATCTGGAGGGCAAACATAAATTTTAAATTAGTTATGCTCGGAAAAATTCATAAGAATTATTAAATTTAGTTAAATGCTTTTATCACTATATATACTCAGGTATATATATTTAATTTCAGTAATATCTGATCATTTCTTTTCTTATTTCACAAAAAATTACATCCATTACTTTCGTTCTATTCCATGGAAACACATTGGGTTAATATTTACGTGTACACACGCGACACAGGGCACCCTGTATCACGCACACATTCACACTAATACCAACCGGAATTCTTGTCGCCGGCGGCTCCGCCGAATTCTTGCCGAGCTTCGCCTCCACATACTGCAGAAAGTGGATCAATAGTTGGGCCAGGGACTCCTTCGTGATGGGCTCCGAGCTGTGCGCCAGATACTGTGCGGAAAAGCAACTTCATTACTTATTGTTTTTTTCGCGGCGACAAGCGCCATTTTTGTTTGCGGCGGCGTTGTTGTTGGGGTACGCACCTTCTTGCAGTTCTTCTGCAGCCACTGTCGGATGGATTCGAAGCCCTGCAGCGTCTCCGGGGACTGGAAAAAGTCAATATTCGGACTTCCGTCCTTCTTAGGACCCAGTGTGTTCATGGTGCAGCACTTTTTGCAGGCTTTTTCTCAATTTTTTCTTCAGTTTTCCACGCCAAAAGCCAATATTGAACGCTAGGGCTGGACCAACGACGATAGTTTGTTGACAGCGGTGGAAGTGCATCGATTATTTTGTACTATCGCGATACTTTAAAACATTGATCGATATCGGGTTCGTAACTGAAATATTTTTACCATTCTAGCAATATATTTGTGCTGTGAAATAATTTAAAAATAGAAAGGATGTTATATTCAGAAAGCTTATGTTTGTATACCCTTCCAGCTTCAATCAAATCGCTGGGCCGATTATAAAATATTTCATAACTAAGTCAAAAATGTACTTATTTTTGTTCTGAAAATTTGTCTGCTGTAGTGTTAATTGATTAACACTCCGGAATACGGAATTTAATTTTTAATTAAAATTAAAAAAACAATAAGCCTAGTACTCTGACGAGAAAAACCCGCTGTCTAAATTAGACAGCGGAATCGCTGTTTATTTCGCTACCGAGCTAGTGTGACCAAAAAAAATAAGGAAAATCCTGAAATTCCATGAAAATGTACTTTTTATGGATTAAGGATTTTCCTTGGTCACACTGGACAGCTGTTTGTAAACAAATATTTTTAAAAAATATTAATAAATATGGCATTAAAATGTCCTTTGTGGGTTAAATTCCGTATTATGGGCTTCCCCTTGACAGCCCCTATCAATGCCACCTTTTTCCTTCAACTTTCCCTCCATTAGGGGTGTCTAAATAAATCAAATGAATTATTTAGACAGCGCGATATCAGCTGTTTACTATCTTGATCTGGCAACGCCATTCAATTTTCGCAGGCTTCATTTTCGTCGTCAGAGTACCGAAAAAAACGACGTGTCTAAAAGTTCTTCTTCTTTTTTTTTCGACACCGTTTTTTTATATGGAGTTTGGCCGCTGTCTAAATTTATACAGCGGTTTTTTCTCGTCAGAGTACTAGGCTATACAATTAAATGAGTAAATTATGTTGTTCAAATTTTGAACTAGTTCGAGATTTCATTAAAGATTTGACAGCGAGCAAGATGACTATGTAGCAGAATGCATTAGCCACTTCATTGCCGCGAAAATCGATGGATCTACATATCTCAATAACAAAATACGGTCTTATTGAAGAACATTGTAATTGAAATGTGTATCAGCCAGTTCATTAGAGGGCTCAACTCACAGTGGTCTCGCAATGAGAATTTTATTTTTATTTAATTTTGCTGGTTTCTGAACTGAAAAAATATTAGAAAATTAGGGAATTTAATGTTTTCGGTAGCAAGGTTCTTGCGCTGTAAAATTAATTTAAATAATTTTATTTGGTAATAATTAAAAAAATTGTAGGCATTGTAGTTTTAAAACATAAATTTAAAGGTTTCCGCATTCATTTATGCTTGAATATTTCGACGAGGAATATAGAAATTCATAGTAATATTGTTTACCTTTTTCGATCGGTGTCACCGTAGTCGTGTTACCCAAATAATCTAAGAAAATAACACATATAGTTGTCTCTTTCAAGGTCCTAATGAAGTAGCTGGTTAATGAAAACTGAATTACAGTGTCATAGGGCCATAATAGTATTACAAAAATTTTAAAAACATCGATGAATGGTTTGATTACAGTAAAGTTGCCCACCTTCGATACCAAAGTTTCATACCACTGTTTCATAAAATGTATCTACCCTTCTCGCTTGTCGCTATGGTCGTCCCGCTCGCGCCGCTTAAAAACCGTATGTTCCCACTCTGTCACCCTACACTATAAATGCAACTCGCGACGGGCGAACATGGCTGCTGGTAAATTGAAAAAAATAGTAAAACTGAAAAATATAGTGCGGTCGGAGTGTGTTTGCAGCAGCGTGAAGCCCAATGTTAAGTTAAAACATTGACCGCCCACGCCCACCAACGACAATTGCCGCGTTCTGGTAGAATTCGCCACCGAGGCTGTGACCGCGTGTGTCAGTGTGCGAGAAAAATCAATGTGCGTGCGTGAGTGCGAGTGAGTGGGAAGCACTGCTGGCAAAAAGAAATAGGCAAACGCTGCAGCAGAGCCCCTGCACCAATACAAGCGCAAATCGCCGTGGTAGCGCAGCATCGATTGTACGGTTTTAGAGAAAAAACAAATCAATTAGAAAATGCAGAGCGCATGAACTACTGTGGCAGTCCCACGAAAGCTGACTGCTGCCGCACCGGAAAGGGAAGGGAGCGAGAGGCGAGCGCAACCATTGCCAAAGGTGGGTGACACAACACTCGGGGACCGCCATATCCCTTATCCTCGACTGCATTTTAAGGGGGAGGGGGAGAATCTCTTATCGCTTCCGGCCATGCATGGGTGCGTGCAGCCGAGCGTGGGGCCAAGGGACACGCTGTGTTGTGATAAGAGAGCGGATCCGCCTCTCGAGAGGCAGAGCGTTTAATTCAATTGTGAGTATGGAGAGCGCCAACGCAGCAAAGTAGCTCAAATCCTTACACAAGGGGAGCCAGAGAGTGGGATTCATGCACCGTAGAGAATATCACAAAACATAGCTAATCACTCGCGCTTTGTTTTAGCCTCTATTCTTGGCAGCCCGTTCGTTCTAGTGCGCGTATTTTTAGTCGCAGCACATTGCTCAATTTGCTTGCCGTCCGCTATTTGTGTCGTCCATTCATTGGGCTCTTTTTCCGATTTCAGTGGGCGGAATGTATGGAATAAACCATCCAGCGTCCACATTGCGCGCTCGCCAAGAAAAACACAAACACAATACGATATTCAGGCGGCACAGGTACAAGCAAGCACCTGTATTTATTTATGGTTCGCTGCCGTAATCGACTGCAGCCTCCGCCGACCCCTCTTGGGGTAGGGCACTTGAACTAGTTTCAAACGGGGGAGCTCGGCTTTTTCAGCGCTTTTTCGCTGTGCTTTGTGTGCTCTTTTCGTGTTTGCCATTTTCCCCCCAGTTCGCAACATTTGTGAGTCTTTGTCGTCACAGTTTGTTCGTCGAGAACATTTAAATACGCAAAGTTCACTTGCAGAACTTGACTGGGGGGCGATAACGATAATGATGATGATGACGATGATGAGGCTAAATTAAACACCTCTGCAGAGTCGTTTATCATCGGTGTGCTGTGCAAACAACAGCAGCTCCGTCGATAAATTCGATCCCGATCCCGATCTCGATCGAGACAGCGACAGCTGTCACAATATTAGCCAAATACCATTGAAAATATATAAATATTGAACTCTCCGGAGTTCAAACACAAATACCTCGAAATGTGCCAATTTCAACTAAACAAAGCAATAATTCAGATGACCCAAGAAAGACATTAACCAATTCCTTGAAATAAAATATATAGAAATAATGTGAAGTGCTAGGCATATTGTTCTTATTTTAAATGTGCCATAAACTCTTAGCTATAAATATTAAAAATTAAGCTGAAATATTCTGAAACTGGGCATGAAAATAATCAATATTACTAGAAATATAGGCTTAATTGAACACTTTATTTGCTTTTTTGCGATTAGATTCTAAACTCTAGAAAAATAGCCCTTCTTCAAGTGAATCATGGCTATAACTTATCGCTATTTATGTACATTTATTTGTTCAATGGGCAATTCCCGTTTGAAATAAAATGGATTGAATGCCTCAACCCCAATACTTTTCTGTACACCAAAAACCTTCTATAGCTAGTACTATAAAAACCATTCCAAACGAAAAACACAAAAATCGAAATACATTTGTCCTCCACTTAATCGTCCATTCAAGCATATTGGTGATAATGAAAAAGTGTGTGCACATTTCATGGCTTATCTTTGGTTGGAAAATGTATAAATAAATGCGCGACGCGACCCAACAGCAGCGACACACACAACAATTGGTAAAATCAATGATTGCGATTGCAAAATTTCGCCTCTGTCGATGTTCATCTAATGGAAATTTAATTACCCAGTCTGAGCGGAATTTTCCTGACTCCAGAGGTCCACGCCAAGCCGATCATCCGATTCTCTCAGTAGGTGGGTGCTGATGGGTGGCGTCAACAAGGTCGTTGACAAATCGAAGTACAACAGATTTGTGGGCAATAGATTGGCTTTATGGTTGGTTGGTCAGTCAGATATATGCGACATGCCATACAAATGTTTTCATTATTGTTTCGTTGTTATTTATGCAACTTGCCTGCCTTATTAATAATGGCTTGATTACTTATGGGATAAACATTGACAATAAATTTACACGTGCCTCGCAAACAACCATTGTGGCTTGCTTTGTGGCTCATTCTAAGCGTAGGTGTTGTTGGTTTCTCACCTGTAACTGCGACTGTGACTGCTTGGGTTCTTGGCCGTGGTTCAGTGAACCTGTGATTTTGACGAATGCTTATCTGGCGCACACAACACACGATGATGCATTGATAAGAGAACCAAAACCTGAACGCTTAGAGAGTAAAAGTACTTGTCACTTTGAAATATCGGTATTAGCGGAGGAGAACGATCTCTAGAGCCGGTTTCAGTCCTCGTCAAATTGGATTTACCGTAGGCTTACGTACGTACGTAATACGGTTGCGCTTGTCCCGGAATACACATATGGAAATGGCGTAATTTGCTCAATTGTCACGTTCTGCCCCGAGCTGTTAAGAACGCTTCAGCGGCAACAAAACGAAACCATTATTCGCTAAACCATTCACGTTGAGTGACTCAATTTACACAGAGCCTTTTACCCTAGCCTGTGCAGGAAATCCTACCCAACCCATCCCTGCCTGGTGACGACGGCGGTCTTATCCGACCACGTGTCCGGTGCTTATTGGTCGATTAAGTTGCGCTCTGAGAAGGGTTTGCTTTCCGATTGCGCCAGACGCTCTGCTATATGCGGTCACTGTACAGTGCGTCACTGCCTAATAGCCCCAACAGTTAATAACAGACCGAAGAATCTTAATAATAGCCTCTCCATCAATTGAGATTAGCAGTCGTCAAGCTTCACAATTAATTAATATGGTTTAATTAAGTAATGTAGCTTCATTTAAATTGACAATAAAACGAGTAGTAGGGATTTCTCAGAGAAACGACATAGGAAACGCACTGTACTCGTGGTGGCTTTTGACAGGTTGTCATGGCATTTCCATTGCCTTCAAGCGGCGTTTCTTTATAATAAAAAAACAATACTAGCCATATTTTGCAGTATTAAGTGGCGTTATCTCGATTGAAACCCTTTTATCTGAAACTGCGTACATAAAATCTAAAAGGTCTAAACTAGGGTTATATATATATTTGGGGCAGTCACTATAGATTTGAGTAAATTATCTTCATACGTGAAGTAGAATCGTTAAGGGAAAAGCAAATTGGATTAGATTAGATTAGATTATAATGTATATTCATCAATTCTGTATTATAATAAAATTAAACTTACCTTCTCTTTTCATTTTCAGATTAGTTACTTAGACTAGATCGACCGATCACAAAGCGTATCACAAATAACCATTGTATAATGACATCAAGGTAAATATAGAAGTGAATTGTGAAATCCTGAATCAGCTGAATAACTCTTATATTTTATTCAGGCTCGACCGTCTTTTCATCCTACTTGAATCCGGCTCTACAGCGGCCACACGACAGGCGGCCGCCAAACAGATCGGCGAGGTCCAGAAGCTTTATCCACAAGAACTACATGCGCTGCTCAACCGGCTGGTGGGCTACCTCCACAGCTCATCCTGGGAGACGCGCATTGCGGCGGCCCAGACGGTTGAGGCTATCCTGAAGCAGGTACCGCCCTGGCAGCCAGAACAGCAGCTGGTTCCGAAGAAGGAGCGCTCGGGCAACGATGCCAACACCGCTGCCGTCGAAGAGGACAGCTGTCAATCCAGTGGCTCCAGCTCGACGACGGCCAGCGAGCGGCTGCTGAGCTTTGACGAGTTCGACCTGCAGCACATTTTGCACAAGGGAGCTCGCCTCATCGGGTCCGAGGGCAACGAGTTTGATGTCCAGGAAGAGCAGCCGGCCAGCGGCGGCGGAGCGGAGGAGCACAGTGTCGCCAGTCGCCTCAGTCGACAGCGGGCGGTGCTCAACGATAAACTGGGTCTGACAACGGCCGCCAAGCTGGGCGTCAATTTGACCGACATGATCACAGATGAGGACGTGGCCCTGGCTAGGAGCGGCAGCAGCTACAATGTGAATGCCGAGAAAACGCCCGTGGAGCAAATCCTGAACATAAAAACAGCTGCCAATGGGGCTGGTCAGGCGCAACTCAGCTGTAGGGAAATGAACAGGGCCAAGCGCAAGGCCCGGCAGAATACCACAGCCTCTGCCTCTGCCTCCTCGGTGGTCACGCCCACTTGCAGCCGGCGGAACTCAAATAGCAACCACAGCACGGGCAGTAACCACAGCAACAACGGCGGACCCACATCGGCCATATCTGCGCTGGATGAACCAGAGAAGAAGAAACTAAAGGCGACGGATCGTCAGGAAATCTTCTATAGTTTAAATGGTAAGTGGGGAAGGTCAGTCATAAAGGCTGCAGTCCAAATAATTAAGGAGTTTCTTTTTCCTGCAGCTGCTGTGCCAGATGTCACGGGTACTTGGGTAGATGCCGTATCTTGGCCACTGGAAAATTTCTGCTCGCGCCTCTTTATTGATCTCTTTCATGCCAAATGGGAGGTGCGCCATGGAGCGGCCACCGCGTTGCGGGAGCTGATTAACCAGCATGCCCATGGAGCGGGCAAGGCGGTACACCAAAGCCGGGAACAAATGGATGAAGCGCACAGCCGCTGGCTTGAGGATGCTGCTCTGCGCCTGCTCTGCGTGCTGTGCCTTGATCGATTCGGGGACTTTGTCTCGGATCAGGTGGTGGCACCGGTTCGCGAGACATGCGCCCAAGTGCTGGGCACCCTGGTGAAAGAGATCGAAGCGGCCAAGGTGCAGCGGATCGTGGATATCCTGCTGAAGCTGATCCAGCACAAGAACGAGTGGGAGGTGCGACATGGTGGACTCCTGGGACTGAAGTATGTGTTTGTGGTGCGCGAGGAACTACTGCCCGTCTACCTGCCGCTGTCCATTAACAACATCCTCATCGGCCTCCTGGACGTTGTGGACGATGTGGGAGCTGTGGCTGCGGCCACCCTTATACCCGTCTCCTCCTGGCTGCCCAAGCTGCTGACTCCACCGCAAGTCTCATCGATCGTCAAGATGCTATGGGATCTTCTCTTGGACCAGGACGAGCTCACATCGGCGTGCAACAGCTTTATGGGCCTGCTAGCTGCTATTCTCTGCCTGCCAAAGGCCGCCAGTTGGGTGCAAATGGAGCCCATGGCCACGCTGGTGCCCCGCTTGTGGCCTTTCCTTTCGCACAGCACCAGCTCTGTGCGAAGGTCCACTCTGAAGACGCTTCTGACTCTGACCTCTGTCCACGATCAAGTGAAATTGGAGCCGAAGAAGGAGGTGGAGGAGAAGGAGGAGAACAAGGATCAGGTCCAGGCGGATCAGCAAATGATGAAGTTAAACTTTGGAGTCGGCGATTGGAAGTGGGAGTTGTTGCAGCAGGCGTTACGTCATATATACCAGCGTATCCTGGTGGAGCCACAGGCGGATATCCAGGCCCTAGCCCGTCAGGTTTGGTCCAATCTCATCGAACATGCTGATCTAGGTGCCCTGCTTCACGCTGCCTGTCCGTACGTCTCCTCCTGGATCTGCCTTTCCATGCAGCCGCCCAGACTTGCTTTCGACCCGGGAGTGCTTATCAAAGCCGGCGGAGATCCTGGCACCTCTAGGAAACGAACGCCCCGCATCGGTGACGACTTGGGCGGAGCCACATTGGCCCACTCTAATGCCACCCTCAAGTTGTACCTCGGCGGAAGCGAGGCGACACCCTTGGAAGTGCGAGAGGCGAACTTTATGCGAGCGCGGATCGCCTCATCGCGGGCCCTGGGAGCCCTCTCCCACTACCTAGTGCAGCCGGCTCCGGGAGTGGTCTACACGCCGCAGACTGAGAGTCCCACGGAGTGCTATACCAAGGTGCTGCTGGGTCATCTCAATGCCCACTCGGCTGTCCAGAGGATAGTGTGCGGCCTGATTATTGCATTTTGGGCACTGGAGGACGAGCCAGTGCGTCCAGGACCGCCCAATCTCCAGGAGAAGCTGCACCAGTGTGTGAGCGAGTACGTCTACTACGACGAGGTGGCCGTCTCGCTGACCCGACTGCTCCAAGAAGCGCAGGACTTCATAGCCACACTCAAGCAAAACAAGATACCGATCAATGACTTTAACAACTCCAAAATACTGACTCTGGAGCAGATCGAAGCAGTAGCCACCACGTTGACCGAAAATCTACGCATCTATCCCCTTAAACCCAAGATGCTGGACATGTTAGAGGAGCGGCGAAGGAGTCTGTATTCATCGTACCAGCAGACGACCACCGAGCAGAGTGCCTACCATGTCAGTGCTCAGGCAGCGCTGGCCGGCGCAATCTGTGCCCTGCACTGCCTGCCCGAAAAGCTGAATCCAGTGGTCAAGCCACTGATGGAGTCCATCAAGCGGGAGCAGTGCCAGCAGCTGCAGCAGCTTTCGGCAGAGTTCCTGGTCCATCTAATGGATCAGGTCTGTGATAGAAATCCTAGTCCAAACAACAAGATCCTGGGCAACCTCTGCACCCTGCTGAGGAGCGATGCCGAGCACACGCCCATGCTGGTAATGCCGCTTCAGACACTGCACCAGACGACGCCCTCGCCGGGGGTCACCAGCACCTGTGTCTACTACGGCATCCTGACTCTGGCCCTGCAACAGGCGGTGGCATCCACCAGTTCTCGGGGAGGGGGAGGCGGAGCAGCCACACCAACGACCACCACTCCTGGCCGTGGTCCCGGACGACCGCCTGCCGGCGAAGTTTTAGCCACAGCCATCATCGCCGCTTCCAGCGTTGAGTTGAAGCAAGCCCAGCAAGCCAAGGAGGCGGAGGCCAGGCAGTGTCGGATCCAACGCTTGGGAGCCACCTGCGCCATCGAGAAGCTGTGCAGCACCTTCGGCGAGCACATAGTGGACAAGGTGACCGTTTTCCAGCAACTGATGTTCAGCAAGGTGCCACAGTTTGTGCGGGAAATGGACGAGTGGCGGCTGGCCAACACTCTGCCGGAGCTGGGAGCCTGCAACGAGCTGATCACCTCCCTCCAGTTGATCGAGACAGCCGCCCCGCATCTGCATACCGCCCTACACTCCCAGATGTTCGACCTGCTGTCGCCGCTTGGATACATTGTTCGTCATCCCCTGAAAGCGGTTCGCCACATGGCCGCCCGGTGCGTTGCCGCGCTGGCGGATATCGATGCCTGTTTGACGATGCAGTTTGTGGTCCAGGACATGGTGCCGCAGCTGGGGAAGATCGAGTACTTGATTGACCGGCAGGGAGCGATGGAGGCCATCGAACGTGTGGTTAGCCGCCTGCAGATCAAAGTGGTGCCGTACATCGTGCTGTTGGTGGTGCCCCTGCTGGGAGCCATGAGCGATCCGGATGAGTCGGTGCGCCTACTGGCCACCCACTGTTTTGCCAATCTTGTCCAGTTAATGCCGCTGGATGGCAAGGCGGAGCAACTGAAGAGCGAGCCGTTGCAGGCACGGAAGACGCGCGACCGCGAATTCCTAGACTATCTGTTCAACCCAAAGAGCATTCCCGACTACCAGGTGCCAGTGCCGATCAGCGTGGACCTACGCTGCTACCAGCAGGCGGGCATCAACTGGCTGTGGTTCCTTAACAAGTACAACCTGCACGGCATTCTCTGCGACGACATGGGTCTGGGCAAGACCCTGCAGACCATCTGCATCCTGGCCGGCGATCATCTGCATCGTCAAGCCACCAGGCAGGCCAACCTTCCCAGTTTGGTCATCTGCCCGCCCACCCTCACGGGTCACTGGGTGTACGAGGTGGAGAAGTTCCTTACGCAGAACTCCGTCCTGCGCCCGCTGCACTACTTTGGATTCCCGGTGGGCCGCGAGAAGCTGAGAAGCGAGATCGGAACGAGCTGCAATCTCGTGGTGGCCTCTTACGACACCGTGCGGAAGGACATTGACTTCTTTAGCAGCATTCACTTCAACTACTGCGTCTTGGACGAAGGTCACATCATCAAGAACGGCAAGACCAAGAGCTCCAAGGCCATCAAGCTTCTGAAGGCCAACCACAGACTAATACTCTCCGGCACGCCCATCCAGAACAACGTTCTGGAGCTGTGGTCGCTGTTCGACTTCCTCATGCCGGGTTTCCTAGGCACCGAGAAACAGTTTATACAACGCTTCTCCCGCCCCATTCTGGCCTCGCGGGACGCCAAGAGCTCGGCCAAGGAACAAGAGGCCGGAGTGCTGGCCATGGAGGCGCTACATCGCCAAGTTCTGCCCTTCCTGCTGCGCCGCGTCAAGGAGGATGTGCTCAAGGACCTGCCGCCGAAAATCACACAGGATCTGCTCTGCGAATTGAGTCCGCTCCAGCTGCGCCTCTACGAAGACTTTAGTAATAAGCATCTGAAAGACTGTTTGGACAAGCTGGGCGACTCGTCGACACCGGCGAGGGTGACGGAGAATCTCAGCTCCCAGACGCACATCTTCCAGGCGCTGCGCTACCTGCAGAACGTGTGCAACCACCCCAAGCTGGTGTTGCGACAGTCAGAGGAGCTCACCCAGGTGGCCGCTCAGCTGGCCCAAGGCAACAGCTCGCTGGACGACATAGAGCACTCGGCCAAGCTGCCTGCACTCAAGTAAGTCTACATCCTAAAGTATACATATATTCCATGATTCTCATATTTTCTATATTTTTACCGCAGACAACTCCTTCTCGACTGCGGCATCGGGGTCCAGACAGAGTCGGTCAGCCAGCACCGAGCACTCATCTTCTGTCAGCTGAAGGCGATGCTGGACATTGTGGAGCACGATCTGCTGCGAAGACACTTGCCCAGCGTCACGTACCTTAGGCTAGATGGCAGTGTGCCCGCCTCCCAGCGCCAGGATATAGTCAACAACTTCAACAGCGACCCCAGCATCGATGTCCTGCTCCTGACCACACTGGTAAGTAAACTATTACTCTTCTCATTACTCTTCTCATTTACTGTTTTATTTTTTAGGTTGGTGGCCTGGGTCTAAATCTAACGGGAGCCGATACCGTTATTTTTGTGGAGCACGACTGGAACCCCATGAAGGACCTGCAGGCCATGGACCGTGCCCATCGCATTGGCCAAAAGAAGGTGGTTAATGTCTATCGGCTTATAACGCGAAACTCACTTGAGGAGAAGATCATGGGGCTGCAAAAGTTCAAGCTGCTCACCGCCAATACGGTGGTGAGTGCAGAGAACGCCTCACTCCAGACCATGGGCACCTCGCAAATCTTTGACCTCTTCAACGGCAGCAAGGACAATGCTGGCAAGCCGCAGGGCTCAGCTGTATCCGGCTCCACTGGCGTCTCCATGAACACCATCATCGAGAACCTGCCAGAGCTGTGGTCCGAGCATCAGTACGAGGAGGAATACGATCTGGGCAACTTTGTGCAGGCACTAAAAAAGTAGAGACGACCGCTTCCCACTTCAAGACTTCCAGTAAAGAGTTCTTCTCTAGGCTACTTTAAAAAAGTTAAAATGCAAACCGAATATCTTTATTTTTCGGCAGCGCTTTGGGATGTAATTTTTCTTCTGTTCCTTTGTAATCGCAAAACAGGAAAGTTTAGAGATAATTAATAAAACAAAAGTCTAAAACTTAAATTAATGCTTTGCTTGTTTGTTTTTGGGTAGACAAAACCGTTTTGAATTATAAACTGCCAATACTAGATAGATGTCTATCTGCAAAGTTTAATTTACAAAGCCAAAAATCTGAAAGACTGGTTTTCATATAAACGGACAGAGGGACATGGAATATACTTTATACACTTCTAACTGAAATCTAAATAAGATAAGTCAGTAAAGTGCCCCACAAAATATTTAGGAAGAAATTGGTTTTTAATTGCTTTTGGACTTTTTAGGGAAAACAATCGAAAACACACAGTTTACATTTATCATTCAAAATTATTAAAATCGTATTCAAATAATTTTAATATCTAATTAATATGTGAACCATTTTATATTTCAGTTAATTTTGTTTAGTAATATATATTAAATGTATAATTTTTACCTGCAATTTTTCTCAGTGCATTTGCTCCAAAAACAAAAAATAAAGGTGCATAATTTTGGGCGAAAAAGGAATTAACAAGCGTTGACTTACAGTAGCCACTGAATTTATGGTTCCATAAATATGGAAATATTTTTATAGGGTGTATTGGGGTACACCATATACATACATATCTAAAATTCAAAGTACACTGCTGGTAAATTCAAAGCATAATTCTTATCATCGCAAATACCAATGTTTGCCAAACAGATTTATTATTTGTCAGTAAATATTTTTCCTCTTCTCCCACAATTGGGCGCCCAATTGGGCGCTTATCATTTATTTGTCTCTCCCGCCTGGGACTTTATTGCTTGTATTGACTAATGGCCCGAGAGTATGTACTCTATAATGTCACAACTTATCTGATCCGTTGAGTTCGATTCTGTGTTTCATTTATCGATGGCACTGTTTGCTTGGCTAGTGCTCGATTCTCGCTCGGATCGGTCCGTCTCTGACCCGAGCACCTTGAATTTGATGGGGCTATCAACCATTAAGGGTGCCTTCAGCTAGTAAATGAAGTAGAACTCTTACCGCACAGCATCCACAATTTATATTTCAATTTCTGTAGTTTTTTGTATTTTTTGTTTTTGTATAAATCCCGGCTTATCTCTGCGCCGTCACGATGATGTGGCTTCGGACTATTTCATATAACTCAAATCCATATTATTTATGTCTATGCGGGGCGCTAAACGCGACCCGATCGTAATGGAGCCTGTTTTTCAATTTTCCTATAGCATTCAAGATTCCTGCACGCTTAAGTTGGTTGCTGTGTGCTTGGTCCAGGATAGGCTTATCTCGCTACTATCGTTATGAGCGGTTCCCCCTTTTTGTTTTTATATATATATGTACATATAAATTCCTTTTAAATGGGCCTTAATATGGTGTATTTAAATGCTCGGCTCAGCTCAAACAAAACAAAAGCAAAGCCAAGCTAAAGTCAGAAGCAGATAAGCCACAATAATTTTCTCGCCACTCGTACACTAAAAGAAAAGCCGGGAGAATACGAAAAATACCTTAATAATTCTGAATTATTTAAAAATAAATACATAAATATAATATAACAAAATACATCACGAAAATTAAAGTAATTTAATGATTGCTTTGCAAATTGAAATATCTATATTATTCGAGGTGTCTTAGAAATCACTAGGAATGTTATAAAAAATTACATTTACCTCATATTATATACTCTTAAATACCTTTCCAAAAGATTTTTAATAGATTTTCTGTTTTATCTGATTTTCCGAATTTTTGTTAGTAATTAAGAAAAAACAAAGGTAATAAAGAATAGATTTAAATTGTACATTTTAAATTATTTCTGTAGAACTACGTTTATATATTTATAGAAGTCCATATATGTAGTTAAGATGATAATTTTAATACATTTTTTGATATATTTTCATCCACTTAACCCAATATCTTAGCAGACTTCTTTAAGTGTATTCGCCTACCCACTCTCTGGCGTTTTTATCTTTTGACCAAAAGGCATCTTCCGGACTTTGCTACTGCTTCTGCTGATAACCACGAACTATAGCCAACACCCGCACCCGCACCACAGCACCCTTGCATCTTTATCGCTCGGCGTCCTCATCCTCCTGCGCTGGCTGGCTCCTCCCCGCATGCGCGACCCGCAGCACCCCAGGGCCAGCCCCTCCTCCTGACAGGGTCGGATCTGGGATGGGATCGAGGATCTGGCTCAGTGGACGACGGATAGGCGCCGGCTTAAAGTTTTCCACCAGGTTGTTTACCTCCTTATCGCACCAGCATTGTTCTCAACTGGCTTGTGATTCGTTCGGTTTTTATCAATGTTGCTGTTTGCAATATGTTTGTTCTCCGCTTTTTTGTTTTTCTTATATTTTTTTCTTTTCTTTGCTGATTATTGTGGCTGTTATCAATCTAAGTGACGTCACAAGAACCGTCATTTTGTTATTTGATAGGAATTTCTTGACACTTTTTTATCGTTGTTTTTTTTTTGGAAGTTGCTTTTTTTTTTTAGTTTTTTGTTGTTGTACACCAAACCTAACCAGACAGTTTGGCGTTCTCCTGGTGGAATTGTTGTTTATATTTTGTTGTTGTTGCCGCACTTTATCACTAGGGGAGTGAGCCAGAAAAAGGAGTGCGATAGACAAGGCAAGGTCGTTTACTTGGCTACTTGGTTATCAGTATTAGGAAGGGGATGGAATTTCCAGAGCCTCAGACATAAATATTTAACTTTGTTTATATTTGTAGACTATCTTAACTTCCCGACTTTTAGTTTATACTTAAACTTTAAATGCTTATGAAGCCCCAAGATAGGGATACAAGGAAACCGTTCAAAATAATATTTTAATTGACCGTAAAATGTATTTAAAGTTTAGTACAAGTTTGGCAATAAACCTTGCTTTTATATCTTTATCCTAGTATTTATTAAGATATCCGCATTGGTCAAGGACTCTTTGGAGTTTCTTAATTTCAAAGATATCATTTTATTTTTATTTTATTAGTAAAGCTCTTTAGCTAATATTCAATAACAATATACAGATTTTATAAAATCTCCAAAATGGTTTGAGCTTGGGATTTTTGTTAATAAATTGATTTCATTTTATTTCATTCATATACTTGGCTCTGATCCCTGTTAATCCTCTGCTTTACATACTATACTACTCCTTGCTGAAAATCGATTCCTATTCTCCCATTACCTCCCTTAAGATGATCGACTGGAGGAGCCTGCCATCTGGAGCGATAGTGGCAATCGGCTAAGTTTGTCGTCACCAAATTGAAATCTGGCCAAACGTGCACGGGAGCGTTGATAGGGATTCGACGAGGCCGCCGCCTGGCGGCATATACTCCGGCTGTGCCGGAGAGTTGCGTTGGTGCCCCGATAAGGATAGTCGCGCGACCGACGCGTGATGCAACTTAATCAAATCGGGCCTTGGTATCGCCCATAGTCGCCCGCGCCCGTCCCACTTCCTCTATCTCTGGCGCAATCCTGTTCGCTCCCTGCTCTGGGGATGGCGTCGATGTGGCTGGGGCTGTCAGTCTCAGAGCCGGACCCGGCTCAGATAGCCATATCTTGGCTGGGGCCGGCCAATCAGCGGCCAAACTACGCCAAAGTGCGAGTACACGGGGCGCAATGAGTAGTACCGATGGTTGCGTCGCCGATAATAAGTACAATCGTTACTTTGCTGTTGTCGTTGCTGATGTGTAATTGTTGTTGTTGTTGCGTTTTTGAAAAGGTGATATGAAATGTGCTCTGATAAGTTTTAATCAAGAATATTTTACTCGCATATTGCTTTGGGTGGCTCCGGGCCCGACCGAGTAGCATTTGAAAAGTTGTAGTAGTAGGTCGGAGCTCGGATGTGGATGCGGGTCCAGTCGAGTCCGTTCCGACACGTTACGGTGCGGTCCGGTATCCGTGGGGCGTGGCCGGCAATAATCACTGTGATCTCTCCGTATCTCCCTCTCGCTGGGCGTGAAACCAAAGAAAATCCAATGAAAAAAATGAAATAAATCGGAAAAGCGGTAGGAAAGTTGCGCCGGCGCATGGAAAATCCTTTAAATGTGTTTACCCACCAAAAGCGGCGTGAGTTTAACCAACACAATGGGTTGAGAGATGGGCCAAGCCGGGCGCCCGGGAAGTTCCCCGTTCCCGTTTCCGTTCCCGGAGCGGACTCACCGCCCCCGAAAGAGTTGCAATCCGGCGGCGTGACCTGTGTGACACTTTCATTTGGCGGGTTGACGCCCACTTGAGGTCGAAATCGAAATTTAACGGATGCTTAGTGCGGCAGCCAGATGCCCCGGCCTCCGAGCCGGATTTCGGTCATCATTGCGGTAAGCCATATGTGCCGAACGCCCCTCATAATGAGCGCAGCGAGATCACTGTGGCTCTCGGAATATGGAATAGGGAATCCAGACAGCTCCATGTGTAAGTTCTCCAGAGCTGACCATTGGGTCTGCTCTGCATTAGTATATTTGTCATAACTTTATATAGACATTACGTAAAAATAAGATGAAATATTTATGTAGATGCAACCAATCTTATGATATTCATAGCTTGATTCGTGTCTTTTCGTAAACAATGTTTATTATATATTATATAACAATATTTATTATATATTATGGTAAGTTCCAGGAATTTTTGTGGTAAGTGAATTTATTCGAAAACCACAGAGTTATATAATTTTGTTTTTAGTCGAGACTGAATTTATGTGGTTTGAAATCAAGCTCAAAAACCTTGAGTAATCTAAAACAGTTGTATAAACCGAAACAAAACTAGACAATTCAGTCATTATTTATGCATTAATATAGTTGTTTGCTTAATGTAATATATACAATTTTTATTTGTTCAGTTAAAAGACTTTTCTATATATGACTTACCTACAAATTCTAAATTTTTGGTCTCTAAGGATACATAATTTTAAAGTCATATTGACGTCCTTCCTTATATAATTGTAAACATACATATTTATTGGTTATTTTCTATGAATAAAACAATGTTTAATATGTAAATCACGGCATATAAATTCTTTAAAATAAAATATTATATATTTTTAACCAACTTAAACCTTAAGCATAGTAAAACCTAAAAGCCCCAATACAGAAGTTGGCTTTTCATAACTATAGATATCTTTAGGAAAACCATGAAACAGTAGCCATGGAAAGCAAAGGAAAACTGGGGGACAGCCAAGGAAGAGCTGGAAGAATTATGACGATTACATGAAACCAGCATGACGATCAACGAACCCAAAAAGTACAAAACTCTGGCTCTGGGCCCCGTCCATTCCTCGTCCAAGGGGGCGGGGGCATTGCCTCCGGGCTCCAGGCAGTGTCACCCAACAAGTGGCCATACATACACACTATATACCATTTAAAATGAGACCATGTACGGCGGTATATAGAGCGCTGGCAGTGTGTACGAGCATTACTTGTGCCCATAACAGAAAAACAAAATGCGAGTCAAATGCTGGGGCCCCGATCCCCGAACCCCACTGCCCACTGCCCTCCACTCCTTGGTGGCTACACTTTGCCTGTGCGGTCGTTGAGTTGCGGCGACGGCGACAACAACGCAGGCCTTATCAACAGCCCCTACAACACACATAATATATGGGGAAAAAAATAAAAAGAAATACTTATTGAAGAAAATAAGCGTTTGCAAAGAGAATTTCAAAACAAAAGAAATAAATGTAGTGGGGTCTTTATACTATATATAAATTCATGCTTATATATGTATATGCACACACCCAAGACTTCCTGCCATAGGTCAGCCATATTGGAAATTAATTATAAAAAAAAATATATGTAAGTTAATTGTCGCATTTAGCAACCGACAATTGCCTTTTGTTGTTCAGCCTGGTGATTTTCCAGGGAATCCAGCCTTTAGATCCCCTGCTCCTCTCAGAACTCCCCCTTGGACACGTGCATCTATGTACGTGGCGAAATGCATCCGCAAACAGGCGAGGTTTGCTTTTGGGTTCCATGGAGGAGGAAACCGCGACCAAACACCGCAAAAACCGAAACCAAAACCAAGAACAAACAACCGACAGTGACAGACAGTCATATACATTAAACATTAACAAAAAAACACCAAGCAAGCCAAGTTGAAATTGTAGTATAAAAGGAATTTTTGTGAAATTCCGAAACGCAAACATAATGCACGGTAAACAACAATCGGCCAAAGACAAGATACAAGATACAAGACACTTGTGTTTGTCTTAATCGTTAATTGCTCTGGTCATGTCCCGGTCCCCTGTCCCTGTCCCAGTGCCTGTTCCAGTTCCATTCCCTTTGCCCGTGCTCTGCACACATCCAGCCAGAGAGTGCGCCAAAGTCTAGGAAAAACCGCACCTACTCCATATAAACATAGCCTAGAGTATGTGCACAGGGCGGAGGATGAGCGGTATCAGCGCGTGTCTCTTAACTGGGTCTTCAGCGAGTACCTGTTGCCGGGGTACCTGGGTTACCTGTCCTCCTTCGGCGTAATGTGTGTTTGACAGGATATGCCCAGGCCCAATCCCAGTTCCCAGTTGCCAGTTCCAGTCGCAGACCCAGTCCCACTACCAGACCCATGCCCCGTCATCGTTCCGACTTGCATTGTTCTATACTGCGGAACTTTAATTGCCCAACCTTACTTTCACTGTCCGCATTTGTTTGCTGCATAAAAATTAATGAGTTTAGGACTCGGTGCCCGGAGCCCGGCTTCCATTCATAAATTTCGGGTTTCGGCTGGGAAATTCCCGACTGCTGATTCATTTGCCATTCTTTTCATGAATGGGAACGCTATTTTTTCATCTATTTTGGATTGGTTTTTAATGGGGAAAGTCCATTTGTTCGATTGATAAATTCCCAGCGGTGGCAGTCTATCCTTGAAGGTATAGGAAATGGGTTATTAAACCCTTCATCTAGGACTTGGCTGCACCTAAACTGTATCAAGTCACGTTTATAACTTTATACCTTTAAACTACTCTTTATTAGAGGATATTTATTTATGTCTTCCTTATACCTCGCTGCTCAAGAACTAGAAATACTTTCCTATCCTGTTGCCTGCGACAACTTCCCCATGATTGGAGCCCTCCCGTGGCGAATGTCATCACTTGGGCGGACCATTAAAAAATCATCAAATAGACAGTATGAAATATTTTTTAAGTGGACGCCCTAGTTAGAAAGCGCCAGCGCCAGGTACGTGACAAAGGGCGAGGATGAAGATGAAGGAAAGTAAAAACATATTTTCCAAAAATTATATAACCCAACAAAGGATATTTTCCCTGACATGGCCAGCAAAAACATAGTCATAAGTGTATTGTTGTTTATTTGCTGAAGCCGAGAGAGCGAAGGGACCGCAGAACCCAAGTGAGCACGAGATGCGGCAACCATCATAACAATAACAACATCCTTTGAGAGTGTCGTCCTCTTCCTTTGTCACGATCAATTTGTATCGTGTCGGCGCGTGTTTCCATTTTGTCCTTGTTTACCTTTTTCCACCACAAGACGACCCCGCTTACCTAGGGGATGTTGTGATGATGAGAGATACCTTCTACCTGTGCGGACACCGGGGCAAATGGCAGCCGTCTGCGGCTTGGCCGGGCCGATTAGCACTGATCAGTGCGGCTTAATCGTGGCTTCTTGACAGTTTCCAATATAAAGTCTATTTAAATAGGTTCAATTGCCGGTCCTGTTGTTTGTCCTGGCGGTGGGAAAAACAATTCAGGGTCGCAGGAAATGTGCATGAAATGTGTTCTTACCGGGATTGTTGCATCAAATGCTCCAGACCATATTACTTAATAGTGGCCTAAGTGTTTATTTAGTTAATTCAGCCGCATGTGCCAGAGTTTACTTAACCAATTAGCTGAGAAAGTCATGTAATATTAAAGAACTCTGAGGAGGAACTCCTGGAGGACATATGGATAGCATGGGATATTTTATTTTTAAATGTTATGTGTACTTGTGTTTGTTTAAATTTCAAAAACTTTTACAGCAAACATATCAGAAAATGTTTTTATTTGTTAAATAGGAAGATTTTATATATTAGTAAGTAATTGGAAATTGCTATTACACTGAAATTTTAAGGAGTCAGCCCATAAAAAATATTTTAAAAATTTTCTTAAAGAAAATATATAATCTTCTGAGAAATGAAAGCAGTTAAACTTAACTAAAATGGATCCCAACTCCATGAACACATTCTCCTATCCACGAGCCGGTTCCCCAGATAAAGCAAAACAATTGACTTTGTTATCGCTATATTTAAAGAGTGTTAAAGACATGTTCTCAAAGGCCATTAAATGGGTTTTGATAAGACCAGAACTCTTTGGCAGACCGCAGGCCACTTGAATTGGATGCCTCTCCGGTTTATGGCAAGAGTTTTATTCGAATTCCTACCACATAACGATGCTGATAATTGGCGCTTAAGGACTCTATCCTCAGATCAAGAATAAGGCTCTCGTTCGACCGAGAGAGCCTGCCATGAAATGGATCCGTGGCGTATTGGATTACCAGGGCAATATTTATGATCGCGATGTACACAAAAATATTAAAAATGCATAAATACATCGGCACCGAAACCATCCTGATATGTGAGACACTGCCCGCCGCAGTTGACACTTGCTTGCTTGAGCACAACACAACCCATTTTCGGGCACTATAAATATGTCAAAATAATTTCAAGCCAAACTTTGTACCACGGAGAACACTCCGGCTCGTGTGTACGTGATCGTTTGGTTTTGGTCTCGTGGGATATTCAAATACTATGTATGGTTGCTGTTTGAATTGGCCCTCAGTGGTTTACTAATGCTCTGGGTACTTTATCCATATATAAAACCTATTAAACGACTTTTCGCCATAAACATAAACATCGGGCATTCGATATGTTTGGCTTGGAGTTCCCCTTGACAAAACCGGAGAACTCCGCCACGGCCCATTGACAGTCGGAGATCGAGTGTGAAACAGGGCACCTCCTTGCCCGCAGACCCACAAGATTATCCTTTTTATGAGGACTTGTAATAAATCACATCATTAGCATAGCATCGCCATTGCCTGGCTGTGTGATTTATAGGTTTGGGAGAGGTCTATGAGGGATCCTCTTGTTTGTTGACACTCGGCTCCTCCGAAACTCCGCCACACACACACGGATGCGTGCTCTATGTTCTCTGTTCTTCAGAATTCCAAGCCCGTCATGGGCACTCAGCCCTGACTCACATTTTGAGGCGTATTCTAGTTGGGGTTTTGAGGCCGCTTACCGTTATTTGCATTTGTACTCAATGCATTTCGTTTATAGTCAAACTTATCAGACTTAACTAAGCATAACATAGCCAGCTTGGGGTAACAGGAGGAACAAAGAGTGGGCTTGCTGGGCATTACAAGAAGGTGGAGTTGGAAGGCAAGTGTGAGAAAGTTTCCAGTTTTGGGATTAAACATTACATTAAACATTACATTAAAACATTACATTGTGTAGGTAGCTAAATAAGGAATTTATAACCATATATTTGGGTTGTGAATGGGTTATATAAAACACCCATGACCTTTTACAAAGTCAGGATAGTTAATAACTATCATTTTATTAAATTTTATAAATTAGTTTGATCTAAAATAAAATATAGAATAAAAATCTGATAAAATACCTGTAAATATTTAAAATGTAAATTATACAAATATTTAATTCCCGATTCAATAAAATAATTCGAATATTGTGTATTCGTGATATTTTTAGGCGGTCAACATGCGCGAATCGCATGTTAGACTGGGTCGAGCACCCTTGTGACGTCCATGCAAGTTTTTCAAGCTTAGCATTTATTAAATTCAAGGTCAAAGTTCCCCATGGAGCCCAGACACATGCAACAGACGAGCTGAAATTGAACATTTAAAAATACTTGTTGTTGATTTATTAAAAAATTCGAATTTTTTCGTTCCCGATCGAGAGTGTTGAGGCGACCAAAGGCGAATAAAATTATATGTAGAAATAAATGAAAAAATCTATATAAGTGGCGAGGCGTCAACCTCAGTCCCCATGTGTCTAGGGAAAGGTCCGGTCTAGTCCCCCACTTTGGTGCGGCGCTGAAGCGATCCCAAGAGCACGTTATCAGCTCGATTTTTCGAATATTTAATAACATACACTTATTTGGTTTTAATGGCCACAAAGGTTATGCGATCTATGTCTATGTACAAGTACGCATGTCAAGATGAACGTCGGCGTGTTCAATTCGAATACGTATTCCGATTTGTTTTGGAGCCACGCCGACCCACTTGAGAGTCGCCTACTTTTCCAATTGACCAACGATCGTTAAAATCGTAAAAATGTTCTCAAAATGTCCAAACAGATCGTTGGTGCCGCCTATTCAAATGACGATAAAAATGCCATAAAATCACCGAGCGAGCCTCCCCAGATTCCACTCGAAAATCGTTTTACGACTCCTGGTCCTGGTTCAACTGTAACAATTTTTTAATCCAGCCATTAGAGCCCAGCTCAAGTTCGTAATTTTACGAGCCTCTTTGGATATTTTTTGGCGTGTCGCCTCGGGAATTTGCAATAGAAAACGGAGCCACTAAGATCCAACGACGAGACTCAGTCTAGTCTCGGGGAAAGGCCTTTCCCTAGGATTTTCTCACGACGCGGCTCCAGCGATCACTTGTCTCGCCCCGAGGAACGTCCTTTGGCCCGGTCCTGAAATTCTACACGCTTCTCGTATGGATTTTAATGTTCGCGTTCTCGCGACAGGCATGAAAGTGTTCCTGGGCTCCAGGCTCCCCTCCATCCTACACGCATGTTATTTTGAAATTTAAAGAAATTTCATATTGGTTTCTGGGTGCGCTTCACTCATAACTCGATCTGATTTATGCGTAGATTTCACATTCGATTAGTAGGAATTACCGCACTGATAAAAAAAATAAAATCTTCTTTTGAGATTTTGCGCATTCTTAATTTAAAATCTTACTATAAGACCAAAAATTCTAGAAAGGAGATTTTTCAGGGTGTATTTACGAACAAAATAATCTACTTTTAAGATTTGCACATTTTTTGGCATTCTTAAAAAAAAAATCTTAAAAAAAGACCAAATATTCTAATAAGAAGAAAAAAAAATCATAAAGTAATACCGAAAATGATTCATTTTAAGAAATAAAAATCGTAAATTAAGATTTTTGTTAATCTTAAAAATTCAGAAGAGACGGCTTCTAGTGTTGTCTCTTTTTTTCTCACACAAAAATGGAAGTCATAGTGCCGTCTCGCTCTTACGACCATTCTTAAAAAATCTATTTTTAGCTCAGAGGGGAGATACATTTTTTTTTGTTTTCTCTGTCCTTGGAACTGTATGTATTCACGTTCCCGACATTAGTGTTTGATTTGCCTCAGTGGCCCAGTTGGTAAGCGGTCGGTCTGTGAATTTTGAGACATGGGTTCGGATCCCAGCCGGGAAAAAAAATGTAAGTAGCTTTTAATAAAATTTCTAATACTAATTTAATTTACAATAATCATTTCTAGCTCTATAATTACAGATTATAAAAATTCTTTCACAATAATGTTTAATTTAAAATGTTTGGTATTACGAATGTTTAGTAGTATTTTTTTTTTTTCTTAATTTAAGCCTTCTTATGGTCATTTTTTAAGATTTTCGGTCGTTTATCGTTCTTATTTTAAACTTTTTTAAGGATTGAAATAATATTTGAAAAATCTCAAATGTAGAATGAAAAAGTACTTAAAAGATGACCGAAAATATCCAAAGAAGACCAAAATATGCTTAAGCCATTTTCGTGACCGAAAAATCTCGTTTTTATGACCAAAATTCTTGTTTTTTTTTATCAGTGCGTAAAGAGGGGTTATTGTCCACAACGAAATTAATAGGTTGAAGTGAGAATCGATTAATTTTGCCCAATCAACTATTACTTAAACCAAAGCACTGCTGCTTATTCAGTGCCCCTGAGGTCACCAAGTTAATTTGGCTTGATCAACTTTATTTGAAAGAGCTGAAAACTAATTGATTGATAAGAAATAATTCGAATGTATATTTTTATTTCATTTTTATAAATTATTTTTATTGGGAAACATTAATAATAAAAACAAAATTACTACCTTGCTGTGAAAGAATTAAGTTTTTCTGTTAAATGTCATTAGATGTGTATTAAGTATGGATAACTAAAGAAACTATTTTCTAAACAAATACAACAAACAACAAATAAATAACAATAAAATGTGTAAAAATTACTTGAAAAAAATTAAGTATTGTACAGTGCTTAAGGTAATTAATTTATAAATTTAATATTTCTTATATTTAAGGATTTTTACTCATTTTTATAGTTGTAGTTTTACCATACAGTTATTGTTTTTTACATCTGTTTTCTAGATTCTTACAATATTCTAGAATTTTGCACTAGTGTACTGGTATTTATAGATTTTTTGCAGCTTGATGATCTCACGCTGAATTCCACACCTCCCTAGCTTCCTAGTTATTTCTAAAGTAGATTTGAGGCTACATTTTAAATATGTCTTGGAATTTTAGTAGTTTGTTTATTTGAGCTTTTGCATTCGTAATTTTAATATTTTTCAGATTTGTGTGCTGGCAATTGCCAGCCAACCACAACAACAGCAGCCACAACAACACCAATCGAGCAACAGTTCAGGCCGCAACAACAACCATCCGGCATGGCCTCTGCTTCGGCCTGCCCCACGCCTGTCCGCCCCCTTCCTGGCCAGCGCTTGTTGTTGTTGCTGTGTGTTGAGAGGCGTAGCTAAAAACTGGCAACCAGCGGCGAGGGACATGAGCCAGAGCGAGAGGCAGCGAGCACCAGTAGGCAAAGGCAAGCGTGCGATAAGGTTAGCTACAGCAGAAGCAGACCCAAAGCCGACCGCGCAGGAGAGTAGGGGGAGAGTGGGCTTAAAGAGAGAGATATAGAGAGTGGGGAGAGCCCCCAAAGAGAGAGGGAGAGCTTTGGGGACCGGGAGAGCTCCCCAGCATTTGAATTTGAAGCTGTACATGATGATTATGATTGTGAGCGGCGCTTGTGTAACGGCATGTGGAGCACAACTGTAATCGCCTGAATGGGGAGAGCGGTACAGAGTGGGAGAGGATGCGCCCTGGGATTTGTTCTCGTTTGCGTGCAGTGTGTGCGGGAATCTAAAAAACATTTTTACGATTTTATTATATTTTGTTGTTCCGTATTTCGAAATTTAAAGCGCACGCCGCCGCGCTCGTCGATCGCTCAAATCAAATCGCCTCAGTTTGTTTAAAAAACGCGCCGGACACGGACACGTACGTGGATTGCGGCGGATAATCCCGGAGAATCGATTGAATCGGAATCGGAGTCGGCATCGTAGTAAAGTGCACCTAACAGGGTGGTTCGTGCATTGCCAGTGGCTTGCAAGTATGACCAAGACCAGTAAGCCCAAGGACAAGGGGCCCAAAGCAGGGGGGAATCTTCTGAAGAAGGCGGCCGATATGAAGATCCTCACGGCCAAGTCCAACAATAACAACAAGCATCAGCAACAGGCCAAGCAGCAAGGACGAACAACAGCGGCAACTGCTCAGGCAGCAGGATCAGCCACAGGCGCGAAAGAGACGGCACTTGCGATCGTAACGGAGGCTCAGCCCGAGGCAGCGACGCAGGCAGCGAGCGGGGCAGCGACGCCAGCAGAGCCACAGGCAGAGTCAGCAGCAACGACGACGGCGAATTTATCGTTACTTGAGACTCGTTCGCAGGCTCACACAGCAGTTGACAGCGAAACGAAGCAGTCGGTTGACGCCACAGCACCAGCCACAGAAACAGCAATAGATTCCGGAGCGGCAATCAGTGACGATCGAAGTGTGATAAATCCTAATCAGCCGGAGAACGACGCGAGTGAAAGTGTTGATAATAAAATCAAAGTGATCAATTATGCGCATCAGCAGGCAGAGGAGCAGCAACACCACCAGATATACGAGCAACAGCAGTTCCTCAACCAGCAACTTCTAAGCCAACAGGAGCAGCAGCAGCAACAGCAGCAACATCAGCTGGTCCAGGAGCAGCAGCAGCAGCAGCAGCAACAGCATCAGGCTCATCCGGCAGCCAGTTGGCTGGCCTACGATCTGACCAGCGGTTCAGCGGCAGCAGCGGCGGTGGCAGCAGCAGCGGGAGCCGGAGCAGGAGCGGTATCGGTACCAGGAGCGGACAAGCCGGACCTGTACGCCTTGGCCGCCTCGCACCACTTTTTCGGCCACTTGTCCCACTATCCGTCAAGTCACCCGCCCGCACAGCTCTACGAGCATTACGCCGCCAGCACGGATCCCATAATGCGGAACAACTTTGCGCTGTACAGCTTCTACGGAGGTGGCGGCGGCGGTGGAGGGGGAGGCGTTAGTGATCCCAGTCATGAGTCCCTGCCCCAGCATGTGGTGGCAGCAGCCCAGGCGGCGGCAGCGGCAGCAGCAGCCGCCCAGAGCTCCACGCCCAACATCGACGAAGTGATCCAGGACACGCTCAAGGACGAGTGCTTCGACGATGGACACAGCAGTAACTACCATGTGCTGACCTCCGTCTCCGACCTGCACACACTTAAGGAGGCCAGTCCAGTGTCCGGGATTGCCTATGCGCTGACCCACGACCAGATCATGCAGCAACAGCAGCAGCAACTGCACCATCATCACCAGCAGCAGCAACAGCACCAGCATCAGCAGCAGCAACTCTTCCACCAACAACAGCAGCATCAGCACAACAACTCCGCCAGCTCCGTGGGAGGCGATTCGCCCTCTTCCTCGCATGCGCTATCCTCGCTGCAGAGCTTCACCCAGCTGACCAGCGCCACCCACCGCGACAGTCTCTCGCCGGCGGAGCACGGCGGCTACTTCGGGGCGACGCAGCTGAGCCCCAGCATGCAGAACAGGTGAGTCTTCCCGGCCAGCAATGAGCTCACTATCACGAAGCCGCCAGCGCACGTGCCTTTCGAGCGCTTCGCGACACCGCCAAAAGTCATGATCGGGAGCGCCGATCAGCGATCAGCGATCACCTAACACAGAGAACCGCCACCGGCTGATTCATGATTCTCCCGCTTCGGATCGGTTTCTCTGGCGGAGTGACGAACCAACCAACTAACCACCCCACGGGAGGGCCCATGAGTTGTGCTCATTGTTTCGGGGACTTTGCTCAGGCACAGATCCGAGTCCGAGTCCGAATCCCAGTCCAAATATCCGTTCCAAACACATTCGGTTATGGTTATGGCGTTATGGCATTCTCAGGTGGTTTCCTCAATATGCGGAATGCAAAAATCTGTTCCACTTGCGACTTGCGAGCAGCAACTTAGTTAGTTAGTTGCGTCCGAGGAATGTGTTTCAAGCGCTCGGAATGAAAACATAAACAAAACACAGTTGGGTTCCCATCGCAGATGTCCCATGCGGAAAATGTTTCGGGCCATGACGTCTTCGTCGTTAGTGGGGCAAGACTGATTAGGGATTTAGGGTATTAATGTATTCGGGAAATTTTTATTTTTTTATTACTTCAGTTCTTATTTATTTATTTAAAGTTAGTCTTTAAATAATATTTTATCTGTCTAAAATCTTGTCATTTTTGCAATCTTCTGCGATTTCTGTAGCATTTTAATTCCGTCTTATGTTTCTATACCAAAAATAACCTTGTCCAAGTCAAGAATAAACATAAATACCATTTTTGCAGCCCATTCTGTGCTCGCACTTGGCAGTTTAGCGTCGTCTCCTCCAAGCCCTGGTCAAGAAATCTTCTTCTGCAAGCCCGAAACTCAGCGAAAAAATATACAAATTGCCGCTCAAATTTCGTAAACAAGAATATGCAATGTCTTAATTATTGACGTAAGGGGCGCATGGCTTTTCTGACTCATGAGTTTTCCCGTAGGCCGATCTCTGTCCGAGCAGAACCAAGGGTCTCAACTGTTTGGCTAAGTTCCTCTCTGTTGCTTCCAACCAGCATTAGATGAGGCCCGGACTGTGGCCAACACGTGTCCAGGTTGTTGCCACCTTTGGCTTGGCATCAACACGTGCCACAAACTGAGGCAGTAACCCACCGAAACTACCCAGAAAAGGGGGCGTGACCCGCATTTGATCGAGGCGAGTCCAAATTCTGTAATTTTTAGAGCCGCAATGAAAACGCAAACTGCAATTGAAGCGCATTTTTCTAGCTTGTTTTGGGTATTCGGTTGCAAGTTCTATTCGGTGTGTTTCGGTGTGAGGACACCTCAGTGTGCGCAGTGCGGGGTAACCCAAACCGATCCCGTGACATAGAAACCCCCGAGCGAAACTCAAATTCAGAAACCGGGCAAAGCTGCTTCAAATGCCTCGCTTAACTCCACGGCTTGGGTTCTGTGCTCTCTCAGGGTAGCCGCAGCTGACTCAGCAAGCCTTTTGGCTCGGAGTGTTTAGGTGTTTATTCGAGGAGGGGGCTTGAAAGGGGTAAATGGGGTAATTCTCCGGCGATCGCTGGGCGGCAGCGGACCCAAAGCACCCGCACATTGTCGATTCTGTGATGTATTCCTCGCTTTTCCACCTTTTGCACCTCACTTGGCTGTTTTGTTTGCCGTTCTTATGTTGTTATTTAAATTGAAAACGTGTTTTGCATATATGAAAACAGGCATGAATGCACATTGAGTTAAAATTTATGAAGTCAAGGGAGGAATTAAAGGGGGTGAAAACTTAAGCTTTATTTATTAACTAATTGAGACGAATTCATTAGGTAGATTTCTTGCTTTTTTAGTTGAAATATTTAAATCGAATAATATTTGAGCTTAGAATAAAGCTTTGCCGCCCGTCAGGCTTATTACTTTTAAGAATTTCAGATTTTATTTTTTTTTGTTTTTATAAATAGTTGAAAAGAGTTGAAAAGAGGCGATCTTACTGCAAAGTTATAATGAAATCATAAACGTTTAAAAGTGGTTTTCAAGTTTTTCTCAAGAAGAATAATAATTCATCTTAATAAAACCAATATTATTCAATTTCTCTGCTTAATGTGAAACTTACCCCGCTCTGTTTGCCCAATCTTTCCCCCAACTGTTTCACGGTTTCGCATAGACGGAAATATGCATATCTGGTAACAGAGCCGATGATCTCCGGATGGATGATGATGATGGTGACGATGATGTGCTCGCCATTTCGTATGTGACTTTTTGGCCAGTTTCGCTTAGCGGCGGCAAGAAACCAGAAGAAGATATCACGGCTCACATGCCGAATGGCGCATACATACGAGCTATTTATGTGAAAAACAAGAAGTCGACGCAAAATACTCACCTGCAACAAACAACAACAGCACACACAGTACAGCCCAGCTCAGCTCAGAACTGAACTGAACAGAAATGGTGATAAAACTATATCGTTGTCGTGCATTTTTTGTTGTCACTCAGACTTCCTATATGGCCGCATATAACACATATATGGGCACATATATTGGCCATAGCTGGGGCATCTGCGCTGTTATCGGGAAGCGTGAGCATCTGCTGGAAACTCTTTGCTCGTATTAATATTTCTGGCAACAAAGGGTGAATTATTTGCAAGCCATTTGCCAGCTTGTTTGATAGCCGTATGAAGACATATGACGATAGGGCTCATTTCTTTTTTTTTTTTTGGCTTAGTTTACTCTGTCACATTATCGCCGAGATTTCTTTTGGGCAAACAGTCATCGCAGAGTATAGTAAAGCAGCAGCAGAAGCAAAAGTCGCAGCAGCGTCGACAACTGCAACTGCAACTGCACTGGCATAAAACTAAACCCGACTCAAGTCATTATGCAAACGCGCGTGCTCCGATTCGGTTGTGGTTTCTTCTCCGTTCCGACTCCGTCTCCGAATCAGACTCCGTCTCCCAGCCTCGTCCAGAGAACTAAGCCAGAAACAAAACTGAAAACTAAAAGCGAAAGACCTAAAACTGAAAACCGAAATAAAAATAAATCAATGCGAAAATGAAACTGCTAAATTCGAGCTGAGCACTTCCGCGTCTCTCCAGAGTGGCTGTTCGATCATAAATAGAATATTGTATTTTTTCAAAAACACAAAACAAGAAAGAAAAAGGGTTATACAAGACGATGGAAAATATTAATTGATGGATTTTCAATTGTTTGCACTTGGGCAAACTTTGTTGTTGAGGGTGTGACTAATGGCCTGATTTCGCGAATAAAAACAACTACATTATCAAGTACATCCGGTCTTTACCCAAAAAAATCTCAACTTTGTGGCAATTCAAAAATAATATCTGTGAAGTGATTAAAAAAAGTAAAGAAAGTACAAGAAACGTCGGCGAAATGTGTGTCAAGTGAAATCAGGATATACCTCCCTTTTAAATGTCTTAATTGTGCAGTTTCAATGTCACTATCTTGATATCCTTGATCGCTAATTAGTACTTTTAAGATCTCTAAAAAAAATTAATACACAAATTTGTTTGTATTTTTTTAAAGACTGTCCCCTTAATTTTGTTTACTAAAAGCCTTGCCGTATTTTTGCAAAAATATTTGCACAGGCTTCTGTGAAGAAAGGCTAACAAACAAAAGCAAAACAAAATAAAGCAGAGATGAGAAAAAAGAGAGCAACAAGCATTACGTAAATTTTTGCTCGGCAAAGTGTGTAAACAAAGCAAACACTTTTATTTTTTAATTAAGAGTTTTATGGCCACACCCTCCGCGCAGGCACAACTGCAAACATGCCAAAAACTGACCGCCTGGTGGTCCGCCAACAATAACAGAAACACCAACAACAACTCATTCTTGTAAAGTAAACAAAAACAAGGAATTGTTAATTTTTAATGTATTCCTAACAGTGCCAGTGAGACGATAACAGCGGCCACTTAACAGAAGCTGCTAACGAAAAACGCCCCCGAAACGCGAGCGTTTTAAAACGCCCCGAAAGTTTTCATTTAAAAAAGGGAATTTAAAGGCGGATTAAAAATGTTTTTCTCCAACTACAATAACATGTATCTGAAGAATTATTGCTATAGGTAAAGCAAGGAAAACTAAAAATAAGAATTCAAACAATTTTAATAAATTTTAAGCGAATTTTATTGATAATATTTATCGCACTCCGAATATAACAAATATTTGTATAGCTATAAATTGATGTTTAAGTCATTAGAGTTCAGATTAATGAGTATAAATACAATTTTAGAAACGCTGTTAAGATTCCTGGAACGTGGATTTCTTTTTATTTATTTTATATATGGAAAAAACTTCTGATAAGTCATAAAAGAACAAATAAGACCTTCGCTTGAACTTGAAATTGTTTTTTTTGCTGGACCCTTCTTAGCTTTTAATGTGCTTATCATCAGTTGAAGAGGACAATTAAAAGAATAACCTATTTTTAGCATTTATAATTAATATTCACATTTGTTTTCTCTTTATTTTAGCTCTGTCTACGCGGGTCCTTTGCTCACCCAAGCGGCCAATGGCATGCAGTACGGGATGCAGTCGCCCAACCACAATCACGCCCATCTGCAGCAGCAGCATCACCAGCAGCAGCAACATCAGCATCACCAGCAACATCAGCATCAGCACCACCAGCACCAGCACAACTCCAGCAGCAGCAGTCCCGGGCCAGTGGGTCTGCTCCACTCGAGCTCTTCGGCGGCAGCAGCAGTAGCAGCGGCCACGGCGGCGGTCAATGGCCACAACAGCTCCTTGGAGGATGGCTACGGATCACCGAGGAGCAGCCACAGCGGGGGCGGAGGCAGTGGTAATGGCAGTGGAGGCACCTTACCCGGCTTCCAGCGCATCGTGCCCAGCAGCAGTGGATATGGCAGCAGCGTGGCCAATGGGCCAGTCAGTGGCGCCGATCGTTACGCTCCGCTGGCCAATTACCGCGGTCAGGTGAGTTTCTACCCGTTAAAGGATACCGAGTTTGAGCCACTAACTAACCGCGGTTCCCCGCACTCTCTTACAGAACGATGGCTGGTTTGATCCCCTCAGTTACTCTCAGGCAGCTGGACAGGGCCAGCTGGGCGTTGGAGCCGGAGTGGTCACCAATGTGATACGAAACGGACGAGCCATCTCGGCGGCCAATGCAGCAGCCGCAGCGGCTGCGGACGGGAGCACGGGTCGCGTCGATCCGGGCTCCTTCCTGTCCGCCTCGGCATCGCTCTCAGCAAGTAAGTGTCGAATGAGGTTGTAGGAGATAAACTAAGGCTAGGATTACTTACTCTTTGCACTCATTGAACTATGCACTTCGGGTCCTAGATCCTTTACGTCTGCCTGCCACAGGGTCTTATGTAGAACCTTAGAGCCTCGTGAGCAAGCACACAAGGCGAGAAGGAAACCCGTCTCCTGGCCACTAGTTATTTGCACAGCCTGAGCAAACGCAGCTGTTGTCCAAATACCTCCTTGCCTATCACCTCATAACCTTCATTTCTCTAGACTAGCCTTAAGTCTATATATATACCACATATATCTATTTAGTTGTAAGCCTACGTCTCTATAATAAATTCAATTAATTTTATTTCAACTCTTGAGATAAAAGCAAACCAAAAACACCACAAAAAGCCAACCACCCATAGAAATACAAATCTAAATATTAAACACACACAAAAAACAAACGCAACAGCAACAAAAAACAAACAAAACACATAGCAAAAATGTATGACTTATTTCAAATATTTCTATGTAAATCTTTGAAGCATTTCTCGATGCCGATTATTTCACTGAGGGGCGCGAATGTGTCAATTGTGGTGCGATTTCAACCCCATTATGGCGACGCGATAACACGGGACACTATCTGTGCAATGCCTGCGGCTTGTACATGAAAATGAACGGCATGAATCGACCCCTAATTAAACAGCCTCGAAGATTGGTAAATCAAAAAATAAAAAACAATACACCAAACCAAACAAACTACCAACAATTGTTACTAACCAAAACCAATCAAATCGAAACGCTTTTGTGTGGAACAAAATTTCTGTGTGCGAACCTAGTGTCTCTAGTCTCTTAGTGGGAGAAGCCTTATAGAAATCCGCATCCGCCAGAGTCAGCCCGCCCCCTTCAAGACCCTCAAGAGCTTCCCAAGAGCTCCAAGAGAGAAACGAACAAAAATTAATTGAATTTATTATATTACGAAATGCCAATTAGTTTAATATGCGAAAACCAATCAATCGAATCGAATCGTAACGAAACGAGACATTGTAGACACCTCTGCTCCTTGTGTATTACAACCAACCACAACCATTCTGATTGCTCAATTCCAGTGGCCGCTGAATCAGGCGGGGATTTCTATAAGAACTACTCATTTAATGTGGCCGGCGGTGGCCGTAGTAAGGCCAGCACGAGCGCCGCCAGCTCGCAGGCCTCCGGCTCCTGTCCAGCCTCGGGTGCGACCTCGGCAACGGCGGCTGCGGCGTCGGGAACGGGAGCGGGAACGACTGCAGCCACAACGCTCGACGAGCATGTTAGTCGCGCCAATTCGAGACGCTTGGTAGGTCGCTCATTAATTACCGATACCGAAACCAAAGAACCCAAGCCAAACCCAACCAAACCCAGCCAAACCAACCGAAACTCCCCACCGAACCCCTTCCCAGAAGCCATCCCACTAACAGAGAAAAAGTAGAACGAGTAGAGCCACTAACCTAGCCCCTAATCGTTGCTAATCACTGACTAACCTGTAAATCCGTAAATTCACCACTGGTGTTTCTATAGAAAAGTTGTTCCACACGAAAGCTACTGCGATCTACCTAATTGTACAGAATTAACTAATCCTCCGATCTTTCCCCACCTCCAGAGTGCCACAAAGCGAGCCGGACTGTCCTGCTCCAATTGCCTCACCACCTACACGTCGCTGTGGCGACGCAATCCCGCCGGGGAGCCCGTGTGCAATGCCTGCGGTCTGTACTTTAAGCTGCACAGCGTGGCCAGACCTTTGACCATGAAGAAGGACACCATACAGGTAAGTCTGAAAGTATGCTTAAGGAACTCTTATAACTTTTAGTTTCAATAAAATAAAGACATTTTGACTTGCATAAATCAAAGTGTCTTTTTCAAGCTTTTGACCTTCCTAAAACAGTTTAGAGTAAATGAATTTAGACTTCATTAACTTTTATTTACAATTAATAAATTCAAAACTAATAATGTATTTTCGTTGCCTTACAGAAACGCAAGCGCAAGCCTAAGGGTACCAAGGGCGAAAAGTCCAAGTCCAAGATGAAGAGCGCCCTGAACTCCACGCTGGAGAGTGGCTCCTTGTCGGTCAATTGCCACAATGTTGGCCTGGGAATGGACAGCAGCCAGATGGATGTGAATGATGGTGAGTTTCCTCGGTGATTTGCCAGTCCGAGTGCATGCCTAATTCGTGATGTTTGCTTTCTTTTTGTTCTCCGTTCACCTGCTCAGATATGAAACCACAGACAGAAATGAAACCATACATGCCATACTCATCGCAGCAGCAGCAGCAACTTCAGCAGCAGCAGCAGCAACTCCAGCAGCAGCAGCAGCTGCTGGCTGATCAGCACTCATCGGCGGCCAGCTCGCCTCATAGCATGGCATCCTCATTATCGCCCTCAGCCACATCACATCAGACGCATTCGCTCCAGCATCAGCAGCAGCTCTGCTCCGGACTGGACATGTCGCCCACTTCGTCCTACCAAATGTCACCCATCAACATGCAGCAGCAACATCATCATCATCAGCAGCAGCAATCCTGCACGCCCGGCACGCCCACTTCCATCTACAACGCATCCTCTCCCACACATAATCTTCACAATAACAACAATAACACGCTATTCAACAACAACAACAACCATAGTAGTAATGAGAATAACAACAAACTCATACAGAAATATCTGCAAGCTCAGCAGCTGAGCAGCGGGACCGGGAACGGGAGCGGGAGCAGCGAGCATCAGCTGCTGGCGCACCTCATGCCGAGCTCGATTACGGCGGCAGCAGCAGCAGCGGCAGCGGCAGCGGCGGCGATCAACACAATCAAGTCGGAGGCCTTGTCGCTCACCTCGCAGGCACCATCCTCCACGGTGGCGTCGTCGGCGGGAGTGGGCAACACGTCAACACCGACCACGGCATCGAGCACATTATCCTCGCTGAGCCTCAACAACAGCATCAGCAGCAACAGCATTATTAGCCTGCAGAATCCCTATCACCAGCTGGGACTCGGTCAGGCGGCGATGCCGCTGTGTAAGCCGGGACACGGCTCACCGCCCTACTACCTGACGGCGGAGGAGGACGAGCAGCCGGCTCTAATCAAGCAGGAGCAGATTGATCAACAGCATCACCAACACAACCATCAGCAGCAACAGCACGGAGAGCTAATGCTCAACCGATCAACCTCGCTGGACGAGCACTACGAGCTGGCCGCCTTCCAGAGGCAGCAGCAGCAGCAGCACCTCCAGCAGCAGCAGATGGGACACCATGACCAGCATGTGGCCGCCACCAACTATGCCATGCACGCTGCACAGCAGCAGCTGCAGGAGATGGAGCGCAAGTTTGGCGTGGAGCGGGAAACGGTGGTTAAGATGGAGTAGGCCACGCTGCACAAGGAGGCTGCGAGAGCTGCCCTGCACCAGGACCAAAGAAACTGCTGTTACATCATAAATCTCATAGCTCCAAAGAATTTATAGCCCTTAGTCTCGCACGTATACCAAGGGAGGCGTTCTCCAAGAACCAACCGCCGCCAATCAAAAACTCTATTACATCATTATCTGTACATAGCGCCTAAGCAAGTTGATTGACATTTCCACTTTTGGCGAAGTACGAATCCGCCTACTACTCGAAAATTTGTTATTTAAAAACTAGTTTAATTCTTAGCACAATGCTAGCTAGCATCAAAAAGCGATTCGATCCCTAGATTAGTCCAAATTTGTTATCCAATCGAATACCCTTTGAGATTTCCCACAATCAAATTCCACCTAGATATTAGCTTTTACTGTTAGTTAAGCCAGCAAACAAAGACAAAAGACACACAAAAATCCAAAAGCAAAAACAAAAACAATCGAAGTAACCAACAATCTCATGCAATTTAGTTAGTAATTTATATATTTTTTATACCATTATCGATATAAATATTTAAAGCAATTTAAGTTTTAGCCTCTTACATTCTCTTTTTGCAATATTAATTTTATTTCTTTTGAACAAATAAATGACGACTGTCACATATTTCCCAAAAAGCTTGTTTTTTAATACTTTTTAATAAATATAAGAAAACAACAGGAAGTCTATGGGGCGTATGTGGAATGTTCCTTCCGTGCGATGACGTTTTAGTGTTGGTAAGCGCTGAATTTGCTTGAATATATGACAGGCCCCTGAAAATAGGCAACACAATTTGCAACGCTGAAGAGTTGTGCCCAAAGAAGTAGGCTTTACTTTTCACTTGTAAAAATGAAAACTATTAATTTTACATTTTTTATTTAATTGACTTAATTTATAAAAACCGTTGATTTAAAAAGTTATATTAAAGGCAGTAGTAAGAAATTCCTTGAATAATATCTTGTGTATTTAACATTCTGGAGGCACTTCTACCATCGCTATATATCTATGAATCTCAAAGTGGATCGTCATCGCAAGAGGTCGCTATTATTAAGCATGTAAAAATATTAAATGTGTAAATAAAAAGGAACAAAATTGTTTTATATCCTTACATTATAAAAATAAAATTTAAGTCCATACAAACTAAAACATTTTTTGAAAAGCACCTTTATTTTTTAATTTATCAAAGAACAAGTTGAATAACAGTTCCTATTCCATAAAAGCGATTTGAAATAGTTATATCTTACGAGGTCCTATATTTCTTTGTTTTATTGATAAATCACCGTTCCCTAGTAAATGAAAATAAAGCCACATGAATACCCTTCCTCATGGTTAAACGTTTTTATAGGTTTATATAGGTTATAGGTTTTCAAGTAGAAAAATAAAAATTTTTAAAAATACAAATGTTAAAGGACATTTATAACAATCTTTAGACCATATCTAATTAAAAACATTAGGAATCATACCATACTCCTATAGTTTGCAAATATATAAATAATATAAAAATATATATACTTTATAACAATTTACTTAAATTTCGCTAATATTCAATGGATAAATGAACCCTTGACAAGGGATAAACCAAGTGCCACCCTAGCATTGTACAATTACAGGCAAGAACAAAACAATATAGCGGCGAGTCTGTGTTTAATTGTGTTGTGTATGTATGTAAAAGTGTGTTGTGCGATGTGTGTGGGGGATGTGTATGGGGGCTGTGTGTGTATTTTATTATTTTGTGCGCCGCCATTTACGAAAGCGACATTTTCAGTGATAAGATAACGTCGCATTGCTGAGGCCCCTCCGTTCTGTCTCTGTCACTCCCTCGCCCTCTCCCCTGCTCTCCCTGTCCCTCTATTTATATTTTTTTTTTGCTCTATTTCTTTTTTAATAAAGTTTCAGTACGTTGGTGTTTCTTGTTGTTGTAGCTGTTGTTTTTTTATATGGGAGTCACGCGTTACAAAACGACAACACCAACAAAATCTGAAAGTCATTTCATATGGCAAAACAGTTTTTGTTTATTGCTAGGGTTGTTCGCCCGTCGAGGGTGGGGATTCACAGGCTAGGAGGGTGTGCGGCGCTGGCGGGGATTGGGGTTCTGTGGTTCGCGGACTGGCTGTGGTTCGGGGAACCGCGCCTGGCTACGTGACTGTACAAAAGTGTCGCATGTCGCTGGGGCCGCTCGTGCACCGCTCAAGTGGTGGTGTGCGCCGTGGAGGAGGTACTTACTCCGCTCCGTCCAGCGGCCTGATTGATACCTCGATCGATTAGCCTTCGTCCGCGTGAAAATGTCCATATGATAACCAATTCCAATTCGATTTACCATCTGCTCAACGTCAGCTGTTCTCATTTAATAATTGGTTCACTTCATCGCCTTTCTGGCTAAGAGCATAATCTTGGGCTAATCAGTTGTGGCACAGATTTATTCGTAAAAAACTCTCACTAGTAAGATTTGTTATTTTTAGGCGCCGGGCTAAGGTGCCACTATCAGAGAGAGAGAGTAAGTTTTGACCAGATAAAGAATTGGTAGTGCCAACCAGATAGCCTTGTCTTTTAATACATAAGATATCAAATCCTGATAAGATATGTTTTATGTATGTTTTGAGTTGTAATCTTTTGAAAATATATATATTAAAAAGTAAATAATATAGACAAGCTTTTAAAAAGTAAGCCAATTATTTAATACATTATTTTTAAAAACGATTTGATCACTTTTATCTATATTTAAATATGAATTAAAACATAGTATCCAAGAATTCTAAATAACAACTTTATATTTATTTTAATTTGAAATAAAACGTGGTATCCAAGAATCCTTAATAAGGGATAATGCCTAATGTATTTTACTATAAATTTCTAACCATTTCTACAGCTTCCTGTTAAAGCTCCTATAAATGTATGTATCTTATATTAGGGCCTTGTTATTTTCTTAGTTATTTGTTTTGTAGGTCTAAGCAACATTGAATCATTGTTTGGCAATCGTTAAGCCTGCAGCCAGAATTTGTTGACTTTAATTTCATGAGAGCTTAGACTTTAATGTTTGCTTCTGGCAAACAAGTCAGCGATTCGTGCGCAAACTAGGCTAGATAGATACCATACAAAGGGTATATAAGTAATATGTATCCACTCACTAATATTTATAAAGAGTTCTTGAATTATTATATAGGAAAAATCTGCTAGACCTGCTACAGAGATTCAGAAATACATTTTATCACGTTTCTGCCACATAAGTTCTTATCGGCAGACTTCTTGGAAAGCGAACTGGCACTGAATACCAACCATCTGATGCATACAGAAATCGTTAAGGGGACATTTAATTTATTTATTAATTTCTCTGACAATTCGAGGGGTTTCACTCATATCAAAAGGATATAGATAGAAGCTCTGACTGTCAGAATTGTAAGCTCTTGGCCTCAGGCTAACTATATTATATATCCACACTCCGCCTTTGCTTATATAGAGTACACACACTTTTTGTAGTCCGTAATTTATGATGATTTCATGTTCGGCCTGACGCTCGCCATTTTATGGCTCAATTTTTTTATTAGATGCGTTTTGTTGTTGCTCAACTTGTTTTTATTTTCGCACTTTTCTGGTTCGTCACTTTACGATCTGGACCTACCTCCTCTCGTCCTCCGCCAGGGTTATAATCCATAATTATTATTTTTTTATTTTACAAGTGCGCCACCGACTTGGACTGGGAACGGAGCGCGTTTTAATGGAAAGTGCAAAACTTACTGTGCCAGCCACAAAATAACCACACTCGGTAAGATATCTGAGTATATATGATTTTTTTACATGCCCATTCCATAGATAGGCAATCTGTATCTGTGGCACGATAATGCTTATAAATAAGATAATATGATTTGATAATGGTATTTACCATATGCAGAAACCGAAGCAGCCTGAGGTTATGTAAGTCGCTGCGAGTTTCTGCGAGATATATTTCTACATACTACCTATAGTATATAAGAGTTTCTTTGGTTTTTCCTTGGGTTTTCCTTGTGGTGCACCTAATTAAATGTTTGCCAGCTGGCCGGGGGACTTATTTAGCGTGAAAATGCTATGATTTCGGGCCGAGTAGGTAACTCAACATATATATAATAGTATGGTATGCGTTCCGGGTCTGAGTTGTGCAAACAGATTGCATTTAGAGCATATATTCCCCGCCCCTCGTACCGCTCGTCTCTGTTCTTTTCTGTTTGTTGTTGACTTGACTGCTTTTTGATGTCTTCTTCGGGTGGTTACGTTGCCGTTCCCGTTGCCGTTGCTGTTTTTTTCGAGGCCTTATCGCCAACTGACGTTTGTACTTCAGAATGTGTACTTAAGATAATGAAATCGAGGCAGAAGCACAGGCAACAGTCGGGGTCGGGGGTACACGGTACACGTTCACATCGGACTCGAATGAAAATACTGGTAATAATGTCATCGCTGAACGCGGGAAATACAACCCTGCCAGGGGCTAGACAGCGACCTCGATCGGCCATAGATCACCGGGGCTGGATAAGATCGATAGAAGCTTTTTTTCGGTACTGAAACTGCACCTAGGGGCACCGCAGTTTTGGCGATTTCGTCGGAATTCTTGGCCCGGGTACTTTCATGGTATCAGCAGCGGCAGCAGCACAGTTAATATGAATATGCTCTAATCTAATCAGCGGATCGTTAATTAACTTCCAAAGTTGACTTTCGCTTTTTCAAGTGTTACTTGAGCGCTGCTTTGGCAGCTGAAATTTATACGCACACAAAAGTATAGTATCTTATCAAAGAGCCAAAGATCAAATTTTCCATTCCCAAAAAGCAATAACTGTCCATTTGGCTCTTACATAAAGTGCTGATTTTGTTTTTTCCACACTTTTCAGATAGCTTTCAGCAAGTATTCCAAAAATTGGCCACTATTCACTTTACACTTCTGGGTTTTATTGTTTATATTAAGTGGGATATACACAGATCTCTGGAATATTCAGAAGTATGAGCCCTAAATGAGTTCCGTTTTGTCGATTTTCTCGCCGAGAGGAACGCGCGCAGAGGCAATGTTTCCATGTTGAAAATCCCAGTTACACTCACCAACTGTGATTAGATTCCATGCCGCTGGGCGTCCAAACTTAAGGAATTACTGAAAAATTCAAATTATTATCGCTTATTATCTTGGGACATTATCAGTTCAAACACTGATATACTGATACAGACCGCGGAGAGAGCGCCATGCCCACGGCCCATGTGCCCAGAGCCCAGACCCGACCTGGGACTGGGACTGGGACTGGAGCTGGAGCTCTAACTGGCTGCAGATACCCCAAACTGATACCGATATCCTACCAGCAGCAACAACAAAGTCAACGCCAGGAATTGATAGCAAATCTTCATTATCTTATAAATGCGCCTGCATTGGTGGTCGTGTATCGCTAAAAAGCCAAGATTAGATACTTTTATCTAGCTGGGTCAACCCCGGCCGTGTCCCCATCCCCCCAAGAAATCGGCGACGTCACAGATAGAGTTCCCCCCCCGTCAAGCATTATCGGTTAAGCAAATGCTCCAGCTCCCTTCTGCCTGCTCGCTGCTCCTGCCCTCCGCACTGGATGTTTGTCCACGCGGAGGAGCAGCACCTGGGTTAAGTAGCCGCCACCGATTGACTTACGATTTGGGTTTGTTGGGGGCCTGGCCCGCCGCCGAGTGCCGCCAGAGTTGGGGAGTCGAAATCTGCGGTAAGATACGTTAACTTATCTAAGGCCACTATCTATTCTCAGATATTCGATATGTTCGTACACCTATGTATATATACGGCCGTATTATATGCGGGGCGACGATAGGAAAAATCACTTTGCTTGATAGGAGCAATCAGCGCTAGTGTTTCCCTGGTTTCCCGGCTTTCCGGAGGAGCATTTCCTCGGGCAGGCGCGGAAAAGGCACATCGCTGCGACTCGGACTCCGGCTCCAAATCGGTGGCAGTAACACCAAAAGTCCGGCCATAAATCTCTCAGGGCTAGAAACATCTCGGTTTTATCGTTCGGTTCGGTTTGGAGGCTTCAATAGAAACAAAAGGCGAACAGCCACAAAATGTCGGCTCTCATAAGTAATAAATAATGTTTTTTGGGGTCGCCCGAGTCGTCGTTTAACCAGCTACCCACTCCCAGTGGCGATCCCAATCAACCCCAGTAGCCATGATTGTTAACGTTAATGGCGTCGATGTCGCCTCCCTGGCACGTCCCGCTTACCACTTCCCACGTCGTTGGCTCGTGCAAAAGCCACAATATAGCAGCAGCAGCAGCCACCTCTCCGCACCGAGCTCCTCTTACGGATTATTGTGGATTGCCATTGCCAGTTATAATGATGAGTCACATTGGCCTGGCCTCGCTGGCAAACAAAGGTGCGTATATTGAACACACACAGAAGAGGAGACACTGCCAATGGCAGTGGAGTACGAAGCCATCTCACAGGGGACACAAGCGGAACCTGTATGGGGTCTATTTTCGTACAGAAACATATGTTAATTTACATTTATAGCATACTAAGTCAGCGCTAAGTAGATATACCCAGAACAGGAATGGCCGTACGTCAATGCGTTGCTCTGGGGGCAAGATTATTCTTTACTTTATTTATTTATCTCAGAAAAAGTTTGAGTTTTTAAAGCATTTTCAGATATTTTAAATATATTTTATAACCTCTTAAGTCTAATATTATTTTTGAGTATAACCCTATTTAAAACCTTATAAACATTAGATGAGATATAATATTAATATAATTTAAGATACATTTTACACTATATTTATTTTAATTTTGATGAAAATATGATTTTCCCTTGACTTCCATCAAGAACTTGCACAATAACTCTCCTTTCTTCTTCGATATCTGAACTTTCTCCTGAGTCACGCGAAAGATACATCAATGTCCGAGTGCCACCCAATCCATAAATATACGGAATGAAGGTTCGTTAACCAAGTGACAACTCTGGGGAGCGTAAACAAAGAAAGCTTAACATTTGGTTCCTCCCGAAGAGCCGATTCTCCTGCTTCTGCTCTTGCTCCTCCTGTCTTCCTGCTCTCATTCCAATCTTCATAACTCATGTCTAAAATGTCGGTAGCGTGCCTTGGGCCGGATGATTTATGACCCTGGGCAGACCCAGGCGGGTTAATAGAATTTACATGAACCCAATTTGCCTGCGTCCAAAAGCGCAGAATGCAGGGGGCCACCGAGGGGGAGAACCATTACAGCTCTTCCACTTCCATTTCCACTTCCATTCCCATTTTATTTGATTGAGCCACGCCATTGCGGCCTGGCCGGGATTGGGCAACAAATCGGGGTGGGATCGGTACGTACATACGTTCCACCCCTGCCGTCGGCTATAATTAAAACTATGGCGCACGCCTTTGTTGGCGCTCGGCGTTTAATTTCCAAAGAGTTCTTCCCCTTATCGGTCCGGTTCGACCGCCAAACAAAGTGGAAAGAACGTAGAAAAAAACAAAAATATAATATTATTATGACAGAATACAAGTGAGGTAAATTGTACAATATATAAATTAAATTCCTTAGCGTCATTCCAGCCACTGATCGGCGATACTGTCACCTGGCCAAGAACACTTATATGGGCAGATAACTTTTGGGCTTTGGCTTCGCTGGCTTGCTGGCGCACCACTTGAAACTGCACGGATATGGACAAGTTGAAGGGTGTGCGATTCCCCGGACACGATATGGAGCGGAGCGGAGCGGTCAGCAATCTTAAGTCTCCGTCTCTGTCTGGTTTGCCGCCCCTAAGTCCTGTGTCTTAGGGTCGTAAATTCGCCGGCAAAGCGCCCAAAAGCTAGGCGAGGCGGTGCCATCAATTAGGGTATTAATTGCCCCGGCTCTGCCAGGTTAAAGCCTCGGCAGTGAGTCAGTTCTGGTCTTCTAGATTTTCACTTAGAGGGCGATCGAAGTCAAGTTCTACACAGAACAAAATGAATAGACAATGCTGAGAATTGAGTCCGAAGCCTTTTATACTTTAAAACTTTCTTAAATTTATATCAATATTAAAATATATAATATAATTCCCATATTTAGATATAGATATCCATTTCAAAATATATATTTCTTTAGGTGCAGCTCTTTTTTAGGGGCCCCTGAAGTCGATTCGTACTCCGCTATTAATCGCTTGTAATGTTGAATTCGTGTAGCGCCATTTGTAAGGCGACTCGGGGCTGTCAGGCTTGGGTATCGAATGAGCGAATGATTCGGGCACGACGGGGGCCTGGTTTGCATTGCTGTCAGCTTTTTGAGTGATTAATCACTGCGAAGATATTTTGCGACACGCAGCAGCAGCTACTACTTGCAACGGCAAGCTATTAGATACTTTTTGTCTGCCGGCTTTGCTCTTAAGATTTCGCCATGATTTATGCGCCACATGAGTTGCAACAATTAAAATTATCGCACCAAGTGATTTCCATTCACGGGAGGAGGAGGACACCGCGGTTGAGGAGGAGCTGCCCGTAATTGTGGCATTATAAGCAACTCTTTGGGGGGGACGACTCTTGCATGTTAATGGCCGTCATATATCTGCTTGCTTTATGGCTTTAACTATAAACAATTTATGATTTGCTGGGCTGGAGCTGTGCCAGCTCGGATGGGTGTCCCAGATATGTGGCTAACACCGAGATTGCGGATGTTCCAAGCAGTGAAAGCTAAACTGTTGATGGGGAATACAAGCAATTGATCATGATTTAAACAGATTTCCTCATCTAAGAAAGTTTACTATAAGGAAAAGTATTGATAAATCAAAAGTATCTCTGAAGTACAAAGTATCTGTGCCAGTTCCATTTCACTCGCTCGAAATCGCCAGCTTCGATCTGACATTTCAGGCGTTTTGCAATATATGTTTGTTCCCAGCACCTGATCCTCGACCACGTGTGGCTGTCCCGATCCGTTTGAGTATGTGTATCTGTCGATTTCATTAGTTACAACACTCGAGAGCCCAACGATTGTGCTGAAGTGGGAAAGTGGAGCGAAGTCGCAGCGGACTGGAGCGTGTTGTCAAAGCGGCCCACATTCGAGAGCGTGCAGGAAGGGGTCATATAAGGCCCCAGACGGCGACAGGTCCCCTTGTGGAGACCCACTTTTCCGGACCGACTCGGACTCGGAGCCCCAGGCCCAAGCCCAATCCAAAGGCATTCTGTTGACGTTGACTAACGCCTGGCCGTGTGTGTTTATTAGTTTGCCAGAAAAGTGTTTTATGGGCGCAATTAGAAAATGCGCTAGACTAAATTGCACAATTGACAAACAGGGCGGATGGGAATGTGGATGGAGATGGGGCTGGGAATGGGGCTGGGGATGGGTTCTATGCCGGTTGGTTGGTGGCTCTTGACGCCACTCTTCGGAACATCAACTTCGGAACTCGGAGCTCGGAGCCTCGGCACCTCGGAGCCGAGCACGCAGGCGCAATTTGTAGCTCACGGATACTTATCTTTGGCACCTTATCTGCTCCGGCTGCGGTGTGCAGCGATAAGATAACCAATACCGCTCGGAATAAATCATAACGCACGCATACAGATGCAGAACGGCACCCACACAGGTGTGGGTCCGCCCAACCGCAGAGGTGCTATGTGCGCGAAGGTACCGCGTCTGTGTGTGCGGCTAATTGGGCGGCAAAGGCGAACGCGCGGCGGGCACCGCAGTGCGTTGTCGTCGTTGCCGTCGTCGTCGTTGTTGTCGTCGCCAGTCGTAGCCAGCGAGGAGGTGCTCAGCCAGCCCGGGCCCATAACCCAGCAGCACCCAGAACCCAGAAAAAAACAGTACCCCTAACTCAGAACCCGGCCAGAGTTGGTCTCGAAAAAATAGCACTCGCTAAAGGTTGCGCGCGGGCCACGGATGATACAATCGATATTGCAGCTCCCACAACGATTTCCTCGCATTTTCGCGCCACTTTTCAGCTCCGCATTGATAAAGGCAGCAGTGCCGCCAAAACACTGGACACCCCCAAAACACCGCAGTGCATGTGATAATTTTCTAAAAGAAAAAGAAAAAAGTCGAGTAAAGAAACACAACACACAAGTGATAAAGACGAAACTTAGATAAAACGCTGGCAGGAACAATCCCCGAAAAACAAAAATTGAGAACGGAATTTAATGGTCTGCAAAACGATCTCAACGGGTGTTACAATGCAGCTTAAGGTGGGTAGTACACCAAATCTTGAAAATTAAAATATTATAACTGATTAGAGCAACAAAAACTCTAAGAAATATATATTAAATAACAAGTGAATCCAGAATTAAAGAAAATATGAAAAAGAACAGTCCTTTCTTACCTAGTTAGCTTTTAAATTATTTTTTCGTATCTGTTAATATCTCTTGATGTTTTTTTTTTTTAATAACAGAATTAATGTAAAACCGCCATTAATGAGGCGGGAATTCAAAGTGGCTCATTTGAGAAAATTAAGCAACTAATCGTGAACTCTTTTAACACACATTTAAATATCTTTTTGAGGCTCAATTTACGAGATCTCTACAAGCCTATCTATCATTTCAACTTTGTTAAAAAGACAAGATCATAAAAAGTTTTTAACGTTTTCTCACACAAGTTCATTAAGCTAAAGAGACAAGCCATATATATATAGAGTCATAAAAACCAGACTCTTAAGGTTTATAGATCAGCCGCCAAGCTCCAATAAATATATAATAATTTAAGTATTAATTCATGGTTTATAAAGGGCTTTCAAAGGAGATTCCAGTTAAAGGCAGTGTCCTTTAATGCAATAAATCTGAAAACGATTTCGGGCCATTTAATTTAAACGGCAGCTGGCTGGGACTTTTCAGTTATAGCGCCGGGGAACGGGGCTCGTCAACGAGATAAGACAAATTGATTTATAATGAATGACTCATCTAACTGAACGCAACTGGGATGCAGCGGCAAAACTGCGACACTTACCTTTTTTGAAAGAAGAAAAACCGAACCGAATAGAACCCATTAAGGCAACGAAACCCAAAACGAGGCAACAAAAAAGTGAGTTAAATGTGGAAAGATGGCTAATCTTTATGAGGCCAAAAATTCAGCTGCGATCGGCGGAGGAGGTGGCGTCAAAATACCTTTGACAAAACTAACGAAAAAAACGAAACGAAAAATAAAATGTGAAACACGCAAGGCCTGCTTTTGGCCGGTCGCCGGTCAGTTGTTTCATTCATGAAAAAAAGGACAATTCCTTGTTGGGCCTTACCTAACGCCAGCACGGATAATGTGAAATTTATGTCAATCTTATCACCTCGCCTTGGTCCTGGTCCTAGTCCTGGCTCCGTGCCTATCCTTCGGGGTTGGGGTGGCTTTTGTGAATGAATGCAGGGACCATTTGGGGTTACTTTCCCAGCCGGAAGTGAAAAACTGGCCAATGGCAGGCCAGTCCCTTAACTGACGCTCAATGGCGGCATCGATAGTTGCAGTTCCAGTTGCAGATACTTTTATTAGACACGCGTCGCCAGTTGACGGCGCTAGCTGATAGCGATAGGAAAGGGCTCTCGGGGCAAAGGTTGCGATGCGATGCAATTGATGGCCCTTTAATAGAGCCGTAAATGCAGCTGTCCAAGGGTTACCGCTTATCGCTCAGCTCTTCCATTAGCCAACTGCAATGGACTTTAATTAATCGGAGGGATCTTCCAGCGATAGAGCAGGGCCATGTCTGACATTGGTATAAAAAAGGAATTGGTTTTAGTTTATTTTCAAATAGATCTTCTACGTTATTTTCAAAATTCCTTTAATTGTATCTAAATTTAGCTGGATATATGTAGTCCCTTTGGTTACCCGGAGTTTACTATTTTTCTTGCTTTTACTAAATAAAACCATTTAATAATATCCGATGTTCTTTCACAAACTACTGCACATTACTCATATTAAAATGAATTTGTAATCGCAAAAAATGACTTCCATAAATGGTCTTTATAAAAATTTTATACAATTGAATAACCATTATTTCTAAAGTGGATAAGTAATGCGTTGGAACTTGGATCAAAAATATATATAACAAGAAAGAAGGCTAACTTTGGCCAGCCAAAGTTTGTATACCCTTGCAGGTAACAATTAAAATATATCATAACTAAGCCAAAAATGCATTAATTTCGATTCGGAAAGCAGTTTTGTGTTAGTTTTTATTAATTAAAAAAAAATGCATACCAAATTTAAAATTTTAAGAAATCAAAATTTTTGGCCATTTTTGCTGATTTTAATGATGACCCCTTATCAAATTTCGCAAAAATGGCCAAAAAATCGATTTCTTTCGGACATGTCTAGAAAGATTCCTCTGTTGATGCTGATCACGAATATATATGGTTTATGGGGTCGGAAATGATTTCTTGACTTAGAAATATATTATTTTGTATTATAAAATCTGATTTTTTATATTAAAAAACTTCTTGATTTTTTTTTAAATTAAAAATATAATAACTCGGCCAAAAAAGCAATAATTTTAAATCGGAAAACTGTTCTGTGCAAGATTTTCTACAGTTAATAAATCTGCATACTTCATTTAAAAATTTTGAAAATTCAATTTATTATCAAAATTAAAAATTTTAATGATGTAACCCCTTACAAAATTTTGCAAAAATGGCCAAAAAATCTATTTCTTCCTGACATATCTAGAAAGATTCCCCTGTTGATGCTGATCAAGAATATATATACTTTATAGGGTCGGAAACGCCTCCTTCACTTCTGACTGAAATTATAATACCCTGCAAGGGTATAAAAATATTTATAAGAAAGCCTTACAAGGCGTGTGAATAAATAATAATTCAAAGCTTTAAAATCAAAAGAAATCATTGAAATTATTAAACATTTTGTTTAAATATATAATTCTATTAATAATAACATTTATTTAATTTTGTATACATTTTAAAGCTTTTATAATGTCCCTTAAACTTTACAAGACATTTTTTTTTTATTACCTTTGTAATTAAAATAATAATGAAAATATATTGAGACTTTATCGACCCAAGGTATTATAAATAGAGTAACGTTGGGTCAGACCTGCACTTTTGCCTTCGAGATTTGCTCAACCACAAACCCAAGCTCAACGAAAGCGAAACGAGGTGCGATTACATATAGCCAATATCTGTTGTTTATATAGATAAAGTCCGGGCATACATATGTATCTGTGTGGCTGTGGGTGTGACTGGGGCGATTTCATTCATAAGTTGGGGCACTCACTCGCAACGGAGTCTTGACTAAGCCAAGCAAATAGCACATGCCACTCGCCTCAGAAGGTGACGGAGCTTGCCCAACTTATTGTAATTCTTGGATTTATCTGTGCCCATCGATGACGTAGGGAAACCATGACCTCTCAGACTCAGTTTCAGTTTCAGTTCCAGCAGCAGCAGCAGCAGCAGCTGATTATGTACATTGATAGCGCCGGATAAGATATTGTCCGTATCGTTCGGCCGTAGTATCTTAACTTTTCGCGGTACATGGGCCCAGCGAAGCATGGCACGTGCATACCATACCCATACCTATCGTACTACTATATACACACTCAAAGTCGGGTTTATCTGCAGTTGGACGGCCGATTGTCAGAGTGACGTTTGCACCACTTTATCTCGCCCTCTTGCCATCCAGGGAATTCTCCGAACTTTGACCAAAGAAGCCTAAAATTCGTAATAGATTCTCTAGACGTCATAACCTTATACGAAATTTCCCATGAACCCCATTTCCTGCCTCATTTCTTGTGCTCAAAGCAGCCAGACTTTGGACTGTACTTAGCAAGCGGGTAATTTTTCATTTTAACGACCTGCTAACTCATCCACGAGTTCAATGAATCACGGTCGGCCTTAGTCTGTATCCATTCATGCACAGAATATGTATCAATCATTTCGGGAAAGTCAACAGAACTTTCCGCGTAAAATGAATCAATTATAATTTAACAGAAGGTCAACAGTACATTTTTACCAATTACAAACTTACGAAAACAAATGAAAATATGTTACTTATTCTGCCTTATTTCTTCCTGCCCTGCCCTGCATAGAAACTTGCAAAAATATAACTAAACAGTGGGTTTTATTCTTTGCCTTTGAAAAGGAAACTCCCTTTTTCTCGAACTTTTCAAATTATTTAAATGAATATCATGCTTTCATTTAAGCTGGAAATTATTGCAAAATATGGATGGAGAGAAAACAAAATATTTTGTAGCTTTTAGAAATTAAATTGATGTATGAGTTGAAACATAAAGCTTACATAGAAACATACCTTCTTGGATAAAACTGCACTCGCAATTCTCCATAAGTGCTGTCCCCAAACATTGCATTAGGTATTCCCGAATTAGTATGTACTTAGCATAAACTCTAACATAGTTTATGGTTCCCCTATGTCATAGTTTTGTTACAAACTCACCTGAAAGCCCTTGCGTTATATGACTCTTGTGAAGACAGGCCTGTGGTGAATCAGGTGACAGTGACGATCGCAGGTGTTGACACAAGCTTTGGGATGGTTGTGATGGGGCCGCAGTGGAAGTGGAAGAGCTGGAGGAGGTGGAAGTGCCACCCCCAATGAAATGAGGTCATAAACCGAATGTGAGTGACGTGCGGCGGGGAAGGCAAAACGATTTTATGGCCAGCTTTTATTTCCGCCAAAACCCAATACCAAATACTAAACAAGAGAAGAAAAAAACCCCGTATAGGTACACAAAAAATGAAAACGAAACCGAGGAGACCGGGCCGCATTGCGTTTAGGGTTCTGTGAGCAAACATTTCTTCTTCTGGTGGAAATGAAGTGAAATAAAAGTGAAAAATGTGTTCGACAATGTTGACACTGAGCGGGAGAGGCGTTCGTCTCCGTTTCTGGTACTTTATGGTTGTAGGCGACAAATTGAGCTGTGACTCGAGAGCGGGCGGCGGCCCCGTTTGAAGTCCAGGTCGGGCTCAGAGTCGTCTTGGCCAGGGCTTGGGCCCGGACCGCGGCTTGTTGACTTTTGTGGCGGAAACCGGGGCGGCCAGTTCGCACTGTGTGGCCGGAACTGGAGCCACACTTTTCAGCCATGTCGAGCGGAGCATTCAACACTTGTCACTTGCTCGTTGCAGATGGAAGCGCAGACAACGCAGCAGCAGCAGCAACAATTGCAACAGCAGCAGCAGCAGCAACAGCAGAACCTGACCAAGCAGCAGCTCCAGTTGCTGGACAAGATCAAGCTAGAGGCCAGCAACGGAGCCGAGCAGCTCTCCCAGCAGACAGCCAGCGCACTGGAGGATCAGCAGGAACAGCAACAGCAACAGCAGCAGCAGACTCCCACATCAGTGGGTGTGGGCGTGGTGGTCCAGACCAGCCAGGCGGGCGTCAGCGAGCCGGAGGAACAGTACGTGGTGGTGCCTCGCATCCAGAGGCGCATTCTTACCACAGCGGGCACACTGTAAGTAATTTTGAATTACAGGAATCAAATCCTGTACTAAATCCCTTTGGGGGGAATTCTTATGGAGTTCTTTAGAGTTTTGGGTGCCTACATTTTGCAATCCAATTTTCCTAGTGAATTGAACGAAGCCCGCGAAGGAGAGCCAAGTAACAACGCCAGCAACGCCAGTTCGGGATCTGCACCCGACAGCCACATCGAGTTCCAGCGAGGTTCCCACCACTCTCCCGGGGCTACCCACTACGTCCAGATGGCGCCCCGCAATGCTGAGGTGCCGGAGCAGGTGACCACGGCATCTGGAGCACCTGCGGGTACCCTGTACGCGTATTCCACCGGTCCGATCATTTGCAGTGGAGACGATGTAACGGCCATCAAGATCGAAACGATTGAAAAGGGCGAGGTGACAAACGAGTCGCAGCAGCAACAACAACAGCAGCAGCAGCTCCAGCAGCAGCAACAACACCAGCAGCAACAGCAGCAGCAGTGCCCCACGCCCAACGGAGGCAGCTACGGCGAAGCCTTGGTGATCAGCAGCGAAGCGGAGGCACTGCAGCATCACCACCATCAGCAGCAGCAGCAGCAGCACCAGCCACACCAGCACCAGACGGCCGCTGTACACATTGCTAGCAGTTCACACGGCGGAGCTGTGCGCTTCGTGACGGAGGATGGACGATTTGGAACCGCCGGTCCGGAGACCTCAGCCTCGACCTTGTACTACGAAGCGCCTGTGGTGGAGGGCAGCGTCCATGCCAACGAGTCCAAGACATATGCGGACCTGGGAAACGCCTATGCCTCTTTCCCGTCCAGCTCCAGCTTCAGCAGCAACAGCTACGCGGCAGCCCTGCAGCAGACCAACACCATCTACACTGTGCCAGGAACCGGGCAGTTCCTGACCAAGTCCGAGTCCGGACTCAACTCTCTGCGCCAGGCAGGACCGACCACCTTCCAGGCGATATCATTTCCCGATGGCGGCAATACCATCGAGACCCTGTGGGCGTCGCCAGCCGCACCGGAGTACCAGAACGTGCCCTTCGTGAGTATTTTCGAGGAAATTTCAATTTCAGCCTTAAAAATACATCCTTTCTATACAGGGTAACTTCCACCCACAGGTGATCGACGAGTATGCGTCCGGAAACATGCCCAACACCCACTGGTCACCCGCCGGCGGGATCGGCCAGTACGATGCCAGTTTAGTGACCGCCTCGGCGACATCGTCTCCGAACCATGAGCTCAAATGCGAGAACTGCCACTCGCCGTTCATGCGCAAGGGCACCTCCGAGTACTTCTGCCCCAACTGCCCGCCATTCATGCGGATGCCGCCGAGGATGCCGCAACGGCAGGCGAAGCCCAAGGCTGCCGCCGCCCCCAACAACCGGCGCAACGGGGTGACCTGTGCCAACTGTCAGACCAACTCGACGACGCTCTGGCGTCGCAACAACGAGGGCAATCCCGTGTGCAATGCCTGCGGACTGTACTTCAAGCTCCACAACATGAACCGGCCGCTTTCAATGAAGAAGGAAGGCATCCAGAAGCGAAAGCGCAAGCCAAAGAACAACGGAGGAGCGCCCATGCACCGGGCCCCGCTGCCAAGTAAGTGTCCCCATAAAGAGTGGTTAGCCAGTGTTCCCAAAGAAACCCTAAGTGAACCATAGACTAATTCCAACTCTTGGCCTATTCCGATTTCCCTTCACCGCAGGCATGGCGCAGGGTGTCAATCTGATGGCCAACAGTCCGCTCTATCCGTCACAGGTGCCTAGCATGCTAGGCGGTGGCCAGCAGAATGCCAGTCCGGAGCTGCACGACATGTCGGTGACGGGACCAGCTGGTGGACCCCGGGTGGTGGCCATTCCGTTGAACTCGGCGGCACCGCCCACCTCGGAAGGATCCCTGAACATGTCCGCTCGCCACCACGTGACCGGTGAGAGCCACTCGCCGTACAGCCAGCAGTCGACGCCACAGAGCCAGTCACCGCATCTGCCGAGCACGGTGACTATAAATCGCCAGATAGTCCAGCCGTAAGTCCAAGGAACATCCTATTCCTGAGCGATCTCTAATGGAGACTTCTCCTTCTTGTGTCCCACAGCGTAACCAGCATCGAGAGCGGGCGCAGTGCCAACAGCGAGCTGACCCCCAGCGTGATCACGCGCACTGGCCTGCCGGAGCGATCTTCGAATAATTAAGCTAATCTACGCCTAACTCCGTACTAAACTAATTTAACGTAAACCTAACCAAAACTTCAAGATTGCCAAAATATTTATTTAAGCCCTAGCCCTAGAATATAGCGATGTAAAGACCAATGTCCCAGTTAAGAGGAGGAGGAGATGTGGCCACGAGAAAGGCTTGAAAAGATTCCTGGTTTCCCAGCCCGGCTTCCTCCTTAGTTAGTCAGCAAATAGATGGAAATGATTTGTGCCAACCACTTAGGATCACGTCGGATCGGATGGGATCGAGTACTGTAGAGGTAGCTTAGCGAATGAAGCACGAGCCCATAAAGAAGCCTACGATTTTGTATGTTTAAGCCGCTCTTTTTATTCTACAAAATAAATAAGTTGTAAACGCAAGAGTCAGACGCGGGACGTTGATGGCTCTACCAGGACGCGAAAGCCATTGTCCGTCCGGCCTGGTTATATTTCATTGTCAACAATTTGGCAGCCAGCCAAATTGATCCAAATTAATTTTAATGACCCCCACGGACCACAGAGCGAGACCGTAAAACCCCAACAAGTCTGGACCGAGATCAGAGAGCCAAGATGCCAGTTGCGAGACCCTGGAGCAGTGTCTAAATAGCGATTTGGTGTCATCGCTTAAAAGCCTGTCGACGCACAACGCCGCCGCCGAGTAACGCCACCGCCTGCAGCCGCTGCCTTTGATCTGCTTTCGGTGGTATGGCAAAAATGCTCTGACTGTGGCTGTGGCTTTGCCTTCGACTTCGACTCTGACTCGGCCGCCCGAAGATGGAGTCCCAAATCCAGTTCTCCTCGGAGCCCCGAACCCCCAAAGGAGGCACAATATTAACGCCTTGGCCAGGGGTCTTCGCTCGGGCTCGTCGCTCTTTGTCCGAGCCTTCTTTTTGTTTTTGGCGTACGCTCGATCAATTAGGCAAACTTGTTTTACGACCGCTTTTATTAGCGTCCGCTCTGGCCGGCGCTCCAAGTTAACCGAAACGCAGAACGAGACGGAGTCCGAGCTTAAGAGGAGACCTCCGTTGGACAGCGACTGGGTACTGGGTGCGAATGAGTAATGAGACGGCGGTCCCAGCACCCGGCAGCTATGGAATGTGTTGGCAAAAATTATGTGCGCAGCGTCAAGTTGTGCAAGTGGAATGGAATGGAAGAATGGCTTGGAATGAAATGGACTAGCCTGGTCTGGTGTGCTCTGGTAAGTACTATTTTTGGGCATTTCCAGCAAATGGATTAGGAGCTTTAGGCAAAAACTTGAGCTCGTTATGTATAGAGCTATGTATTACCCATTTTACCAAAGAAATCCTAAGGAAACCAAGTAAAAACGAATACGTATACTAGGTAAGATAAAGATACAACTCATAAATAATATTCCTTTTACTGTTTCTTCATTGAAAGAATGGTAATAACAATATCTAAACTTTATACCCTATTTTTCTTATGCTTTATCATCCCTAAATCTACGACTTTTTTATTTTAAAAATTTAGCACATATTACTAAGAGCTTTTAAAAAACTTTTTACACCTAAATATTTTTAAAGATTGTTATGATATAGTTAAACCCTTTTCCTTATTACAATCACCCTAGAAAGAACTGCTACCGGAATACGCTTGCTAATTAGCCTCGTCGGAGCCATAATGTATATCGGAATCGCAATTGCATTTATGCTTTAATAACTCGCTGTCCATAATAAGCGTACCACTAATTGCCGCCGCACCTGTGGCCAGGCGGCACATCCTCGGCGGCGTCATCGGATTGAAACATTAGCAGCGGATCGGGCCAGGCCAGTGCTGGCCAACCTGTTCCATTTCCCAATTGCAGGCGAGGCGGGGAGACTGTAAAATAATAATTCAATGTGACAGGCAACAAGATACGACAGCGGGCGCCATTTTTCAGATGCCACTCCCCGCCAGGCACCGCTCCGCCGAGCTCCCATCACCTGACATCACTGGCAACAACGCTCCTCGGACATTATCGCTGGAATTATGACAGACGTGCGACGGCGGCGAACGGAACGCGGGAAACCGCTAATCTCCGGAGCCTTGCATGCATTTGAATTTCTATTAAGTTAATTGCAATTGGCCAAGGCGAACGCGCATTTGCTCATGTCCAATAACAGTTAAGCCGCCGCGAATAACGATTGTTTCCAGATATGATCTGGATGGTCTTTCAGATGCACGGGTCATCCCATCTCGGCATAAAAGCCAACATAAAGTTGAAACTGTCAACTCAACTCCCCCATTCCCTCGGTGCATTTAATTAGCCAGCGTTGACCACCTAGCAAGGCGGCCTCTTGAACCCGCCTCGAACTCGGACTCAAACTCGAACCCGATCCCGATTCTGAGGCGCCACTTAGCCAACTTCAAAGGGGCAGCCGCAGCCAGGGCTTGGTTGGTGGCTTAGTGGCTTAGCAGCTCGGTGGTGGATCGCGGGCATCTTCTCCGGGGCTGCAAGCTACCATCATCGCCAGCGTCATCTTCATGGCTGGCATTACAAATCGACAAACGACACGAAAATGCGCTTTAACAACGCGCAGTTAAAATAGATAAAAGCCGATAGTCAGACGCCGCCGCAAGCCAGCCAAGGCAGGCCCAAGCGTTGGGTTTTCCAGGGAGCCAGGAGCGGGACGAGGGCCCTGAGAACGGGTGTATAATTTTTTTGTTTTTGGCCAAAGCTCGACCGATCTAATACAGGCAGATTAAAATAAAAAATGGTTTCTATTAGTTACTTATATATTTAAGCTTTTTAAACATTCCTCTTCAGATAACATAAAAATTGATGCTAGGAGCCTGAAGTTGATTAGATTTCTGATATATAAGTGAATGTTTATTATCTTTCTACATATGAGAGGGTAAGATCTATGAATAATATTTGGCAAATATATATATATATTACAGATAATATATGTAGAAACTTACCATTTACTTAAAAACCAGAATTATGAAGATTTTAGAAGCCTCTTTGTTACTACTCTCTGAAAAACTATCTCTAGAAGACTCTTACTTGACTTTTTCTCTTATCTCCATTAAAATTGTTATTAATATTATTATTAACCACTCCCGCTCATTACCTTGGGTCATAACCACAAGCTCCTTGTCCCATCCTCAAGCCAAAGTCATCATCGTACACAGAAGACACACCACACCCAGAGATCCAGTGACGTCACAAGAGTTGCAGCCAGAACAGTCGAATGAGTTTCGAGTTCTAGGAAAAAATATCGAAATTCCAAGAATTCACACGAAAGACAAAATGCGATTGCCTTGGAAGAGGCCGAGAGCCGGGATGGGGGATATGGGTTAAGGTATTCCCTTGTCTCTACGCCCTTATCACAACTCACGCGCGTCTCGTTCCATTTCGGGTTTCGGTTCTCGGCTCTCGGACCCGAAATCACATTATCTTCTGCGTTCTCCGTTCTCCATTCTCCGTTCCGAGATGGCTACGCAGCTAATGGATATGCCGCATCCCAATCCACATCCACACAGGCAGTCGCTATATGGTATAACATATCACAGATGACGATGATGATGATGGGCCGCTCTCTTGTCGCTTTCCGCAGACGCCGCCGCTGGAGGAAGATTGAAGATGCGGCGCTTATCGAGGAGGAAGGCAGAGACCGAAAAGATGAAGCCCGAAAAGAGTTCAGGATAGGAGTTGCAGTCGCAGTCGCCGTCCAAGTCCCAGTGCCAGTCCCATCTCCTCCGCATATTTCTGTGCCTTTGCTTATCGGCCGAGCTGCAGACTTACCCATTCCCCGCCGCCGGCGCATTTGCATCACGGAATGCAACCTGGGCAAAATGAGCTGGAGATGAGGCAAGGGGAAGGGGTGCTCGAACCCCGAGCCCAGAACTGTGGCGCCAAAGGAAGCGTTGAAAATGGTACTTGATCTTGATCGCGATGACTCCTCTCTCCCATCTCTTTCTCTCTTTCCCTTTGGGGGAACCAAGAGGCAGAATCTGGTGACTGTAATTTAGACGGCGCCTCGATCCTTGTTTCACACTAATGCACTTGCAGCTTTTAAATGTCACCAGGGGCACTGGCACTCCCTCAGCCGGATCCGAGCCCTGCCCTCCAGCTAGGCCACTTTGCGATCATGTAATCCCCTCGGTTTGGCCTTCACTCGGAGGCAGTTGCTCGTGTGTATTCAATTGGAATAATTAGTGGTATCAGTTTGGATTTGCTCAGGCTGCAGTGTCATGAATGCGAGGAGAGAGAAATTAATACCAACTTCTGGTGGTTATGTAAGCTGATATGCTATAATAATAAGCTTATAATATTATGTTTTATGTTTAATAAATTATTTTTTATTTCCAAGTTCCAAAAGTTTTATAAATAATTATATTGCATCAATAGTAGGTGAGTGTAAATAAAGTAATAAAATAAATCATGCTACTAAAAACCTCTACTTAAATCTTAGAGTGGTTTGGCCTTTTTAATTTCCATTCTTGTATCCTTTTTAATGAGGGAACTAATTATAATGTTATGCTTAATAACAATAATTTTACACCTCTTCCAAATACAAAGTAAATACAAGCAATAAAGCAAAATCCCATTTATTGATGTTATAATTGGCTTACCGTTACTTTATGGTCATTTTGTTAGGATCAGTCACCAGGACGACACGGTATTAAGACCATAAATGATAAATTTTATGACCATCACGAATACTTAACAACTTTGTTGGCAGGCGCCACCTCAGCCGCACAAACAAGCGCAAAGAGCCCAGATATTGACCATAACAATTACAATGTATGGCTCCCACTTATAGACAGGATCGCTCATATCGGAACTGAGGCCAAATCTATGACTGGCATCCTGCTCAATTAAGCGCCTGCTAAAATCTCGCAGGGCTTTTCATTAGTTTATCGAACGGTCGCGGCCAAGGGGAAATATTTCAAATGCTGGCCCCAAAAGTGGTCCCAACCAGGTGCAATTAAAGGTATCCCCCATCCTTGGGGGACTCTTGGGCAAGTGGCGCCGCTGCTTTCGCGGACCCTTCAACGTGAGAAAATTCCGGTCGGAATTATATAGGCAAAATGTCTCGTTATCGAGCGCCAGCATACCTGAACAAAAATGTATGTGCGTATGCTTGAGATAGTGCCAGCAACGGCCCGAGAACCACTGCCACAGCCAACACAAAGCGTAAATGTCAAAATGCCAAAATTAATTGCAATGGCAGTGCCGTGGATAAGGCCTCGGATGGAGGCGCGAGAGCCAGAGGCCGAGCCATGCTGGCACTTCAAGGAGCTGGAGCTGGAGCTGGTGGTTGGACTGTATATGGAGATGGAGTCGCAGCAGGGTCCAGACCTGGCCACAGGCCACAGCCCACTTTTTAGTCGCCACGAAGAGGTGCTTGCGATTGGGTGGTGGTCAGGGGTGGAGTTCAAAAAGAATTTAAAGGGGATCCAAAATATGTTGATGTCAAGACTGTTCAGTAAAGTGTTTACTGATTTTTGTACATCCCAACTTAAAGCAAGTTATTTTGGTACAAGAAATATTTTTTAAATGTTTTACTTGTCTAAATAATAATTTTCTCAAACTAAGTAAGTTTATAACCCTAGATTTCGGGCGGCTTTATTTATTGCTTTTAATTAACTGCCTCTAGGTGCTTTTAAAAAGGTTTTTCCCTTTTCAGGGCGCCACTGCAGCTCTTTCCTGGCCACCATTACAAATTCTACCACTTCTGACCCGGCTGCGACGGTGTGGCGGCTTCTGCCCCAGCCAGCAACCTCTGCACGCCACACGCCACACCCCAGAGCCAAAGCAAAACCAAAACCAAAAACCAGACCCGGATCTGGCCCCCGGTTTGGCAGCGGGTCTTCGGTTGTCATGGTTGTCGCGGTGGTTATCGCGCCTGGAAATCAGCAGGACGCCGCCGCGATGCAGCCCGGCCGGGACAGCCTGCAACGGAAACCAGTTTCATGTGCCACACAGTGCTGGGCCCCATTTTGAGGTGGAGTCGGCACTGAGGCAGCCGCGCTGCGATTGGCCAGACATTGGCATGGTAGTGTGCCCCGTCCTCCAATCCCCTCTGGCCCTGCGTCTGGCGTTCGTTCATTAAAGCTTCGCATAAATTTTGTTGCATGTTTGCGGCGCTTTATGTCCGTGCGGCGCGAGTCCGTCCGGGTATCGCACGGCTACACGCATTTCAGGTCCAATTCATTTGCAGCCCGATGGCTTTTTAGAAAACCCTCCAAGCCCCTTAAATGAGCTTTTCCCCATACACTTAAGGAAAATATTTTTTAGTAATTATACCTATTTTATTTATACCTAAAATGTTGCTGTTAAAAATGAAAGAATTTTATTGTCATATTGCCTATTGTATTTCCTATCTCTGCATAGCTATCTTCCACAAATAATTATATTAATTTTTTATTATTAAAGTTTAGTTCATCGTTTTGAAAATCGCACCATTCTTAACGGTAGCCCATTTTTTCCAGTGCATTGGAAAACTGGTAGAGGCAAACGCATTTCGTGTCTGTGTCTGCCTTTTTTCTTTATGATTTGGGCTGCTCGTATTTTGGCAGTTCCTATAAATAATTGAACTTTATCGTCCGCCGGCTCGCTCGCCATTTAATAAATTTAATTTGTGGTAATTGAACATTTGGCAGTGGCGGCCACTGGACACATTCGGACACGAAAATAAGCGGAAAACTTATCAAGCTGTCCCCGCCTGAAATTCCAATTGAAATTGTCCATTTTTCAGGGATGACGAGTAATTAATAAAAGCGGGAAGTTTCTGGGTGCGTACGATTCGTACTGAAATCAGATCACATTATTTCGGGGTTTTCTGGGCGAATGTGTCATGCCTTGACAATCTCAAGAACTGATTCTGAATAATTTATGACTATATACACGTTGGCCGGGTTGGTATCTCTGCAGATTACTCAGTCGTTATGGAAATCCGTGAAATGGCATGACATGGAGTGTTCATGAAACTTTCAATGATTACAAGTCCCTTAAAGAGCGTCAGTAGAATGGTAAATCCTATATAGTATGTACATATATATATTTCGATAGCGTGATTTCCATTGATGTATACTCGTAGATGTACATACTTACATAGTTCAATGAAGCCTAACTCATTGCACTCAATAGTAATTTATAAATATAAGGGTTAAGCTCGAATGCTGACTAACATATATTTAAAAGGGTTTCCTAGATGCATATAATAATATATTACGTAAATTTGTTCTTATCCGCACATAATAAAAATTGGCAGACAAAGTACTTACTTATATGGGAATAATAATAAATACCTTTTTTTTTTCTCCAAAAAAGGGGATACCTTTTCAATATAAAAATTAGAATGTAGTGCTTTAAAATTAAATTTTGTTGAACATGAGTACTGTTTTTCTATTAATAAGTTCAGCTGAAATTTGTTTGTGTTAAAAACTAAACTGTTGCATATTTCCTTTTATAACATACACAAAATAATTTTAGAAAGCAAATTAAAATTTAATGATAATAATATTTCCTATTAAATATTTTCAGGAACTTCAAACTTAAGCTGATGTTAATATCAGAGTTTTATTAGAGTTATTTTAAATCACAACTAAAGTTTCTCTGTAACTGTTTCCACTATGGAAATTGTCCATAATTAATATTTAATAAAATCTGAATTATTGCTTGGACGCCTTTAAGTTAAATCTAAAAGAAATCATGATGCTAGATTAATAATTAAAGGCAATCGATATGATCCTACTCTAAAGAAACACTCCAACTAAAATTTATGAATCGGAGCCGACACTAACTGATTGCCTTATCTGCATTATGACAAATGAATGGCACAACTAATTTGTAAATCGAAAAGAATTTGTTTATTCTCACCTCCTGGGTTCATTCCGATCGAATGTATGTAAATGGAATCAACTTAATGAAGACATTATCAGATAAATAAATCACAAGTGGGCGCTAAACTTATAAATTGCAGGCGGCAGACTAACTATATATATGTACATACATAAGTGTGTATATTACATGGCCATTAAATGTGGTGTGAGAAGAGTTATGAAAAGGCCAATTAAAGTGCACATAAAACGCGGATTTCACCTTTCGCAGAAATGGAGTATTAAAAGCAGAGGCCATGGTTTATGGTTCTGATATTTTTGTTAATTTATTTCCTTTATTAGCAGTTATTATTGGCCTGGGGCGATATTGCGCATACGCCGTGTTAGCCGTGCCAAAGTGGGCTGTCCCCAGAGAGGCTCTCTCCCTCCCTCTCTCTCTATTGCTCGCTTGCTCGCTCACACGGACACACACCAATATCTAAACGGCAAATCAAGCAAACTTTAATATGGCCACATTTCGATTACGAAAGCCAGCGAGTGCGAGAGAGAGGTAGCGATACTGATAGCGTGGGAGAGAGAGAGAGAGCGACGTCAAGGCAACACCCACTTTTACAGCGATAGCATGTGTGCGTGTGTGCGCGCGGAACCCGTTTGTTTGCCCGCGAGAGAGAACGCGAGCAGTCGCCTCGATAGTCAGTCAGTCGCTCTCTTAGCTCACGTCCAACCGGAAGCCCAAAAAGAACGCTCGCTCACTCCATCTTGTGTGCCTGCGTGCGCGTGTGTGTGTTCGTGTGAGCGCTTCCCCATTCCAATCAGAACCCTACAACAGGGACAAGGAGCCGCAGTCGAAATTCCTTGGCTTCAGTTGGACTTCGAACGTTTATGCGCGAAACGCGAAACGCAGCGAATGAAGCGAGCGAAACGCGAATTGCCGTCGCCAAAAAGCAAAATAAACAGTGAGATCCTATTTAGATCTATAAAAAATAATAATAAATATCAATCGAAACTGGAAAACTAACAAGTCTAATGGCCGCATTTTGATTAATTAAACGGGTTTGCCGTCTTTAATAGTGCGCGAGTGTATCTGCATTTGTGAGTGAATATTTTGGCATCTTCATGCTAATATATATCCATCAGATATCAGCTGCCTCTGTGAACCTGTGAATCGCGTGTGATTTGTGGTGCTTTTGTATGAAACACAACCATTCAAAATCAAATCAAAGCTCACACAAAACACAAAAACTCACAAAACGATCGCCGCTGTTGTGGAAACAATAAATGCGATTTAAAAGCAGTTTACATTTCTGTTTAAGTGTCCAACAAAAAGGCCATTAGGTGCCATAACTGCCAATTGGCATACGAATCCTCATTAGCATACATCAAACAAAGCAATTGGAGATCTGGACGGAAAGATACATTTACCCGCTGTCAATCCCGAATCAAGTGAGTTGAATTTTATTTGCAAAGCTTTTTTTTTTGGGGTTTGTGAGCTTATCTCGCCAATTAAATGTTTAGTATGTATTAATTATAGGATGGAAGAGACCATAAATATTTATTTATTTATTTTTCTTCAAAAAGTTGTACTAAATATTTAAAATGGATTGATTCAGGTATTTTGCACTGCGATAAAATACATTTGATTATTTAGTTGTGCAAAAGTTATAGTACTACCTTAGGAAGTCCTGCATTTTCTTTAAAAAATTATCTAAATAACTTTGCTTTAGGTTTTTCTTCTTTATTTTTCATGCATTCCAATAGTGTTCTATAAAAGATTCCAAACTGGTTCTCAACTCCAGTGGCAAAACACTCATTAGATCGCTGTTAGATGCCATTCTATGATCGATTCCGGCGATTGCAAAATTGCAACATTGTGTGAGAACAGTTGCAGCGTAAATTAGACATAAACAGTATGATCTGTGGTATCAATTAGCTAAGCTTAAGCTCAGCCACAACACAATCTTTATGGATCAACAATGAAATTAGCATCAAACTAATGTTAAACATGTTAGTATGTTAGACATCGCGTTAAGATACTGATCTAACTAAATAAACTCGTTTGCGTTTGATCTCTGCTATCGCCAGGCTATCTTTCAGATGCATTTGCCGATACACAGAAGCCAAGAGGGCGAAAGGGTCGTAAATTCGGCCAACAAAACATTTTGGCAACTAAATCATTTTTCGATTCTCGATTATGCCATTAGCGGCTGAGCGTATATCGCGTTTTATGGCCTTTATTATTATTGTTGTATTGTTCAATAATTTAATTGAATTGTAATTTATGCGCTTGAGTTTTATATTCAGGCATTAACTGCCGTAAAATATAGCAAGAAAAGCCATAAATTTGTGGTCAACTTTTGAGCTGTCACAGAATATAAAGGAAAGGCAGCGCATATCCATTTGGCTTGATATGAACTTGGCGTCCATTGGCAGTTGACATGAGCGCAGTTTTGTTTTCAATTAGCTGCCCGTTGAAAGACCAAGTGTCAAAAATCTCTCAAGCTTTCGCTTCGCCGTCCGTAATTGATGAAGGCAGTGGAAAACAGTTGAAAACTAAACTTGTTTCAAGCACTCTTCAACACTCGCACTCGCAGTAGTCGGCATAATTACTCGCACAATTGCATTGGAGATACATAAATTGCCAACTCGAGCAGCCCCACCAACAAAAGACCGCGGAGCTACACTCGCTGGCCATTAACATTCGAATTAACATTAACATTAGCTCGTATCACTATTCATTAGGGTCTCGTCTCAGCTCCTGACATGGCCAAAACTCCTTGGTAATGCACATAAATTATAGACACTTCATAACAATGAGGGAAGTAGAACCGACTTGAAGCTCTAGGGCTACGAATATTCCAAAACAATTAGGGAACGTAAAGTGACTCAATCTGGAGTTTAAACTGCTCTTATCGCTTTCTAACCAGAAGAGGTAGCCTTAGTTGTAAATTTTGAAGTGGAGAAACTAGCTAAGAATTACTAATACTATTAAATATTTAAAATGTCAAAGTCCTTGAACTACAAAAATATACCCCCGGTTGTACACAATATTTATTAGAGCCTTGGATCTCCACAGAATTCGCATCCCTTTCCATAACCTTGATCTACAGGCATTTTCAGCCAATTAGCATCGCTTTCCCAGTGTCCTCGCAACCCTTTCGAAGCACTTTCACTCCCAAATCTATCGATCTAGGTACTTGGAACGGGACAAGTGCCAGTCCATATAGCAATTAACTGCTGGCGCCACCACTAAGAGGACAACAACAGCGGAATGGGCACGGCTCAATGGGCGAACCAGACGCCGGAATGGCCAGAGAATAGAATCCCGGGGACGCAGGACTCGGCCCATGACCGTGTTGACAATGACACAACATGACGGCAGATTCTCGTCGAGTGCAGGGAAATATTGCAAAAACGGGCTATAAAATCATTAGCTGGAAAACAGTAAAGGCGGGTCCGCAGGGCCCATAAAAGCAGGCCAAAGGTGAGCCGGAGGCCCGGCCTATGCTGTGCCCTTCCTTTGGCCGTCCTCGGAGGAGGTCATGAGTCAAAAGCGCTGCGTGTGACCAGTGGCACAGGTTACATGATCCCGGCTTCGAGACGACGAGAGTGTGTGCGTGTTTAAGCGCCCTTTAATTTATGACACTTTTATGAGGCCAGCAAATGCCATAAAACTGAAATTGGCTTCAAACATCAGGGAGAAGGCAAAACAAAACTAGTTAAATGGCTCTGACTTTGTCTCCCAGTTTCGGGCCAAGAGAATCTTTCGGGCAATTGCATCATAAATCTTAACTCAAATCGTAAGCGAGGCCAAAGGAAAGGTCATCGAATGGCTAGGGTTTTCAGGTTTTCAATATATTTAAACAGTCTTAGAAGAAATATTCTAAAAATTGTACAAAAGCTGTTGTTATATATTTATTTCGGAATCAAATCTCATCAATTTTCACACTTGCTATAAATATTTAGTAAATGAAATATATATATTTTTATTTTAAGTTGTAAATTACTATTTTTATGACTCTCACATACTTCACATTCTTGGAAATCATTTTTCGAAGCAGCCTGGCAACTCTGCTCGAACAACCCCCAGACACACTTGGTTGAAAATGCAAACTTCAACAAGCCAGCCTAATTATGCAATTTTAACACTGGCTCGCCAAGCTGACCACCAGCCTACACAGCACAAACCCAAACTCAAGCCGAGCCGAGCTAGGCCCGTAGCCATGTCCATATCCATAACCATGTCCACATTCAGGTAGAGCTGGCACGCAAGTGGAAAGTGCTCCGGCGGCAGAAACAACTGGCAGGCCATGATAAATGTCCCTGGCAGCACTTTGCATCGAGCAGGTCAACAAAAGGCCAGAAGCGGGGCCCAATAGGAAGTGCTGGAGACCCATTGACCCAGCTAAGGGAAGTCCTGCCGTGCCTTGCGAGACGGCGGCTAATTGCGTGTTAGCCAGGGATCAGGATACAGCAGATAGGCAAGATCCTGGCGAGGTCCTATCACTTCTCGGTAGCCGTCGTCTTGGCGTCAGCAGTCTGAGTTGCTTGCTGTGTGGGTTATTCGACCTTTTTTAGCTGTGTTAGAGGAGGAGAAGTGCCATATTTTGGAGGCAATCAATTTAAACTAAAGAGAAACTTATCAAGAATATATGAAAATATAGAAATATTTTAGTAATATTCATATTTAATCATACCAAACGAAGTGAGTAATTGCTAAACATTGTTGATTTCACAACACATTGTTTCTAAAAACAGATTTGATTTAATCAAATCAGCATTCCAACCCCAGATCCAGTAAGTGGTTTGCCAGAGACGCAATCATAATTCCATACAATTAAATATAGTATAATTTTTGGCCTGGATACAACGAGTCTACTGCGATAAGGTTGCCTTATTCCCGGCGACATCGGTATCAGAACGGACTTATCGAAACGAGGCCATGTGGAACCTTCGTGGAGGAGGTATAATCTCCGAACTTATCGTTGAGTCTTAGAGGAAGCTGGGCTTCAGAGACCCCAACGATAGCTCGTTAACTGTACGGTTCTGTTAAAGGGAAAACTGATTTCGATTCCGGGAGCAGTTGAACCTTATCTCATTGTTTCTCAGGCTTAAAGTTCAGTCTCAGCCTCGGGCGGCGCCAAAGGCTAATAAAAAAACTTTCGAAAAGTCCCCGTTGCCCATTTTCCAGCTCAGACATTTAGGTGGCCATAATTAATTAATTATAGACTGGGGAAAATTAGGCGACATCTTTTCACAGTCAAGAGCGCCGATTAAATCTTGATTTTTCCACAGCAATTAATTCCACCGGCTCTCTATATATGCATATCCCTCTCTCTCCCTCTTTTTCTCTGTGTTTCTCTCTGATTCTCTGCTTCTCTCTGATCTCACAAATGTAAATGTCACCAAGAGGGAAGGGGGAGAACAGAAGACATAAGCCGCGCCGACGCCAAGACACTTAAGAGCTTTGGTCAGGGGCCGACGGACGGATGGGGGCACCATCGAGACACATTCGCGGCGCATTCGAGGCACATTCCCCCGGAATATGTCTGCCCGCGTGCCGAAAACTTGTCACTGCCACTAGCGGCGAGAAGAGAGCCAACAGCCGAGTCCATGATAATGGGAATGTGCACAGAGAGAAAAGATAGATTCAAAACCGATTAGGATGAAAATCAGGCCAATCCCAAGAGGGTTTGGAGTTAACAAAAAAATATAACCTTCTATAATCCTATATCTTTTGTATTTATCTTTAATATTGATTAATAAGGTTATTTATTTATTTATTTATTATCCGAAAATATGAATGTCGTGCCTCGCCTTTTTCCTCTCTCATTGTGCAGATTACCACATTTAAACTGAAATAGTCCTCTAAAACTCCATTACGTGCCTCTTTTTGTTCAGTGTACAGATAGGGGGACACCTCTCTGGTATCGGTAGAGATCAAATAGCCAGAGCAGAGCTTAATTTAGACGCCATCAATGCTCGGCTGTAAGGACACCCGAATCGAGTTCGTCGCTTGAGTCTTTCGTTATTCACACGCCCCGAACCGAAAAAAGCCAGCATAAAAGTGCGCCCCGCGAGCATAGATAGGCATATCGGGCTAGTAATTAATTATAAAACAAAATGCACACACAAATGGAATATTATCAGCTTAATAGCAACAAAAAAAAGTTGCAATAAGTCACCATTTCCGCCATCAGTTCCCTGCTAAAGGCAACCGATAAGAGGCACTGCCTTCAGAGTGCGCCTCTATGAGAGGCGATGTTTATAGACTGACACACACTCAAAATCAGCGATTGGAACAATCATCATCGGAGCGGGGGACTTTTGCCTTTGCTCGCTTATCTATCCGCATTGAAATTGAGTTCTTCGCCGGTTCTCCGCATTTTCACCGAGGAATTTGTAAGTAGCCGTCGCACTTCAATTGCGTTTTGGTTGCCATGTCA